CGGCAAGTCAATGCCGATACCACCGCATGAAAATCAAGATTTTTTACATAGCTCGTAATTTTGTTGTCTTGGATTGATAGTCGAGGCTGGCCCTCATTTTTACTTTTTGTTTTCATAGTTTAGCACTTTTTTTTTTTTTCTGTCACTTGTACCTTAATCTTTAGCATAATTGTGTAATTGTTTTGATCAGTAATCCTATACGATAAGGACACTTTTGAACATCATTTTCATATAGAGTACTGGAGCCACATTGGAACACATGCATTTATGGACTAGTGACAATGTGCAATGCACTCATATTGTGAAATACAACATTACAAGTAGAGTAAATAAATAAATCCAACATCCCCATCGTTTCTCACTTTGCAATCGTCGGCGGTCGATACAATTTGAGGGCTAGACTGCTCACTACTACACAGACACTACTTGCAGCCATTGCCAAGCCTGCCATCCACGGTGCCAACATGATCCTCGCAGCCGGGTAGAGGACACCCGCTGCCAACGGGATTCCGATGGAATTATACCCAAACGCCCAAAGAAAGTTTAGTTTTATTCTGTTGAATGTTGTACGGGAGAGGTCGAGCAGAGTGAGGACGTCGCGGAGATCAGATTTCATGAGAACAGCTTGCGCCGACTCGATCGCCACGTCTGAACCCGTGCCAATGGCGATACTAATTGGATATACTAAAGTGAGTACCCTCGAAACATGAATCGTTTGAGAAATGTAGATATCACACTTACCCAACGTCAGATTGTGCCAATGCAACAGAATCATTGATTCCATCGCCGGTCATGGCCACTCTTGCCTTCTTGTCTTGCGCTCTGACGGCACATTGCAGCCATTTGACCTTTTCCGCCTTCTCGCCAGGTAAGATTTGGCTCAACACCTGATCTTCATGTATGCCCAACTGTCTAGCAACAGCTTGTGCCGTCCGCGTATTGTCACCTGTGATCATCCATACCGCCACCCCGCGTCGTTGCAGTGCCTGGATGACCGCTGGAGCTTCGGGGCGGATCACATCTGAAATGGCTAGGATGCCAAGTAGGTGGCCCGCGGCTGGGGTGCTGGGGTACGGTGTGATTGGTCTGATGCCAACGTAGACCATCGATTTACCATCGGATTGCCAGTTGTCTGTGGTTGTATCTACTATGGAAGCATCAACGGGTATACAAGCGTTTTCTTCCATCCAACGACGCGATCCAACGTATGCCATGTACTTTTCGTTTGCTGAGGCTTCAATGACTGCTCCAAGACCCTTGCCGGCAGATTCAACAATTTCTTGGACGGAAATGGTGCTCGCTCCAGTGACATTTGCACCTTTCTCTTCCGTGGCATACTGCACAACCGCACGTGCTAGAGGATGGTCACTTGCTGCTTCGACAGTTGCGACGAGCGTCCAGAAATCAGATTCATTCACGATTCGGCCGTTGGGTTCAGGGAAGAATTTAGAGTCAGTTAGACTTGGCTTTCCTTGTGTCAGTGTACCAGTCTTGTCGAATGCGATGGCTTTGACGTTGTGGGCCATTTCTAGGGCTGCTCCACCGCCTTTAACTAGAATACCGTATTTCGCGCCAACTGGCAAGATACCCATAATAATTAGCTCTACTCACACAATGCCGTGTATGATGCAAAAAAAACCTACCTCCAGTTCCAACCATCACAGCAGTTGGAGTCGCCAATCCCAGGGAACATGGGCAAGCAATGACCAGCACAGCAATGGCAAAGTCTAGTGCAAAGGCTGCTTTTCCTTTACCCCACCACTCCTCTGGCACCGCTCCTGAATACACGGCAGAGACCCACACAATCAATGTCACGAGGGCAATGATGACTACCGCAGGAACAAAGTAACGGGATATCTTATCAGCAACGGCTTGAATAGGGGCACGAGACGTTTGGGCATCCTCCACCAGTCGAATGATGCGAGATAGAGCGGTTTCCGAACCAACTTTGACGGCTTTGACGTATATTACTGCGTTTTGGTTCACCGTTCCCCCCATGATGTCGTCGCCGACCGTTTTGGTGACCGGTACTGGTTCACCTGTGAGCATACTTTCGTCAATGAAACTTGTGCCGCGGACTATTACGCCGTCGCAAGGGATTCGGCCTCCTGCGGTGACTTTGAGAACATCACCAACTACAAGTACGTCATATGAGAGTCAACAAAAATGATGGTAAAGAATGGCGTTTTTTGGTAAAGCCTTTGCAATTCTTTACCTTGTACCAGAGCAATATCTACTTCTTGCTCGGTAGTCGTTCTTGGGTCATTGTAATCCGACAGTACGAGGGTAGCAGTGTCTGGGGCGAGACCCATTAATTTGGTGATAGCATCTGACGTTTTGCCTGTAGATATCGGATCCCAATGTTATACTTGTGCCTATGTTATCAAATTACACAAACAATTTCTTACCTTTTGCATAAGCTTCCATGTATTTTCCCAAAAGAATAAAGAAAATGAGGAGAATGGATGTCTCAAAAAACTGTGCTTCGGCTTCTGTTTTGGTAACAATGCCATAGATGACGGCGTATACAGAGTAGAAATACGCTGCGCTGGTTCCTAATGCTACCAGCACGTCCATCTGCAAGCGAAATGTTTGTAAATTTTGTTACTGCGGTGACGTTTAACAATTAAAACTTACATTTGCAGATTTTGCGTAAACCAAACTTTTCCAAGCACCAACGTAAAACCTCTTTCCCAACCAGAACTGCACCGGTGTAGCCGTAATCCACAACACCAGGGCATTAACGCTCAAACCAGGTACAATTTCCATCATCATGGACTGGCGAATAGGTTGATCTGGCGCCAGCGCCATCATGAAAATCATGGCAATGATAAAAGTCGGTACCGCAAAGAAAAAAGCCCAAAGAAGCTGACGGCCATACATGCGACGCTCCGCCGCTTCACGGGCCTTGACGAGATCCATTCTGTTTGTATGAGGGGCGAGTTCTGCCGTGTAGCCCAAACCCTCGACGAGAGCAATGAGATCACGGGGTCCAATGATGGTCGGATCATGCTTGATGCTAGCTTGCCCTGTTATCAAGTTTACGGCAACGTCTTGAACCCCTGGTTTTTGGGTTAGGTTGGTCTCGATGGCTGAAACACACGAAGCGCATGTCATGCCACCGACATTCAACTTGGTAGTAGTTTGAGCGGGTTCATGAGGGTAATCTGTGACAATTTCAAGGTTGTCATCGACAACTTTCTGGTTGGATTCCGCAGTGGCTCGCAGTGTTTCTACATCGGTAGCGAGGACTTCGTAGCCCATGTCGTCAATTGCGCTGACGAGCTTTTCCGATGGGAGGACTGTGGAGTCATGCAAGACGATCGCTCGTTGAGGTAAGAGGGTGACGACTACCGACGACGTTTCCACACCGGGTAGGCGTTTGAGCATGTCTTCAAGGGTGCCCACGCAGGAAGCGCATGTCATTCCATGTATTGTCAACATTGTTTTGGTTCGTACGGACGTGCTTGAACTTGTGCGCAGACTCGTTTCCGTAGGCTTGGTAGCATGCGTCGTGGCATTTAATACTTCATACCCGATGCCCTCAATTCTGTCAATCAGAGTTTGAGCTGACACTACTGAAGCATCGTGCAGAATGACTGCTTGCTGTGGGTCCAATGTTACTTGAAGCCCATCTTTACTTATTCCTTCCACCTTTTTCAACGCCCCTTCGATGGCCCGTACACAGGATCCACAAGTGAGTCCGTTCAACTCAAGTACTGTCTGTGTGAACAATGAGGGAGATGTTTGAGGAAACTTGCTGGGAAAGACATCCGATGAAGCGGCGACAATCTCAACGAATCGATACCCACGAGCAAGCAAAATGTTGCGACAATGGGCAGCCAATTCGGTGGACAAGTCGCATTTAAAGTAGACGTCCACTAACAGCGCTTCTCGTTCTCCGCCATCACCATCGGCAACCGTTACTCCCCTAACTTCTGGTACCTCAACAGCCAACAGGTTACCGACATTACGAAGCGCACAGCGGCGCCCATGAGCACAACGCGCTCGGGCTTCGGGGTCCGCTATGCAAGCTGGTAGGAGCTCTGAAGGCCTGGATGGAGTATACCCCGTCGGCAATCCCACTCGAAACCTTGCAGAACGGGGATGATTTGGAGCCGAAAGCAACTTTGACGGTAAAAGAGCTCTGCATGTGCAATGAGTGCAATGGCATGCGATACATGTTGAGCAGAGCCGCGCAAGGTCAACCTTTACTTTCAAAGGTTCGTTTTGGGAGATGAGATCCGTTTCGTCAAATGCGAGTAGGGTATCCTCGGACGAATCGGAATTTGTTGTATTGTCGCAACCGCCTCCGCTGCAGCTTTAAAGTAAATCAAATAGATGGGAGAAGATCATTAGTATCATATTTTTTGGAAACAAAAAAAAAGCCGAAAAAAATGTCTACATACCATCCTCCATTATCACTTGTAGGACCACAGCAACATCTCGCACCTGCACTATCGTCAACGTTCGGTCCGCAGCAGGATTGCATGCTTGAATGAAATCAAATCTAGTTGATATAAATGTTTTAAAACCAATGCGATCATCCACGGTATTTGTATGTGTCGCTTCCAAAAGGCCTTCTGATCCTGAACCGCTCGTCGTCGAAAAAGTAAAAACTCGTTGCATGATTCCCTTTTTATAATCCGTTACTTGCAACGAAAAGGAACACTGACCAAAGTTGAGAGTTTGAGCAAATCAGAAACGGGGGGCGTATTTCCCTCATCATCATAGTTTGCTAAAATGTCTCAACTTGTAGTCGCGTTTCTTTTTGAGGGGGGAGCCAGCAGCGGAAACATCTCACACACAAACGTATTGGGGCAAATATAAGCAAGGTTTAAGGTTCAAGGCATTTTGTATAAACGGTTGAATGATGAATAAAAGCATTGCTGAATATGATGTAACGAGAACCTTCTCCATTTATCTACGCAGATTCCTGTAGCATCTATTAGAACCTTGATACGGTTTACTATTGCCAACTGCAGTGACATGTATGCGATGCACACACATAATGTGCCAACGCATACGCAAAAGCCTGCGGTATATCCAATGTTTGATTAAGAGCCAATGTTTAGGTAAACCCTATCTGTCAATTTTGATTTGAAATACCCCATTTCCATTCCGACTAGCAGTGTCATATTCTGTTGCCCTTAACAAAGATACCTGAGACCACTATGTTGGGATGCTGACCTTGCTATTCTTACCCTCAACATTGTCGTTCAGGCTGCTCCATCGAGGCTTAGAGACTTCACCCTGGTAACAGTTTTCTTATTCTTCATATTAGACGTTGCGAAAAGCCAAAACCATGCTACATATTAGCTCTTAACACTGGGATGCGACATGGGACCTGCAAAGAGGTTTCGGAAATGCACCAGCGCCGAAAGACGTATGGGAGACAAATCACTTTACCCCTTGAGAAATACGCGCCAAGGTAGTATAGTGGTAGTACACTGCGTTGTGGAAGACACAGTACCGCAATGACCCCGGTTCGATTCCGGGCCTTGGCAATCACTCACACACTCTCACAGATTTTTTTCACTGTTCGTACTCCCTATATGGACTAGCACAATTTTTGAAAAGACGTGAACATAAAGTATCCGTAGGGGCCTTTATCAAAAATAACGAAGCATCTCCAGCTCTTTGCCCTTGCGAGATGTAGTAGGATATACGGTATAAAAACTGGGCATGCACAGTACTCAACAAGAATGCCAAAAAAGCAAGAGTCCACACATTCAAACACCATGTAAACCCAAAACACAAAAAAAAAGAGCATTCACTAAATACAAATTAAAACACCCTTCCTCATGCACCAACAACAAAAAGACCTTTCTAAATCTCAATAGGCTTAATAACCGGTTTCCGAAAGAACCGCATACTCGCTCCCTTCTCCATTGGACGAAATGGAGCGTGTCCACCATAAGGTTTGGGTATCGGGAGGTCGCCTATGAGGCCTTTTCCGGTTGTATCGGGGATGTAGGCGTTGGGACGGGGTTCGGCTGTTGTGCGGATGTTATTGTAAATATAAAAGTCGTCGTCGCTGAAATATGGAGAGATGTTGTGAGAAACATGTATTGTAAGAGGGACGGAGAGCGAGGGTGAAAGGAAACGTACGCTTCAATGTATCCCCCGGCAACAGCCTTTTGTCGTTCCATTTCCAATTGTTTTACTTGCTTTTCGTGCTGGAGACGACGTTTTTCAGCTCGTATGAATTCGCGTTCGATTTCTGGGGTGGGTGGCTCGCCGTTTGCGAGGCGGGCTTTGGCTTCTTCCAAGAGTTGTTCCTAAAAAAATGTCGTGTGTTGAGATGACATGTAAAATACATTTTCTGTTTATTTATATTTTATTTACCTTGTCGCATTTTTCTTGATAGAGTCCCATGGCCATTGCTTGATGCATAGCCAATTCCGAGACACGAGCCATCATGGCTTTTGTTAAATGTTTGATGCGTTTGGAGAGGTCATTGACTTGAGCTGCTACATGATGGCTTTCGGTACGTCCATCCATGGTTTGGCGTTTCAGTCGATCAGTAAGCGTCGTAACTTCTTCCAAGACAAGGTCTTTTTCCAAGATGCGTTCCTCTTTTTCTGCGAGTGTTTCTTCTACGGAACGGATCTTTTCGAGGAGGGTTGTAGTGGGTGGGTCACTTCCGCCTAGGTCGCGGGTTCGACCGGGAGATTCGGGGGTTTCCATGTGAGCAGAAAGGGAAGCGACACGGGTGCGAGCAAGGTCGAGTTGGGATTTAACGGTTTGGAGGCGGGTTTGGGTTTCATGGAGAGTTTGACGGTTTGTAAGAGTTTTACCGAGTTCGACTTGGCGTTCAAGGTCGGATGCTATAATGGTGAGTTTACGAATTTCGTCGTCCTTTGCGGCGAGTTCGGCGTCTCCGCGCTGCATGACCTCTTGTTGGAGGTTGAGTTTTTCGTAGAGGATGCACAGCTCGTCGTTACGATCCAAAAGCTGCATTCCTGTTGCGTTGCGGGTTTTGAGAAGAGTGCCGTGTCGGGTGCGCAAAGCTACGAGGTCGGATTCTGCGGCGTTGATGAGGAGTTGGAGGGTTTCGATTCTGGAGAGGTTTTGGTCGATTTCGTCTTTTTTTGGTTGTTTTGTCCGGATGCGGGATATTTGAAAACACATTCATGTAGAAAAAGTGAGTTCATCGTACAAGAATGCAAAACCATTGAAATCATTACAGAATGGGAACGTGCGTATAGATTGAAGAATAACAGTTAGGTATCGATCTTGATAGAATCCACTGAAAAAGACTTGTTTTACCTCGACGTTCCCGATATTGTAACAATAACTTGTTTGCCTCATTCTTTGCTGAATCCCGTTGAGCATATGCCGCAGTATTTTCTTGTCGTTTTTTCTAGACAAAAACAGAAATTTTAAAAAAAGAGCATAACCAATGCTACAAGTTTCAATAAAAACTCACAGTTAATTCTCGTCCCTTTTTAGCAATCTCGAGACGAAGAATCTCAATCTCGTTCGACAAGATCTTGATCTTTTCCTTCATTTCCGCCGCACGTTGGGTCGTTGCTTGAATTTGGTTCAACTGCGTCATTGTAATTAAACATCATGAGCATTTGTTGCAAACGAATACCAAATATCAATACCACAACAAGAAAAATAACGTACATATTTATTTCGCTCATTCTTGACGACATCGTAAAGCGTTGCAAATTCCTTGAGACGGGTAACAGCTTCTTGACATCGTTTGGAAGCGTCCAAAACAGAGATTTCTTTAACGCCAAGGTTATCTTTGATGGTTTTCAGTTTGTTTCGAATGCGAATGAGTTCTCGAGCCTTTTTGTTTTTAAAAGCAAAGTAATTTTGGTGAACTCTTTTTGAGTTACAAACCCACATTTTTTGTTTTTCTTTTACCTTGAGTTCCTTTTCAACATTTAATTCCTCAACTTGCTTTTCAAATCCCTGAGCTCTCGTCATTTTCTCCTCCAACTCTTCATCAAGCCGTTGATTCACGCCAATCTCCCTCGCCAAATTCTCACCCAGCGTCCGCTCCCCATTTTCCGTTTTCAAATACTCGTACAGCATCAAATCAATTTCTTTACGGAGTTGAGAGGATTGTTTACGGTAATGCCGTTCATCGCGTTTCGTTTGCTCGAGTTGGCGGGTGTGTTCTGTTAGTTGTTGGTGGAGGAGGGGAGTGGAGAGGCGGATGTTGTTGACGGTTGTTTCGAGGCGGCGGAAGGATTTTAGGAGGGCGTCTTTTTCGCGGAGGGAGCGGAGAAGGAGGTCGTGTTCGCGTTTGATCTGTTTGGGTTTTTTGTTATGTGTTTTTGGTGCGTTGTGCGAGCGTGTATGTATAATGGTGGCCATGCCATAGTGGTGTTTGTTATGATCGCGGTAGTGGTTGTGTATAGGCAATGGCGATTGCATGTACGATAAATATCGGTGGTTTTGCGTGAAGAAGTTTATGTATGTGTTGATGGTATGGTAGGGATCGTCCATTGTACCAAAGATGATGATTGGCAATGGTGGTCACAGTGGATGATAATGAATAAACCAATAAAATAAAAACAAATGTCAAAAGCGAAAGGCTGCAACAAAATAATCAAAGATCTCCACACACATTACCTCAAAAACACACTTTTTCAACCCCAACTCCAACCGAACCCTCTCCCCCTTTTGCACCGCCAACTGTTCCTTGGCCATCTCATGCTGCTTAAAAATCTCATCACACTGTCGCTCCATTTCATGAATTTCCGCACGACGTTGTTCGTACTCGGCTGCTTGATCCAATTTATGTTCCTCTAAATCCTATATATAAAGTTGAGTATGCAGTACATGCCCAATGGGTGATAAGATTTTTTTGTGGGTTACCTTTCGTCGTTTGGCAAGTCGCTCGAGTTCCTTGTCGAGTTGTTGGGAGAGGGTACCTTGTTTGACGTTTTCAATGACGAGGGATCCAATGGCGTCTCGAAGGACCTCGGATTGCTTTCTAATAACCAACCCAAAAAAGAATATGTTAAATATCGAATGTCAGCATACCACAAAAAAAACATCAAAACCATTACATGATTTTCTGGGGCATCTCATTTGCTTGCGAAAACGCCGCTGCATGTCGTTCCCGATCCATTTCCAATCTCTCAACTTGTTGCATAATCATTTCATACGTTGCATCTTTTTCTTCTTGGTCTTTTTCAAGGTTTTCTACTTGGTGTCTTCGTTGTATGACTTCCAACTATACTAAAAACATTAGCGCAAAATGATGCTATTTGTAATGTACTGATATCTTACTTTGAGTTCTTTACTTGATGCAATTAGTTGTGGCTCGAGCATATCGGCCTTGTGCCGTCGAATCTCGTCAATATCGTCCATGAGTTGCCGTTTCTTTTCTTGTGATTCCGAAATGTCGAGTGTAAGCCGTGATTCACGCTCTTGGGCGAGTTTGACTTCATTTTCGGCCTACCCCAACCAAAAAAACGACACTTAATACCAAAAAAAAAAAATCCACGCCAACAAATCAAACTAGAAAACACCCACTTTGAGTAACTCCCTCTTCAGCTCCCCAATCTCTGTATTCTCCGTAAACTGCTTACTAGCCGTCCGATCAATCTCCAATCTCTGCTTTTGTACATCCCCCGCAACATCCTTGACACGCTTAATCAGTGATTTCTCATACTCGGCACACGAAAGGAGAAAAGCATGAAGAGAGCGCATACGAGACTCTAACTGCGTAATCCTATAAAACATAACATTAGGAAAAACGTTAAAAGCACAAAAGGTGTATGTATTATATTTGGTTCTTACATGGACTCAGGTGCCTTCCCACGAAGACTTTCCAAAAACTTGAATCCGGGTGAGAATTCTAGGTTGAATAAACCGCCCAGGTAGAATTCCTCATCATTTTCGTCGAGCTCTACTGTGCTTGGACGAGTTTGGGGGCGACGACGCATATCTTGGGTTGAAGGGGCTGGGTTCATAGAGACTAGATGTGTTTTTTGTTAGGATTTTGGTGTTGTGTGTGAGGTGTGATGGTGCGGGGAGGTGTTGTTACCTGGTGTCCCCTCGGTGGCGGACGGGTTCTCGTCGGGGTGATCTGCCATCGTCGTGTGCGCGTGTGTATATATGTGTGTGGTGTTGAATGCGGGGATTGGATGTAGAGATGTAGGCGGTTGAGCTGGTATCCGCCAGAAATAATCTGGGGGTTGTGTGTGTGCTGTTACGCTGCGCGGTTCAGGATCTGATCAGGTTCGGAGAATACATCTGGTATGCATTGCGTGTTGCATGTGTTGGCTTTAATCATTTGTGATTTAAGTAACCCATTTGTATCATGTCTTGTTATCTTTTTCTTTTATTGGAAATGGTGCGAGTGGTTTCCTTGCTGCTCTTGGGGTTTCTGACCTTTAATGAAATGGCTAGTGGAATTTCGGAGTTGCTGACGTGATGATTACATGATATACTCAAAAGTGATATACCCCATCACAGATCTACAAACTGCGCTCTATATACTGCATCATAAACAACAAAAAGACGGTATGTTCTATACCATTCCATCCGCAACACACATGCCCACTCCACCATCAACAGCCCCCACAATCCTCACACAATCCATCGCAAGTGCATAAACAGGGGACCGTCTCTCAACCAAAAACACTGACCTAACCAACCCACTCATCCTCGCATCCCATATTCGAACCGTAGCATGCCACGCCGTCCCACTTGAAATCAACCACGAACCCCCTGCAACAGAGTACACAGCATAGTCATCCGGATCCTCGAAAACTTGCACACAGGTACGTGTGCGCATGTCCCATGTGCGAACTGTACCATCAAACGACGCAGATAAAAGTGTATGTGGGTCTATCATGTGTGTATCGTATATACTGCTTTTGTGACCATGTAAATCCGCGAGGGGGGTCAGCGAGGTCGGTGTCACGGCGTACAGACGGAGCGGTGAATTAGAAGAGGTGGGAAAGAGATGGGAGAATCCTACGGCGAGAAGAGAGGGATGTGATGCGAATGTGGTTGTCCAAGGTCGGTTGCGGTTAAGATCGGGGATGGGAAATATGGAGCTAGTGTCGGGACTCCAAATACGGAAAGTACCATCAAAACTACATGTTAAAAAACGGGTTTTGGAGATGGGTGTAAGGGATTTCACTGCAGATGTATGCCCGGTAAGATAACCAAGTGGATAAACCGTTGTCGTCCGTTTTCGTCCGTTTCGTCGAGACTTGAAGGATTCCATATCCCATATACAGACTCCCCCTTCCGCACCCCCTGTCAAGAGACTCTCACCCATTACCCCACAGCATAGAATCTCCCCTCCATGTCGTCCCCCGACGCGTACCTGTCGTCCATAATAACCCCCCTCAAACCAAATCCCTTCAACCCACTGTCCTTTAGTCCAAATTAGTCTCTCGCCCGACATTACGATTGTAGGCATGTACACGCGTCCCCACGGTCCTTCCACCCACGCACATCGCACCTCGCCAGAATGCCATCGTTTCATGACATTATGCATGAACTCCAGGCGAGCTAGCCAAGAAGGAGGCGTTGTGGGCCATGTCTGGAGGGTGTAGGACGAGCGAGACCAGCACTGGGCCCATCCGTGGGTGGTGACAAGGGTGTGGTGATGGTGGGAGGTACGGGATAGGCGGGAGATGGAGGTGAGGGGGAGGTGGGTGAGGATCTGGAGGTAGAGTTCGGTAGGGAGGCTTTGGAGTGTGGGCGGGTCCTTGTTTTTGTGATGGGACATTGTCATGTTGGTAATGACAGGGTCCATAACCAGTTGAACAGTTGGCAGTGGTGGTGGGTAAGCGATCACGGCACAGTCATCATAGTGGTTGCTATCATCGGTTGCTGGGCTCGGTCTGGAGTTGATCTCGTCAATGGATCTTTACGTACCGACCAACACTTGAGCCTGCGATGCATCGATCAAAGTCCATGTATCGACGAGAGTATGATTCAATGACAATGTGTGCTATTGAGCGCATGCGTATAAGGGCAACGACAGGAATGATATTCACAACACACAAATGGTATTCAAAAAGCAAGACAAAACCAAAATGATCAACATATCTTTACTTTCGCTCCTTGAACACAATCCTCACCCCATTCTCAGACCTCAACACAAACCGAAACAATGGCTTCGGCTCAAACCCTTTCTCCTCAACCAATTCAAACCTCTTGAGCACACGCGCAGTAACAGTTTTGAGTTCCCCCATGGCAAAATTCTGTCCAATACAGTTACGCGGGCCAGCACTAAATGGGACAAAAGCGTACGGATCGCGACCGGCGCTGTTTTCAGGTGTGAAACGGTATGGGTCGAATTCGGATGGGTTAGGCCACAGGGTGGGGTCGTGGTGGAGGGCGTAGATGAACATGTCACATTGGCCGCCCTCTGGGACGGGGATGCTGGAGGGGAGGGTGGGAGTGTTTGGGATTTGAAAGGTGGCGGGGAGGCGACGGGAGATGAGGGGGACTGGCGGATACATTCTAAATAAACAGACAGACAGAGATGTGAGAGGCTAGTACGTCAAACACAAATGTTGCTGTTGCTGGTGGTAATCTGCGATAGATATTCGAAAATTGGGTACCCACCTTAAACACTCTTTCACAAACATGGTCGTGAAAGGCAACTTGCCCAACTCATCATGCTCCAACTCGGTTTTCCCATCCAAGACACCATCCACCTCCTTTCTAGCCAATTCTTGGAACTCGGGGTACTTTGCAAGCGCATACATGATCCAAACCAATCCAGACGCCGTGGTATCATGCCCTTCAAATAGAAATGTATTCACTTCATCCAAAATGTCCTGTTCGGGGAGAGGTGCACCCGTCTCATCTCGGGAGAGGAGAAGAATGTCCAAAAAGTCGGGATAGCGTTTTGTTGTGGTTATTGTGTCGTCTTTTTCAGAGGGTGCAAGGAGTTCTTCGATCGTCGATGATTTTGCGTCGGCTAGCTCTGCGCGGCGTTTGGCAATGACGGATTTGGCGGTACCGTGAATAACGGATAAAGCGGCTTTGGTCTCCCGGGCGTTACCACTAAACTGCCAGATCCAATCCGAGTACAACCAAGGTGCTTTGACGCGGTCCATGAAGAGGTCAAAGTAGCGGTACAGAGCGGTAATGTAGGGGTTGTTGGGAGTGGTTTGGCAGGCAGTTTCGTGAGAAAAGGCACAGCGGAGGATCACGTCGAGAGTGAGGAGGGAGACGTCGGCAAATAAATCGACGGTAGTACCGTCTTTAGCGGGTTGAGACATTTTGTCGAGAAAGACGTCTGTGCACTGGTTTGTGACCTTTTGGTAGCCTTTGAGAATCTGTTGGTACGAGGGGTGAGTCAATGTTGTGAGTCGCAGGATAGTCCATTCAAGAGACTGTGGTGAGCATAGTCTGTTGAAGAGACTCAACGACAGTTAAAGTGCGACCCCACTTCATGTGCTATCCACTGGCCATAGCTCGATGTCACCCCCTCTCCCACTATGGTTCTATCAACTTGGAAAACCTTTGTGCTATCGCATCTTTGTTTTTATGTCCCTCGGCCATCCTCGCCATAGCTCACTGTCACTCTCGTCTCCACGACGAGCGTTAGCGAGTCGTGTCCCTAACCCCAACTCGAACCCGAATCCAAGCCCAAATCCAAATCCTACACCAAACTGTAACCCACCTCATAGTGAAAAGCGGGGGTCAAGAGCCTCCTCCTCTTGTGCCACTTTTTGCCAGAGCTATGGAGGAGACCGTCACCAAGCCAATTGCGAAAGAGGTCATAGGTAAACGGTTTTCCTTCGGTCGAGCGCAGGACGGGTTTGATCGTGTCTGAATGGGTGACGACAGCAGACCAAGTCGGGCCCCACCACTAATAAAAAGATTTAATAAAAAAAAAGTAAAGGGGAGAATGAGAGAATACAACTCACAGCAATGTGCACTTTAGGAAACTTTCTGGCAAGGTCGAGCATGGCAGGGACCTGTTTTGGAGTCATAATGTGAGTCTGACGAAGTGTGCCAAACAACCATTCTGGACGGGGGGATGGAATGGGGGCCGGAATGGAGGCATAATCGAATTTCTTGTAGATCCAAAAGCCCAATGCGAGGGCGAGTGCCAGGGCAATGCCAGCAATCATGATGAAAAACACAAAGAAAAAAAAAAATGAGGGAAATGCAAGAGTCCGTGTCGCGACTCGTGAGCAGGAGGACGAGGAGGAGGGCGTTAAGAAAGCAACAAGTAAATAAATCAAAGAACGAGGGCTGAAGACCCCTCCAAACCGGACATCCGAACCGAAAGAGTACGACTGTAATACAATGTAACGATCCATATCACGGCGGAACAAATAAAAAATGAATGGTCAATATTTAATAAGAATGGGGAATATTGCACAATTTCACGGCTGTAAAAGGATAACAAAACGTTCCATTTCGAGTATAGTTCCAATTCAAAAAACAATGGGGGAAGAATAAACAAAAATATAAGGCTAGTTTGTTCAAAGTGTGAAAGGTGTGATTAACGAACACGTGTTCAGTCGCTCTCATGTGACTTGTCAACTGTATTCTAAAGCAGATCAACTAGTGTGAAATGAGTGCATGGATGAAAATGTATGAAATGATCGAGTAAATGCTCTCTGAGAAGGCATGAATGAGTGTGTGTACGAAACGAAAACAAGAGGAGGCTACTGTCTTGTCTCTCGTCCGTTCTTTGCACTCGCAAACCGATCTCAACCACTGACTGACTGACAAAGTCATAGCAAAGTAAACAGAAAGATATAGCAACGTGTACAGAATTCTACCACTATTACATGAGTGGCAATATAATGTAATAGCCATTTATGTATAGTTCAAACCAAACTGCTGAGCTTGTCTGGTGAACTCATCCCCGCGGGATATCTCATAAAGGGAGACATTTGCACGTGATAAAAGCTCATGCAGCAAGGATCCAGCAAGCATCCAAGTTTTAATTGGCCATGTCATGTCCTGTAATTTGGGTTTTTAAAAATTCCAATATATTGACAGATGCCTACATCAGATTCAAACTTATGGACATATATCTCTGGAATGTTCGTAACAGTCCTCATCTCTTTGGAACAAAGACCCCATTGTAACAACCAATCATCCGATAACCTCCAGGTCGACTAAAGTTGTCCCACGTAATATCCTGCGCTGTGGGTACAACATCCGCAGAGTCCCAAACGGTGAGCACGGAATTCCTTGCCTGGTAAACCATCGTTGAAGTGATGACTGCGTGGTACCAGGTGCGGGTCCCTTGGACCATTTCAAGCGTTTGAGCAAAAGGCTGCCCTCTAGCAAACACATCTGCTTGGGTCGCCGCCCTATCAGGGTTCGCAGCGACATATTTCAAATTGTAAACTTTTTCAAGTGCGACGTCGATCACCTTGGGCTTATTGTCGAGTTTTCCGAAAACTGCAGTCACAATCTCTTGTTGCGTGTAAGCTGCCAATCCCAAAGCTCTCGCAATCGACTGGCATACAACGGCCCAACACCATTGAGTTCTTTCTTGTCCTTCCGTCATGTTGAAATTGTTGATGCTGTAGGTGCCATACGAAACCTGCAAAAATAATGGACAGTGTTACTTGAACTTGGACGTTATTTTTTTTTTTTTATTTTATTGTATTTTTTTCGCAGCCTTTATACCTCTGGTGTTCCAGGCTGATATGGGTGGTCGGGATTCGGTTTCAGGCCCGGCGGTTGAGAGCTTACGATGTCAAGAAAGGTGGTCAGCGCCTTCGCCATATCCGTTCTACCAACTAGTTGTGTACTCCTGTATGGAAACACATGGCTCAAGGATACAAAGTAATCTTTTGTCATGAGACAAAGTAAAAATAAATTAATTTTAATCGGAATGGAGGAGCTCTCCGATGGTCCTTTTACCTTTGTCCTTGTTGACAAGATTTTTCAACCAGATCACACAAACACCCATGACCAAGACTAGACGGAACTCGAATCGATCGCGTTGTCGCAAACCGCTCTGCACGAGTGCATGCATGGTGTCTGCCATGCCACCAAACCAGGTCACAACATCTTCGTACTTTTTCGTATCAGCTCGATATTGAACCTTGATCGAGAGGTGTTAAGAGTGGTGACGCCAAATAGGAGCGGTACAACAAAAAGGGAACTATACCAGAGTCAAAATGTTGTCACCACCGTTGGCATACAATCTCGCAAACCCACAGCGATTCTCAACCTTTTGAAAGTCGTTGGTGGTGTGCACCTCGAACGCGGGGCTAGTTGCATGATGTAACTTGTCCCGCTTCAGAATGGAATCAGGTAACAGGTTTTTATCGATATCGTTAGGCAGACTTCCAAACTTTAGGGGAGTGGTGATATCCTGGCCTTCATCGGGAAGCTCATCATGAGAATACGTAAGGTTGCTGGAAAAGTCTCTGGAAGCGACGTCCTGAACGAACACCACCGCCGACTTTTTGAGCACGTAGACATCACGCTGAGGGGGAGAATGATTCTTCGCGGAGGCGAAGTACGGGGAGATGGAGGGATCAAGTGCAGCGATCGTCTGCTCGCGAGGAATAATATTCCAGACCGATCCGTCATCAGAGGCGTGCGTACCAGTGTCATCCCATACTTTGGATCCAATCTGGGCCGGGGTTAAGCATTTAATGTTGACTGCTTTGATACCATTAGCTTCGGCAGCAGAGGGCGGATTCTGGTCACCGACGTCTCCACGGAAGAAATCGCCCAAGACGGCGTAATCGACAGGGTTACTGGCCAGTCCTCGCCAAAGGTTATAATTTCCAGATTTGCCAGACCCATGATCATCCCAGACACGCTGCCAACTGGCGACATCCGCCAGCGCACCAGAGTTGGGGACAATCTCTTGAACAACAACCGTCCGTCCCGATGGGGTGTTGTAGTTGGGAAAGGCAATTTGGCCTAAGCTGTACCAGCCACCACCAATATCCGCCTGGCAGACGCTCAGGTCCGAACGTGACCCGCTACCACGGTCAGTATACTGAATGTAAGAAAGTGGAACAACCTTTGCCCGAAGGTAAGGTCCACTATCGACAACGTAATGTTCCTGGTATTTTTCGCAGTACTCAGCAAAGGCCTTGTGAAGAGCGTCACTCCTGGCAGGAGTAGAAGCCAAACCCCAAATCGGTTGTAAACTGTTGAAATCCAGGAAATCCACAAACGCAATATAGTCAATGACACTCTTGGCCCAATCATTAGCGTGTTCAGGGAACGAATCGCCTCCGAGGCCGGGACTCCCACCCGTCGTACGCAAATGAGTGGTACTATTCTCATTAAAGGACCGAATGTCATTACGAAACTTAAGTTCTTCTTCCGCAGAGATACTTCCAGTGAGCGCCTTGTAAGAAGCCTTGGCAACGATATCAAGACTAAACTTTGAACTGAAATCGAACTTGTTGGTGCTCGATGTGTAGACTGCACGTCCACCCATCACCAAACTGGCCACATAGTGTGTGCCATAGGTATTGAACAACTGGAACGGATCCATGTTATCAATGTCGGTCTGGACTTTGGGATCCACGAGTTTGGATGCAGTCGAACTCGGAGGTAATTGCAAGGTATAAAGATCGACATTATATTGTACTTTGCTGAACGACATTTGCGAATTCTCAGCCGTAGATTGTCCGAAATCGCTCTCAATAGACCCCGAAAAGAAGTTATACTCCCCCTCGATTTTCGTCCTAGAGTTCACTTGGGACACAAACTCTTTAATCGACGTTCCAGATGCCGTCCAAAACTGAGTTCCAATGGCAGGATGCTCGGTGATCAATTTCGGTTTCGAGAACAAGTAGCCTCGTGCTATTTCCACTTGTTCAAATCCATCCTTGTCCAATTGGAACAGCCTGGCACCGCAGCTTGTAGCATCTGCGTAAAAGCCTCGAAGGACGTTATATCCACAGCCAACAAAATCCGAGCCGGGGAGAATGGTGAGCGGATCATCGTCAGGTAACTTTATGGGAATGCGTGGGCGTTTGGTCGGGTCTGATTGTCCCGTCATTGCGCTGTTTCGTATATTTGCCAAAAGTAAAACTTTCTCTTTGCTTTGCACAGATATGCAGATCAGGTTTCGCTATACGGAGGGGAATGAATTCCCAGAAACACCCCGCCTTTTTATACTGTTTGGAAAACCCCATAGCATTCCCCCCAATGGAGAACTTAGAACCACACAAAAACCTCAGAGAACTTCCAATGACAGAACGTGAGTAGACAAGTCGAAAAACGCATTCATCGGCACAATTTCGGAAGCAAGGCGGGGGTGGAGACTAATTCCGTTTCCAACTTCCGGGCTGAGCTTAATTACATACATCCCACCAACGAAAACGTGCCATATCCTCCGGTCCTCCGTTACTCTCAACCACTCACCTCTCTCACATCCCTCTCACCCTTTCAATGATTGTATACAAGCATGGTTCCGATGTCCTCGCATGAGGACATCTGCCCATGAGGAACGGTTCCGATGTTAATATAGCCCAATACCCATGTTCCCAATTACCTGCCGCTGAGCAAAAGAAAGCCAAGCTCTATTACTAATAGAATATCATCTACACTCAGTTGTTCGGGGGCAAGGTACAACTTGCAACACACCTTTATGGGGCGGGGTTCTTTATTGTGGCATTTGATCAGTCGGCTGAGTAGACCAAAGCTGTTAAAGCGCGTTCTTCTAAAGTGTTCTCCCCTTGAAAAGGTTGAGGTCCCCGTGGGCATTTCATTTTGCTGCCCTGAAGATTATACAACAAATCTGTAAGCATGATAGGGGGTTGTTTGTGGGCGTGGACCATTGAATCGCAAATATTATTCGACGTTAAACAGATAGATTGCCGATGGAGCAATAAGAGCTGCTTTTACGAACACACGCACATCGCGTGCTGCTTACAAGTACTTTGAACTGCGCCTCTTTGTGTACATAAGCACGACAGGTGGGTCCTACAACCCTCCTTGTTGTCGACAAAGGAAATGAACAAGCCCACAAACCTTTTGCTGTGTTTCATTTGAAAAGAGGGTAAATCTGCTCCACCCATCGGAACAGATGACTGAATGCTAGATAGATGGGTTCCCAATGGATTATTTGTCTTGTGTTCAAACGGCAATACCACTCCTTCACTGTTATTTACAGTCACCCTCTGGGGCTACACGGCAACCCAGATTGCAACCATGCTTAGAACGTGAGTAGCAGTAACCGAGTGGTACATGCCCCATTATGTACAAAGATTGTAAATGCGTGTTGGTCAATCAAAGATCTATTATACTAATAGAAAGCCAGAGAAATACCACACACAAATCCCGATAAAATGCATATATATAAAAAAAGAAAATAGGAGACCCTGGTTTGCACCATGTTTTGGATCATGTCTCATAGGTCGCACATCGGTAGCAAAAGGGTCCGTAGGCCTAGCGGACGCTTCCAGTGTATCCAGCGCCGCAGTATGTTGTCGATCAGGTTACGATTGAAACTGCCAGACTACTTTCTCTTCTGCGGCGCTTCCGGACTTGTTCGACATAATCTTCCAAAACCAGCTCCTCTCCTAAGATCTCATGTCGCTTTCTTACTTGCTTCTTCAGTACGCTCTTGTGCGCGGCCTTGCGTTGGACTTTTTACCAGTACTCATTCCAAGCAATGTCGGTGCCCTTTTTGAATCGCAGGATTTGGTCCACAATAGCCTTCATCCGCTCACGTTTCTTTTGGCTGCAGAAACGATCTTTTGCAAAGATCTTGTGCAGCATTTCGGCGGAAGCAGTGAGATCCGTTAGCGCCGCTTCGGGCCCTTGATTCTCACACTTGAACTTTTGTAGATAGTTTTTGGTGGAAAAACTTTGGTTGTAGCTTTGGTTGTAGTGGACGATCCTTGCCAGATAGTGCATCTGTGCTGGTCGATTGTTCACTACGCCGGAAGCAGTAGGAAGCATAGAGGAGAACAACAAAACGGAAAAAGAGCGAGGTCAGTAAGACTATTCTTATGAAAGGAAAACGGATACAGGAGTAGGGAAGCCATGAATCCAGTAGAACGAGACTAACTCCAGAATCCTTCGTGAATCGCATCGGAAGCACGAACAGAAACGTAGCGTCAATTTTTCTCACAATATGGAGAGGTGCCGTGAAAAATAGCACATCGAAACGACGAGGATACGACATGATGCCATGAACCCAGTAGTACGAGACTAACTCCAGATTCCATCGTGAATCGCTTTGGAACCACGACGGAAACGGAGCGTCGATTTTTCTCCATACCAGAGCCGTACCCTCAGGCAGTCACGCTGCGCAGCATTGGCAGTTAGATCCACCCGCCGACTATTACACAGTAGTCGATAAATTCATCTCCCAGAGCAAAATGCACGAACGCCAGCCGGTATGAGACAGCATGCAAGCGAGTCGTATGCTCACGTCTAAACGTCGAGGATCCGCCCACAGGCATACCATCAGTTTTATCCCCCCATAGGGGGGCCATACCCTCAGACCTCCTTTCTGCACGCCTGCAGGGGAATCAAGTCCGCCATCAAGCACCCAAGGTGCGATCCGATGCGCTCGGTACCTTTCGCGTCTGCGAGCAAGGGCCCATTTTCTCCTTTCCAAAAGTCCTTTGATGTACCTTCATCATCGATAGGCGCATTCTCTTCTTCTATCCCCAACATTGTTCTGTCAGTGTGGTGGAAAAGGAACGCGAGATGAAACGTGGGAGAAACACAGGCACGTCCATTTTATAGTGCGAAAGGAGCGTCCGTAGGTAAGCAGTCCGTCGACGTGCGCGAAAATGGCAAGTCCGAAAGCATCAAGTCCGAAAACGCGAGCAAACAGTCCGACCACCGCCGTCAGGCCCGCCCATGAACTTCTGCATGTCCTGTATGTCCTTTGACGTTATTTTTGTTTTTTCCATGGCAAACTCTACCAAAAAAAACCTTTAACGTCTTGCCAAGGATGGCTGTCACCCTTGCGCTACGGATCCCTTTCTGAAATACTACATGACCCCTTTACTTATACTTGACCCCATTACTTCAGAAACAAAATAAACAAACGTAGTTAGGCTAATTGTCAGGAAGTTACACCGAAATGACGCTTATTCTGTTGGAAGGTCGGGAACTTGGTCCTTCTAGAGAAGGTTCAATGTAATTTGTAACATACGGGTTCCTCAGTGTGACGGCCATAGTGTGCCATATATCTGAACCCTCGAAAGCAAGGGAACTTGGGATACAGAAACCCTTTTTAAACATGACTGGTATTGTTTCGGGATTGGGTAAAATGTGAGGCCTAGTATAGCGGGATGGTGGCTCACAACGTGCATACCCGAACCAAACCCCATGAAAATCATTGAAAAGAATTAGGGTCATGCTTAATGGGCTATCTAAAAATATCAGGTTGGAAGTGTCCTCATCGATAGACGCCTGGCATCGAAAGACATGGCAAGTCCTCATGGCTTTGTTGGTTGACATGACACTTCCACAGCGTTGCCGTGGCCGATGAGAGTCCTTATAGGCTCTGAAGTGACTCCTATACGTGCAAAAGCATGCGTTGGGTCGACGTGAGCTGCAACGGTGATGAGCGCCCTGGTAAGTTACCAATTTAGTGGGTTGCTGTCAACTCGAATACGCCTGTTGCTATATTTAACAAGGATTTTGATGCCAGAATACGTCTGGATTTTTGATAGATGGGGATCCCGGATACGTGATCCATCCGTTTTCCTCCTTCAAAATCCCAAAAGCTGTTCTTTTGTTGTTAAAAATAGAATCACATCAATTGACGTTTTTCATATTTCTAATAATGTATCTCTCCATCGATCCGCTATTCTTACGCACTTTTAATTTGAAGTCCTGTCAAATTGCTGGATTTTTTTTTTTCCATACGCTGTTCGGGTACCCTTGTAACCGAGAAGTATAAGTACGGGTCCCCTCTACCACCTTGCGCCCTTTCCAAACCTAAGCATCCTTTCACACATCCTCTGTGTTTTTGTGGAGTACCATAACGTCTGCATTTGCTCCCGTAACCATGATGAGCGAAAACGTCCGGGTGGCCATCGTTGATGACAACCCCATCATGCAACAGATTATGGTGGTATGTATGTCTTTTTGTGCGGTAGCGACACGAATAGGCCTTGACATGGTATCTCTGGTTTGCAGAAAGCACTACACAAGTACATGCACGTACGAGTTGCACCGGAGGATGTGTTCACCGACGGGTTGTCCCTCCTTAAAGCTTTGGCGATGTGGCGGTATGATTTGATTCTACTTGATATTGGTATGTAGTTTTCCTGTTCATCCAGGATGGAGTTCATCGCATTATTTCTCATGCTGATGCTGTTTCCCATTAACAGAAATGCCTATCATGGACGGTCTGCAAGCAACACTTCGCATCCGCAACCCAGTAGAAGACCCTGCCAACGCCTCGGTGTGGACCAACCTTCGCAACTCAGTGTTAAATAGCAGCGGTCGCAGCTCCGAGTGCTCTCGCAGTACGCGCCCCGCAACACCTTCACCGACTGTTCGGCAAATGCGGTATGCTCTCACGTCTGTTGGGTCCGGTACCGCTCCCGAGATCAACAACGACGTTGCGTTCAGGATATTGGAGGAAAACAGGACCGTTCCGATCGTTGCCATTACTGCCAATGCTTTCCTCGACGAACAGCGACGACACTGTATGTCGGTGGGAATGAATGACGTTGTTTCCAAGCCCATTACCCCAGAAGCCATCAAAGATATCATGCGAAGATATTTAGACTCGGACCATTTTCACATGCGGTTAAGCGTAGACGACTTGGCTGAATTGGTTGAACCGAGGGAACAAGAGAGGTGTCCAAGACGGGATCGAAACGGGCAGGCAAACGAACGGTCGAATGGGTCTGAGCATACCGTCGAGGATCGTCCAATAGCGTTTCATGCCTCGCTACCCCGGAACGTGGGTAAAAAACTACCTCCGCTCATGCGAACAGCCATGTCTACGCAAAATGTGCTGGGACACCGCGCACCATCAACCGAATCAACAACACACATATCGAGCCTTCATAGCGATTCCGAAGGCCGTTTTCGTTCTCAGAATATAGCGGGGCGGTCCTACGACAGTGATGATTCGACAGCAGACAGACTTTCCAGTCAATCCCTATCAACTCGCTCAACAACTACCTCTCTATACCTTGACCCAGATGGCAGCCTGTCCCGTCCCCAGGAAAAAATCGCACAAAACGTTTCCAATCCATCACTTCGTCGACACGCCTCGGAGAGTATAAAATCTACCTTATACGGTGACCCTGAAGGTCGGTTTCGCCCAAGTCCAGCTGCTAAACACCGTTCTGATGAGACTACGGAACCCATTCGGCGTCCGTCTCCGCCGGCGGAGGCGCATCCCTCTGCCGATGTTGGTCGTTTGGGCTGTGGAGTGGCAAGTGGAGGTGGATCCATTCGACGAGCTTCGAGTGTGAGTCGAAAGTCGCAGGTGGGCCGACCGGTGGTACCTGACCGGGATGTGAATGCTGTGCAATGAGGATTACTGGGTGGTAAACTTTTGGATTATGGACACTGGGTGATGGGAACTGTACACTTTATTTTTCTGCTAGATACTTCTTTTTTTAGTTCGTTTTTTTGGTTCGTTTTGTTCAGACAACGTTGGATTTTTTTTTTTTTCTTTTCTTTGCGACTCTTCTATGACCAAAACTCAAATATATACCTGGTAGTTTTCTTGGAGGATCATTACGGGTTCACTATAACGTCTGACTTTATCTCTTTGAGTTTTACTCCTGGCTTCACTTACCATGTTGGTCACGCTCATTCAATAAACTTGATGAGCTCGACACCTGTGATTGTCACCATCACCGCCTGCCAATACCTCTTTAAAATGAGGAGCTGTGTAAATCTATGCTTCTCCAAACTGCGGTTCAGCGTGGTCAAGGTTAACAATGAGAAATTCCGGCCCTACAATGGTCTCATGAAAATCTGTGCGTCGGTAGCTGAGCCCACAGCGCCTGGCTCTCAATTTTAGAACGCTCATCCATTGCTTCACTGCGCTTTTCACCATATACAGCAAGATATCATTGTTTCTTTGTAGAGCAGTTTGTTCAAATTTGAATGCATGTCATACGTATAACGAATTGCAATGAAACGATAAACATTGTGAATCCATATATGGACGATCGTGCTCAAAGGTGGGATCCTTTACTTGATATCCACCAATACACATCCAGCAGAATAGAGTGTGGTCGTCGAAGGTTCGTTTCCATAAGCTGCCACTACATCAGAATAACCAAAATTACTTGGTTGAGATATCCAATGTACGGTGAAACTTTTTGCTTTATAGGATTCCTTGAAGTATGAAGCATCCGGTTCCCGTTCGTATAATTCGTGACCATCGTTGAAACCGCCCCAAGGAATGTACATGAAAGTATCATCTTCGTCTTCGTCGCAACCCTCTGCTTTTGCAACCAGATACTTTTTAACAACTACCGGAGTTGTCGATTCCCTTTTTAACAGTTTGATCGTGTTAAAAGTCACCAGATCACGACCTTTCATTGGAGAACCGGCTACGTAAATGTGCTCCAACGGGAAACCAATAGTTCCTTTGAATCCATGACGGATAAGCTCTTCCATTGTCGTAAGGAGTTTTTCATCAGTGGGTGAAACTTTATCTGCAATCCCAACAGTGTCGCCTTCGTAGAGATTGTAAGTCAGAGTGATTCGATTGCCAGATGTGACTTTTTCCACTTTGTGGGTGCAATCAGAATAGAACGCAAACCATTGAATATAACCCTCCTGTATGGCAGCGTTACCATACTGCAGGACCTGCTTTTTGTGTCGAACGACGAAGTTCCCTCCTGTGTATGGTTGATTCAGAACAAGTACGAGTGATCCAAACATGCCGTTGCCTCTAGGTGTGTCCTTGTGTGACTTGAAGAAGCCTCCTTCCTGATAGACGTTCAATTTGTAGAGTTCCGCTTGTAAGGCGTGTTTAGAATGGGGCAAGAGTACTTCTTTGATAGTATGTAGAATATCAGTTTCGGAAAGTTGGAAGGAACTGGCAAATTTGTCGGCATCCATCTTTAAAGCTTTCCGATAAGATTCGTCCATGACTTCTGTCTTTCCTACTCCGAATGTGGCTGGTTGGCATGAATCGACAAGTTCCTTCAGGTCATTATTCGGAAGGGTCACGGTTCTGATAGTTTTTGATTCCTCAGAGTCGGGTGAGTTGGATTCGTAGTAAATACGGATGGGATCCTTTAGTTTGATGGCCCCGGCACATGCAAACGTTGATTTTTGGCTTATGAATGCTAAACGAACATTATTAAGAAGGTCTGTAGTCTTCTCATTATCGCTCATGTCCATCTCATCGTCGCTCATGTTTGCCTTTGTCAAAAGTCAAGCGAGGAAAAGCATGCAAAATCTACAAAGATCTCATACCACTTTGAATCGATGATTTCTACTTTTTGATTGTTGTTCTTGATGGGCGACCTATTGATAGATTTTGATTTCGCTTGTAAGAGCCAGAGCGAGAGGATTTAGGAAAATCGACGTTGTCCCGTTTTATAGAGGAAGAACATGAGCGATGTGGCGCATCATCCTGGTCCATCCCAACAAGGTGTCTTTCCAAAACAAAAGACATGTAAGAAACACTTTGATCCAGGACGGAAAATAGATGCCATGGCGATCCTTCCTTGCAAACGGCGTCCATGTCACTATCTTAAGGGCGACCATGGGTACCGGAAAGGAGTTCTATTGATAGATAAATCTGTAGTCGTCATATATGAATTGTTCAAGTTATTCTTGGGCCTTGACCCTAGCATGGATATTCTGGGCATCGTCTGCTTGTGGGCAATTTGTTTGCTTTTCAGCTGGCGTCAAGCTTTCGACGTCACCGGCGGTCTTCTCCTCAGTGGCAAGGGTAGTTTAAAATAGCTAACCTACGACTTTTGTCCGCGCCTCGATGGCAAAAATAGTCTTTCACCGCTTGAGGACTCCATGGAACACAGGTGAAACCTCTGCGGTCTTTGCCACCTTGTCCATAATCGTTATACAACTCATGCAAGTCTTGGACAAGCCTGGATGCGCCGTTATCAGCCCACACTAGTAGCCCGATCTCGACCGTTCACACTCTGAGTAGTAAATTCTTTGCCAACCCAAGCATTTTATAGACCAAGTACACCTGCAGCATAATAAAGCACTATAGCCTAATAATAAGCACCATAAAATCCCCAAATCCTAACCCTAGGGAGATGCATAGTGTGTAGGCAAAGCTCTATCAAAAAAACACATAACAAAAAACGCAAACGAATTCAGAATGAAGTCTTAACAAGGTGAAGGAGGCGAGTTCGAATCTCGGTCGAAACCTCTGCGAGCACACGTGTTATTCGGGGTCCCCCCCTTTTTAGACTTCTCTAGACTTTCATTTAAACAACTGATCGGCGGCTCTAACCAACTACCAAGTCTCGTTTCCCAGTGGTAAAACGAGAGGACTTGCGACTTGGTCGAGAACTCCATGGCCCAGACAAAACAGTGTTTTTAAGACTGTAAGACTCTCGACTCTGCTATTCAACACACACACACACACACATATTGCATCTCCAGAGTATTTAAGTGTTTTATGTGTTTGTATACAGGGATGAATAACAACCGCAGAGGGCTGAGGATCTTGCCTCCTTTGTTCCCACCGTGTCCTGCGGGACACACAACAGCCTTTGCAGCAACAATCGTCTCTCATCACGGGGATGCATGCATCTCCTCGAAAGAGCCGGCGATTCGCTTTACCTACTCATCCTCAAGCCACTGACGTTGCTGACGCGGTCACAGTCGTTTCTCATACGGGGAGTCTCTTGGTTGCAGGTACCATAGACGGGCGTGTGGTCGCCTGGGACGTGCATACTGGGCAACTCGTTTGTTCAATACCATCGTACTCTGAGAAACAGACGATGGTAACCTGCCTATTCGGAATCGGTATTCCTGGCTTTGAGCGCTGCTTTGCTGGTAAGGCAGATGGAACGGTCTCTGAGTATGATCTGCAAAGTGGTCAGCTGGTCTCTACGTGCGGTTATTATGAATCTCGGGTCCGCTGCTTAACTTACGATGTACGAGCTAGAAAATTGTTGGTGGGAACAGGTGAGGGACGAGTAGCAGAAGTGGATGTACGAAAACATAATCCTGGCCGAGTGGGAAGATATCTGGAGAAGTTCCCACAACAGGAAATTGGTGCAATGTGCTTTCATAAAGGGCGGCTATACATTGCTGTCGGCTGCACAATTGTTTGTCGACCGAACTCTACAAGGTCGACCTACCCATTGCAACATGCCGCTATAATTGATGCCATGTGCATCGCAATGGGCGACAAGAATTTCCTTTGTAGCGCGGCAAGGGACGGTTCAATATGTCTGTGGCGATTTAGTGGGCAGGATTTGATTTGCGTAGCGTCCGCTTTTGCCCGCTCTCCCAGCGCAATCAAACAAGTTTCGCTTCTGCGGATGAATTTAACATGGGATGAGAGCCGTGAGCGGTTGTACAGTTTGCGACATGACGGTATCGTCAATGAATGGAAAATCGGCGTGACCAGCAACGAGGACAGCAAAGTGGCATTATCGTGCACATCAACATATATGACACGGCAATGTCATGCCGAACAGATCTACTCTCGTTTCTCGCCTTCATTACCACCTCCACCAATATGCAGCGCTGTCGGCCGTTTATTCACCAAGGATACTGGTTGCGTTGTAGAGTTGGAGCATGTAAACAGACAACCGTTGGACTGGAGCGGGAAGGAGCAGGAGGAGTCGATCAATGACGTCCTCAATGCACAAGTACGAGTCGATGGCGGTGTTCTCGATGCCCAAGTACGAGTATCTCTGGATGACGATAAGACGCCCGTACGTGTCTCCCTGGAGGATGATGGAGAACATCAGTATGTTTTCATTAGTGCAAGGATCAAGGATTGACACTCGAATAATCAGAAGGCTGACCACTCGAACGTGAAAATCGACCTTTACCAGACCAGTTTTTCCTGGTTTACTTCAGTATCCGGAGCTCCCATGGGTGCAACTCAGGATCCGAAATTCTCATTCGCCAGACTTACCAATGCTACTCCTCAATGGAGATTAGGTTGTTTCTTGGTAGAGTGTTTACTGTATGCAATCCAACCAAATGCCAACGCCAAGTGTAGCTATATAGAGGGGGTGAATAAACGGCTGGACTGCAGGGGTTTTGGTAAACCACATTGGGCAAAGCTCGGCAAGGGCCGTGGTGGAACTAAGTTTAGATAATCATTGAACGAGCAACAAATAGAGAATGTCCTTTCTTATGGTTCAAACACGAACGAAGGGTATTTGAGCACTTTGAACATCAACCTGTGCGTCGAACGATCACTTTCCTGGGCAAAGCTCATCGCCGATTTACTAGTAACTGCTTTCGCATCGGAGGCAGTTGCTCCTTCAAATCCAGGGAAAACCCCCAAGACCAACGCTCCAGGCCACCGGCCACATCCAGGCCTGGCCACGGCACACCATTTGGAGTCACGTGTTCTCCCTGAAATCTGCACAGCGAGGGAAAAGTTTAGAAGCCGCGTCGATCGTAGTCGACACGCCCCGTTTGGAAGGATTATTTTGGGGCTGTCCACCTCCGTTCCCCCGCCTTGTTAGATAAGACCTCAACGGACGCTGTTTCTCATCTCTTGCACTGCTCAAGATCGCAAGAAGGCGCACTGCATTTTCATTTCCTTCAACGTCGCGGGGGATGGCCAACCTGGCACCTCCCGTACCTCCGCACCATAGCGATGCAATATCGGACGAACTCTCCCCATCTGAGGGACAGCCTCCAAATGAGTCCCTAGAGATTACTGGAAGCACTGGAAGCGGGAAAGGGCGGATGGTCCTGGCGTGTGGTAAGTCCTTTTGACGGGTTGCAGCTGCGGGATATGCGGTCATTTTGAAAAGGCCGAATACAAAACGCTTGCCCACGTGATATGTTTGAAGTTCTACTTTTAAACAATCCATCTTGTCGGCTCACATGGATATTTTGTGGGCCATGGTTCAGATCGCTGCCGAACAAAGAAGCGAAGATGCAATGGTGTCCGTCCGGTTTGCAATAATTGTCAACGCGCGCATAGTCGGGGTGTTCCAGATGTGGTATGTAATTATGCGACGACGACAAAGAAACGTGGGAGAAAGAAAGGATATCGGGACGCGTTACTTCAAAAGTTAAACTATTTGGAATCGATGTTGATGCAGAACGAAGGGCAGGGAGATGTCAATGGTCAGCAGCTGTCGGCAAGTGAAAACTTTAGTCATGCCGGGCGACGGTCGCTGCAAGAAAATCTTCGAACGGTCAGCGATGCGATGGATATTCAAGGGGAAAGTGGGGATGATAATGAGGATGACCTGGTTTATGAATCTCCACCCATCACAGATGGCTCTACCGCCAACTCGTCACGCAGCGCATCGTTTGCACGGTCGCAGAACATATCAATGGCGAATCTTGTCTCTCCTTATAACTCTGGGCAATCACCCGTGCGTGCAGTCCTTCCTGGGGCTCGCCCCGCGATAGAGGACGATAACTTCCAACCTGGATTTACCGACACTGATGGTTATCCTACATGCACAGAGATGGGTACTGGATTGAATGGATCTAGTGCTTTGAGTATGAATCGGACCATGGGGATAACAACGTCGGTGCTTAGTGGGCCTCTTTCACCACGTACATCGAGGTCAGGAATGGCGTTCAACAATGGACTCGTCCGTAGCGGTTCTCGACCGGGTTTGACCGAATCTAATAGTGCAAAGGGATGGCCATTTACAGGTATGTTTAAATAAGAGCAAGTTATCGCCATGGACACTACTGACACGTCCATATATGACGCTTAGAACCAATGTATAAGGCACCGACTTTCCCTAATTTCTCTTCTTCCATCTCTGAGATCGAAATCGACCCAGAGTATTTGAGATCACTGGGTAGTGGCCTCGACAATGTCTTTGCTGCCTTCCCTCCCCATGTGCAGCTTCCCAAGCCTCTCATTTGCATGCGTCCCGGTCTCGTTCCTGAGCTGTATATCCACCTCCTGGCTTGTTACTTTACGTTTGTGAATGTCTGTTTCCCCATGTTCGACGAAGTCCTCTTCTTTGAAGACTTGATCCCTGTCAACCGACATCCGCCTGCTCTCCTTAACGCCTTGTGTGCATATGGATGTTTGCATTCCCGGCATACTGCCCTTTTTGAAACGCCATATCACAATCCGCGAAAGGCAGCACAGTATTTCTTCGATGAAGCGGTTAAAGAGATTGACAGCATACCGGACTCGATGCAGCATGTTCAGTTGCTTGTTTTGCTGGGGGTTTGGGACTTTGGGCAGGAGTATAGGGGAACCAGTTGGCAGTATATATGTAAGTACCCAGTTGACCCATTTTAGGTGTTCTTAATTCCAACATTGGGCATATAATTAATGGGGCATTAAGGACAGCTTTGGCGATCCGTGAAGCAGAGAAGATCCAGTTGGGCTACAAAACTGGCCAGCAGGCGGACTACCTGTACACGCTGTGGAAAGTACCTGGGACGGACGAATTGTCGCCCTTGGAGGTGACGGAGCGCAGACGAACGTGGGCGTATACGTTTGCTGTCGACACATTCTCTGCCCTCGTTTCTGGGTTACATCCTGGTATTGAAGAGGGCGACTACGCCCATGTGTTGATTGAGGCTGCTAACCATGCGGATGATCACGAAGATCTGATCGGGAGGCTCAAATGCAACCGGCTTGGTCCTACAGTAATTGATTCTTCTGGTAGGCGTCTTGGGCGAGGAGGGCGACCTCTCACAGGAGAGTGGAAGCGGGTTCTTGCGGGTCACCCGATGCAAACGATTCACGACTTTCGTCCAGAGGCATGGTCTGTTGATGCAGAGAGCTTGGATCATATCTGCTCACACAACAAGCCATGGGTACTTCAAATCGCGTACGTCATCCGCCGGGTATTGCGATGTTTGACATCAACGCCGCTGCCATCGACCGGAGGAGGGTGTACGACTCGCCCGCATGCTTCAATAATTCTATCTGTTCTTCCACCTCCCACGGACCCAGTACATCTGCATTACACCATGATTAGCTGGTGGGCGTCGACACCAGAGGATGAAAGAGCGTATCGGCATTTGGGCGACTTTCTGAATAGCGGGATGCAGCCGGCTTTACCCTCTGTCGCCCAGCTTTGGTCCTTGTCACACACAGTGTTTAACCTCTTGTTTCCGTGTGCTATCTCGATGCTGCACCATCGGAACGTTCGAGCGGGTAATGCACCGCGTGATGCGGTGTTTGCGCCGAGCATCCTACCGGATGCACCGAGATGCACTAGTGCGAATATTTGCGTGTTGGCCCTCCGGGCGCAGGCATTCGTGGTCCGGAGTGTCTATGCAGCCCAGGGTTTCACGTCCCTGCCGTTTGCGCCCACTACCGCAGGGGCGCCCTTGGAAGCATCTGCATCGGAGGTGCCATCCAAGACACCGTTTTCGCCATCTCATCCTGCCGCCCCAACATGTTTCCTCCAATCACCCATGACAGTATTCGCTCTCTTTGCAACCTGTTTAACTTTTGTGAGCAAGGTGATTCCCGTTCTTCAGAGCACCAACGACCTCGCAACTATTGAAGAAGGGTTGGGGGAAATTGAGCGGCTGTTTCTCCCTACTATGGACAATTGTTCCAGAGTCTGGAAAATCACAGGAATGTACGCTGCGAAATTGCGAGAAGCCGTCGCAGCGATTCGGTCAGGAAATCAGGCACTCGTAGATAAGATACAGTTTGACCCGTCGGATCTCAACATGCCGACCTCCGCGACTGCCACAACGTCTTTCTCCAATCTCCCGTCTTCCTTTCCGCATGATCTTATGAGTGGGATCTTTGCGCCAAACAGTATGCCGCAGAGTAGCCGATCGTCTTTTCAACCGCATGTGACGAATAGTGGGACGTATCATCCGGTAGCAACGATGGGCCCGTCGAATGCCAGTGGTTTAACAGACAATGTGGGGATGGGAGGATATCCTCCACCAGCGCGACCAGCACAGATGCCAGCACAGACAGGATTTCTGATGCGATGAGCGTCCTGAATCAACCGATATGTTTATCTTGTATATATGGAGTAATGTAATACCTTTGTTAATAAAATCAATGTGCATGTAAAACAAACGCATATCATGATCGTCCTGAATCACATGACTTCCCAAAAAAGGAAATTTGTATGACGCTGAGTCCAATTGTGTTTCCCAAATTTCCTTCAAGTCGTTGAGAAGGGTGTGTGATATTTCATTTTGTTATTTTGCACATGTTTTCTTTTTGTCCTTTGCCGGTTTCCTCCCTTTTTCACGCCTCCTCAGCAAGTTTCCTTCCAGTTGCTTTTAAAGACTTGTAGGATTACCTCGATTTCTTGTTTTGTATTGCAAGATATCCATATTGTTTGCATAAAGTGGTTGTTTGGTCCTTGTTTGGCTGACGGTTCAAAAGTGTGTCACGGGCATTGGGACTCTTGAACATAAATCCAAGTGGGAGGCGCGGATTTTCCAACAGGTGGGTGGGAGTGTTGTTTGGGGGTTTTCAAAGTTATTTGGTTGGAGACTCAACAAGAAAACTCTTAACTTTCTTATTTTGTGGTGAACAGATACGAACAAAGAGATTTTTCTCCTGGTGAAACCATCACACTACTCTTGGCGTGCAACTTATTCGGTTGGTCTTTTTCCCAAAACCACCATTGCCGAGATCCTCATGTCCACATTTGCCATGGACGCGCGAGATAACTTGCAAGTGGAGCGCGACGGCGAACCGCAACCGCCACGGCAACCTCCTTCAAACAACGATACGGATGACAAACAGGATGCTACACATCCTTTGGTGGGAGAATCTGAGCCAGTCGGTGCTACTGAAGATGCACTAGATACAACAACGTCAATGATGGAAGTTAACACAATGGGGAATGGACACGATGATAGCCCCAAGGATCGGAGACAATCTATCGATGCATCAACGGATGATAACTATGAAAATCAGATGGATCTTGACAGAAAGGAGGACAGCGACGACGATGGTGGCGCACATCCAGATTCTCGTACAAGTCCTGGACTTGAAACACCATTAAAGCGATCGCCGTCAGATGAATCCCTAGATCCTGATAAAGCATCAGAGGACAATCTGGATGCTATAGACGATGCAAGACTTTTGCAATCAGGTAAAAGATCCGAATGTCACAGTGTCCACAATTGTATGGCGAAGCTTACTTTTGCCTCTTTCCAGTCCAACCTATCGGCCGGCCTATCAATGTCACTCGCGAGAATTTTGTCGCACTCTACGCAAGCTTTTTGAAAACGTATCATTTCAAAAATCCTGCAGCGAGGCATTGTCGTCTGATGGAGCATTTTGCAAAATTTGACTCGCCCCCAAAAAATCAAAAGCGAACATTTGAGACATATGATTTTTATGAAGTTGTGAGGGACCTTGGCGGTGTTAGTCAGGTAGGAAACGAGGACATTTTGTAAAAGTTTATTGGCGACAAGTATATTGATGTTATGTTGGGACTAGATCAAATCCTGGTCAGATGTCGCACGTCGACTTGGATTCGACCCACGCGGAACCAACATTGCGGCAAGAGTCAAGGACTGGATGGTCTATCATCATATTGGCGCTTTTTTTGACTACCTCTTGGGTTTTCCAAATGAATTTTACCGCCACCCTGACGATCCGAGCGCACCTCAGTTGGAGTCTGTTTCAACGCCTGGCAGCGTTAAACGGGCTGGGTCCGAGGATCAGCAATTGGAATCTGATGATATCCCGCCTAGGAAGCGCGGAAAGAGAACTTCTGGGGGCGAAGGACGGACTCCCTCGTCTGTTACAAATGGTGATTCAAGTAGCTTGACTTGGCGGTTCGTAGATGGGACCCGAGGGACCCCTAGTGGGTACGCCAGTCCCTCGGATATGGACGATGGACAGGGAACGCCTGTGCCTAGCCACCATCCTAATCGAGGACAAGAAAGCCCTAAATCCTCCCGCGTCCGCTCTGGTTCTGCTTCTAGTGCTCGCTCCGCGTCAGGTTCACATGGCACGCATAGTGACACTGAAACCGAAAGGGAGGCCGACGGTGGCAATCGTTCTCAAGATAATCGATCAGTTCCGCCTCCGTCTTCGGGCCCTTCTGGTGCACAGACGCCTTCAGATGTGCCTGACTACAAACGCGATAGCGCTTTACCGAGTCATGAGCCGTCGTCCTACGGCCAGCGCCCAATGTCTGTTACTCCTAATGGTACTCCGGGAGCGAATGATCACATGGCGAGAAGAGAGTACTCTTACGGAGATCAAGAACGGTACCATTCACACCACAGACCGCAAGCAGTGCCTTCTCATCCCCTTCAGCCCATGGAACGAACGCTGGAGCCGCCTTATACTATGACACCCTCATCATCGGCGCCATTTGGTCACCCAAGTGGCCCGCGGCCTCTCTACGGACAAGGATCTTACCCACCATTACCGGGACATCCTTTGATGGCTAGAGATGGGAACGAGTATGGATATGGTTCTCCTCACGTTGGCGGCTCTGGTGACAGGTATCCTCCGCCTTCACGAACAACAGGAACTCCGCAACCAGCCCGCGCGTCAGCATCCCCAGCACCACACACTAGCGATCACAATGTCAATCTTCCTCATTCAGTCCACCCGGCAGAAGCCGGTCCTTCCGCACCTGGGCCATCCGACGTGGAAGCCGCATCAAATCATCCCGATGCCACACCCTCGACAGCTCACCTTCCAAACGTTTCAAATCTCCTCGCCAGCCAACCCAATATCCAAACCATGCAACATCAACTCACCAAGGTCCAGCACCGAAACACGTACCTGGAAGACCGCAATGCCGTATTGGAATCCCGATGCAGAGAGCTTGGGGAACTTTTGAGAGCTTCAAATGAGATGGTTAGAGTCATGAGAGAAGAGATTGGAGAGGGACGGGGCTTGTTGGAAAAAGTGGGACGAGTAAAGGAAATGATGAGAGGGCTGGTACAAGAGTTGCCGGGATTGGGACCTTCTGGAGGACGATGACGGGAGCGGGGCAATTGGATATTGAAGTGTGTCGTTGGTGGCGACTTGTATGTAGTGCGGTGATGGATAATAACATTCTGAATTGGATTCTGCGTATCATTGAACTCGAGACTTTAACATACAGCCTCAGCTTAACAAAGGTGTCATCGTTGGAATAAGATGATGCAGGTTATAAACATGTGTGACATTTTGACGAAAAAAAACTATGTACAATGCGAACCGTTCTTCAAACTACAAAAGTGTTCCAAATATGCAAAATGTCTGTCATATGGCCAACTTTTCACAATCATTCGACAATGTTATTTTGCGCCAATCTTGATTTTCCACTTTTTCCACCCGCCAGTCCCATCAGCCGTTCCGGACACTCTTCCCTGTGGCCGCGAAGTCCACCACTCGAACACCCTCACCAAGGCACCCACGCCCACGAATCCACAAGCCACTGCTGCCGATACGCCTTCTGTGCTGATGCGAGTAACGCATCCGGTCCTCCTTGGGTCGCACTCGGGTTTTGCCCCCATCACAAAGGAGAACCAAAAGAGTGTTAGAATGGTCATTGTCGCTTGTTCAATGTAGAATCCGTACGGTTTTGACGGCTTGTATGGGAACCCAGTGATCGCATATGGGAATTTCAATGTAGCAGGTCGTTTGATCATGTACCAACCCAAAGTCAAGATGGCAACTAAAAACGTGGCGGCGGAGGTAAAGAGCCCAAACTGGCGATGCGTGGTAATGTTTTTTTCTGGTAGTGGTTTTGCATCTGGGGCGGGATTTGTTGCGAGGAGGATGGCGAGGACAATAATGGATGGAATGAGTTGAAAAAGGGCGAGATAGTACCGTGGTTGTTGGTAGAATGGGCGGGATGTGGCAAGTGATGGAAAAAAGTCCTCTGCCGAATCCAATGTTGAATTCAAGGCTTTCAAGCTCAATGTCCCATTGTCGCTAGCGTATTTTATGTCGTCATTAAACTGCACCCTCGCTGCCCGTTTGGCTTTCGTGATGCTTCTTGGCGGAGGGGTCGGCTCCTTATCCTCAATCGTCGATAAGCCCTTCTTTTCAAGGTTTCGTTTGACTTCGGTGAACCATTTGTCGGCGTTTGTTGATGAAAAGTCTTTGGAAGGGCGGTCGAGGGTGGAGTCTAGGTTGAAGGGAAGGGGGAGCTCAAGGTCTCCAGAATATCGGATTTTCTTGGTGGGTTTACGGGATTCCATCTGTTGATGGGCCGCCAAGGCCAAGCAGATGTGATGAAAGGGATGGATCGAAAAAGACTTTTGTAAATATCGATAATCCCCAATGTGTGAGGTTCACTATCCAATAATTCTGTTGTTAAGAAAAACGCACTTCAAGAGCGTAAGAGAAGAAAGCTCAAGTTCCTTTTTCACACTTGCCTTCACACTTGGGTTTCCACACATCCAATTTCTGACAAGGGGCTTTGTTGCTGAAACGCGGGTTTTGTACCAGGTTTTTTTATACATGTGATTTTGAGACAAGAAAGCGTTTTTAAATATGAAATCAAGTTCCAATGATCCAGGTTTGAGGAATTCCGATAGCAATGGGGAATGGCGAAAAATGGGGAATAGCGCAGATGAGCTCGGAAGTAAAGTAGGTGGGAAGGAGCTTTATTCCATTTCCTGGTTGGGGTGGAGAGGTTGCATGTTTTTCTTTCTAAACGGTGGACGGTAGGAATCCCAACTTTTGACGTTTGACATGAGTGGCATCGTTGACAGACCTGCATTCTTGTGTGTGAACGGTGGGTATGCGAATCCAAAAAACTATGCTGCTTGGGTAGGCTCCCTATATTTTGCAGAGGTGTATCACCTCACCCTTCTGCAATGGCGGTTGACAACATTGAAATGTAAAGACCAGGAACTGGTTGCGGAAGTGTCCATTGGATAAAAGAATGCAAACTGCAAAGCTGAGACCTGGCCCGTCAGGAATAGCATACACAAGATTTTGGTCCAGCCGAAATGCCCAACCGCAATGCCAAAGTGAATTTCGACCATGTCCAGTCTGCAGAGGTCCGATATGAGTATCACATGTCACGACTGACGTCATGACAGGACTGTTCGTTGAGTTTCCTCCTGTACAAGAACTGGCCACGACCAGCAGTGCTCAGCAACAAGAAGAAAGCCCTTAGCATTTCATCTCAAATCACTGCCTGCAAACCAACGTCCTTGTTCAATTATGATTTACTCGAATATCTTGAGAGCCAATCGCTCACTTGCCTCCATCCGCCATGTCCGGTTCCCGAAAAGTCCCACTATTACGAGCCACTTTATACGTTCCCGTTCAACCACTCCTCTTCTAGCCCCTCACCAGCCAGAACCACTCGAGACTGGCGCTGTTGAAGACTTCGAAGTCGATACCTCGCCAGAAGCGATCGAGGAACGCATGCGTGAATTCAACGCAAAGTCCCACCTTCCTGTCGCTGAGGAATCGCCGCACGAGACTGGTGTAAATGAGAGTGCAACGATCAGAAGGGATATCCTTGCGGAGGTGGATCCTGAAAGAATCCCAAAGGAAGGGAATCAAGGAATTAGAAAAGTGTCTTTCAAGCCGGCAGATCCCACAGAGAGCGCCTAGTTGTAGCAGATAATTAAAGAGGATATTGGGAGATACGGGGGACATTGAGATTAAAGCTGCTTGCTTCTTCATCCTGGATTTACATTTCATGTAGTTTTACAGAGTTATTACGCTATGCCTCTGTGCCATCAGCTGGCAATTTCGGTGATGATGATGTCGTTCATCAAGCCTTGACAGTCACCATGTCCATCCCACAGCACATTGGAGATTTGATCATACCACATCCCTGCGGACATTTAGAAACTCCAACCTTTCAAGTAAATGGAATGAGTATAAAACTTTTGAAGGGTGTGCAGCTTGCCAGATGAGGACCACTCACCTTGCTGCCTTCAACGTCAACAGTGTCTCCTTGGAGGCCCTTGCCACACTTGTTGCATTGCATATCCTGTACCCGATACTATTCAATAGTGTACTACGAAGATAGAGAGCTTCAGAATAAGCTCACCTTGACGCTCATACCACATTTACCACAGCTGTAGTTGATCTTGCTGGTGGCAGCTTCAGTGCCACTGACTTTCTCGGACGTTTTTTTCATGTCCTTGCCACAGCAGGTGGGAGATTTGATCATACCGCAGCCGCCAGGACAGCGTGAAACCGCAATTGTCCTGTAAGAGACAGAGAACATTCAATATGATGGCTCAATGACGTGAAATAGTCAGGTACTTACTCTCCACCATCCACAATGGTGTCCATAACCAATCCCTTCCCGCATTTTCCGCAATGAAGGTTGGTGACTCCCATAGAACATGAATCGCACGCATAGCTCATGATGACAGTTGTTTCTTCAAGAAGCGATTGTGGAAGAATCAAAAACTGGTTATTGCTAGACAAAAAGAAAGGTCGCTACGAGATGAATTGTGGGGAAAGATTGTGGGGAATAACAAGTCCATTTATAGCAGAATGTCAAGGGGGGGCTTTGGAGAAACCCTCATGCTCAGTCATCAGCGGATTGCACGCGGGGGGGACTGTGTGCAGGGATGCTATTTAGATTATGCGTAAATAAACGAAATTCAAAGGAGCGATCGCGGGGGTTTTGATTTCTTTCGTGGATTACTCTATTCGAGCGCGAGCACTGCTCTGCAATGCATATCGCTGATCAACATGTACCTATTCTTTCTATTTTTCTACGAATGTTGGGTATTATCGTCAGTCGAAGGTACATGATGGGCAATATTCATCTGCCTCACCATAGCAACAATGTGTGTCAACCTGCCCATGCTTTCCGCTCCTTTGTAACTTGATCTAATGGACACGCGAGCCGCCGAACTCAGATCCCTCTTTTTATCGGTTCTATCCTCCAGCTCGGACAATGTTGACGGCATTCTGCTCTCCGGAGGCCTAGACACCTCCATTATAGCTGATGCAGGCACATCGATCTTGGGCCTTACAACGGGGGTTACGGTTGTTTGCGGAGAATCTGGTACTTCACCAGATGAACCATACGCAACTTCCATTGCAAAAGCCAATAAACTGTCTCATCGCATTGTGCGAGTACCAGATCCATTGGATCTTGTTGATGATGCCCCTGGAGGACTCTTGGATCTCTGTGTTCGAACACTATGTACATTTGATCCAATGGAACTCCGCAATGCAGTCGTTATTGCAAGAGGCCTGAAAGAGTGTCAAAATGCAGGATTACGGGTCGTTGTAACAGGTGATGGAGCCGATGAGCTTTTTGCCGGATACAGTTTCCTCGCATCGATGCAGCCTGGTAAACTCAAACGCTACATTCGTCGGTTGGCCCAGCCCAACGCCATGCGCTTCTGTGCCGGACCACTTGCTAAGGCCCTGGGGCTAGATGTCGTGCAGCCTTACTTAGATCCACGAATTATTGAGTTTGCGCTGACCTGTCGAAAACAGGAACTGGTAGGCACGGACGAGGGTGGGATGATGCATGGCAAGTGGATTTTGAGAGAAGCATTTCCTGAGGCCCATTCACGATGGCGAAAAAAGGATCCTATTGAGGTCGGCTCGGGAACAACGGTTTTGCCAAAAGTCTTTGAAAAGCGGTGCGACGAGATAAAAGTCGAGCAAGAAATACAGGATATCGCTCACCGGGATCGCATCAAAATTCGAGATGCAGAACACCTCCATTATTACCGCGCCTTTCAAAGAGCTTTTGCCCTTCCATCGAAAAACGACCAACCAACACAATTCAACTGCCCTGTTGCGCGATACGCAAGTGATCCATGTCGTGCTTGCGGATTCCAACTGCAGAGAGCTGATCAATTCTTTTGTGTGGTTTGTGGAGAGTGGCCAGCGAGAGATGGTGGGCCACCAACGGACGATCAAGAAGGGGATGAATTAGATATCTAGTCGTGAGTATTGGAGTCCATTCTCTTTACTTTATTCTTTTTCCAAATTGCACAAGTTTGATCTGTATACATCCCAGTTTGAACACAACTGTCCTAGTTGTTCTTTGCTATGGCCTTTCTCATCTCTACTGCAAAAGCAAATGCTACGGACACAGGCACTCCGTTCCCCACCTGCCCATACTGTGCACTCAAGAGTCCTTTTAGCTCAAATGAATCTGGTGCAGCTGTAGGTGGAATGTGATTAGAATTAGAATATATACAGAGTGATTCAAAACACATACGCACATTGCAGTCTTAACATTTCGCGTACAGTAAAGGCGCGATTAAACAATGGGTGGAGTCCCACCTACCGAAAATAACGCATGAATAACATGATAAATAGTCAGACATTGAGGGGAATGAGATTCTTACTTTGAAAGCATCTTTAACTACCGTAGATGCTACCCCCCGCCACAAGGGTCGCTTAAAATAGAGGGGGTGTCCTTTGGGTGATTCCTAATTCAAAATACAATTATAAGAATCGGGTCTATTTCCGGCGAGACTTTTTTCACTTGCATAAGCTTCCTCGCCTTGCCGGATCAGGTGTGCTCGTTTGCTGAGAAATATGTTACTCATAAACGTAGATGAGTTTGGACTCGCTATGTGAATTTACCTGACGGAAGAAGGGAGAGTCTGAGAAATGTGGAGAGGATCGTCATAGAGCTAGTGAATGTGTGTATGTGTGTGAATACGCGTATGGTGGTTAGCGTGTCGAATAAACAATGAAAGTCATTTAAGCTCCTTTTACCTTGAGGAACACCAAATCTCCCAACACATCGGCAAGCGTTCTGGGACCAAAAAGTGCATTGGTAGGGTCCGGTGTAGCAAGGCTCGATTTCCTACCCATTTTTGCAAAACGTCAGTCAATATAGTAGAACCCTTCACAATATAATAAACAAACCAAGTACTTTATCTCATTCCCAGCCATTCGATGTGTTGCTCGAACCTCATCTGGCAATATACTATTCTCTGGCGCCGCAACCAAAAAGACCCGAGGCCGCTCTTGGGGGCATCCCATCGAGGGGGCGTTGACGATTGTCGCACGCACTTGGTGACCAGACGTGAGTAGCGCAAGGAGGTACAGGTCAAAAGATCTGAGATAAGCGAAATTGGACAGAATTCCCCTAAATTGATTCATGATTACATGAAATAAACTGATTAAAAACACTCATCAGCACATGGCACTTACGGGACATTTTCGAAAAAGACATAATGAGGCTCCAAAGTAACATGGTACGATGCATCCTGCACTAACAAGAGCCGAGTATACTGCATGGAGGTCTCATTGCGTCTGTGGTTGAGCTTTGTAAACGCTACGCATGGGACCGTGGAGGCAATGACCATGACCGGCTTTTTGCACAGTCCGGGAGCTCATATCAGTACAAGTATTTTTATGCAAGCGCATACCCGCAAAATGGAGGCTCATACCTTGGCCAATATCTCTTTTCCTTGAACGTGATTTTGCAAAATCTCTGTCGCATCTCCACCGGGATGGAATTTGTACAAGTCTTGCATGTACGATGGGAGGATGGTGCCCGGTGTGGAGCTGTTGGCCACATTGGAGCGAAGCGAATGGCGGTCCGATTCGACGATCCTAGGTGTAAGAGTTTGAACATTTTCAAAACGAAAATGCGCATTTACTCTCCCTGTACCAAGCAGCGCTTCGTTTACCATCACATCACTTACCATCCTTTGGGAAATCCGGCCATTTCAAACCCGTACCCCGATAAACCTGCTCCTGCAAATAGTTCATTTATGCATGTACCCACAGGTAGAGGATACTTTTGTCGCAAACTCGGATACTGGGCCTCATATATTGTATTGTGTCCGATGTGGTGTAACGATTTTGTGCGCACGTCATATTCGTGACGAAAAAAAAGCTATAAACAAATATGAGTGTATTGCTTAAACTAACCAGTTATAAATAATGGGGTTTTACCAGGTAGCATGGGACACTGTTGGGATGATATCCAGCCAAATACAATGGCCTCGTCCCATAAGGAAGAAACTCCATCTCGAGCGGGATGGGTTCCCGATCCGAGAAATAGCTTGATATCTTGACTTGCAGAACAAACTCGTTCTCAAGGGGATCCAACGGAGAACAGTCTGGACACTTGACGCCATTTGCAAGGATGGATCGAATGGGACGAAAAACATGTCCAGTATATCGTGTCATATTCTCTGTTTTTTCGACACACTTGACGGACATCACAATACGCCTTGGTCCACACTTGAGACCGACTACACGCGCAAAACCCTTCTTGGCCTCCCATGATGAATCCTCTTCTTGTTTCTCGTGTTCAGAGTAACTGACGAACGTTGCGGGAGGGGTAAACTTCCATCGACACCATATATGGTCATGCAGGTTTGGACATGATTCGGGGCGGGAGTGGATTGTGACTTTTTTGACGATGGAATTGATGGGAATGTGTGTTTTAGATTGTTCAGAGGTTGCAAAGTACCAGCGCGTATCGAGGAGGGTTTTACGGAGGAGTTCAATGGGTATATGTTCTTCGGGGGTTTGTTGGGAATGACTGGGCTATACAAACAGGTGCAATTTCGTCATGTCAAAACATGAAACACGCTGTATAAACACATTACAAAATACCTTGAAGATACTCTCTGAGAACCTGATCTCATCCACTCTACGCATCCACTCTACAACCACACTCATCCGGGTCCCCGTTTTCCGGAACCCAATGATCCGTCCATACCCATATTGGTCCTTTAGTGCGAGTACGACATGGTCTCCGGTAGAGTATGGCACATTCTTACTATGGGCGAATGTATACATATCCGTTTCGCGAGAGAGTAATTCAAAACGGCAGTAGGGTTTAGGTGTCAAAGGCGGTGGTGTGTCTTCACGAAAGATGGGCCGGATAATATCTCGGTCTGTTTAGTGTTTATTTTATTATTTATGCATTAGAAAGGCTGACGTTGGTCGTAAAGAATCTACTTACCTGGCGTATTAAAATACTCAATGTTGAAATCCCGGTCCTCGAAGAGTTTTTCCACCTGAAAGAGTTTTGCTACCCATTCGTGGATGTAGAGCGTATAGCTGACTGCGAGAAGCGGATCCTTTTTCTGTAGTTTTGACACATTGGTAAGTACTCAAGGTAAAATAAACACACGAGGCAGAGTGACGTACATCAATCACCGATGCAGACGTGGTAAAGTCATTGAAAATGGGATCTGTTGATGTGATTATAAACATTAACAGACTCGCAGCCATAAATGTTCGGAATCAAAAAGATCTCGCACCGTAAAATGCCGCATAGCGTTCTTCTAGTTCACCGACCTTTGTACCCTTTACACAAGCAAGATCTTCTACGCCGACTTGCCAAAGGATGTCTCGTTCAACGTACACGACATTGTAAAGTTCTACCGAAATGGCGTCAACAGGTAAGCAGACATGGATAACAAAATAGAGCACAAATTAACGCACTGTTTCGCGCGATACCGAGGTCTGCAATGACCTTTCTGGCGCATCGGAGTCCCCTCCAAAAGGTCAAGACCTCCTGAAGTGTCCTTTCCGGGCTCGTTTCAATGCATCGACTAGTATGTGTAATAAATTCAATACCCAACAAAAGGAAACAGTACAAATCAGGGTGCTCACACTATTGATTTCGCCATTCGTGCCCTAGCAGCATCTTTGATCCAAATAGGCCGATACCTCTTGGACGGCTCCATGAATGCCAACCAAACCTCTTGAGGAGGCTCGCCCATCGCCATATCCCTGACCCGACAGTGGATTTGTACAGTCCATTCAAGACTGGTAATATCCAACGGTGCCGAGAGCGACACGTTATCAATTGGAATCTAAAAAAGTAATCAACAAAGCAAATAAACATGCTAACAGTGCGGTTATACCTTCAAGAGTTTCTGATCACATTTCACCCGTCCAATAGCCCACAACCCCCCTTCCTTTGTTGATTTATTGCCACACTTGAAATTCGCATGACAGAGCGTCTCAAATTTCGTCTCTTCTTTATTGACAATTTCAAAGTCGTGGACCTCAATTTCGGCCCATGGAATGTCATCATCGATAAATTCTGCGTACTAGCCTTGCTTCAGTGTACGGTTACATTTATGTATGTTTAGGTACTTACTTCCATAGAAGGAACCGCTAATTGATCCAGAGTATACAATGCTTCATCTCGATGGTGGTATTCAACTGGAACCGTACCCTCCGATTCATCCACCCCCTTCATTTTGTCATCCTCCTCTGACGACGCCGATGACAATGACGATACCGAAACACTGTCTTCATCAGCCACAAGATGAACCCCTTCCCACTCCGTATCGCTCATGCTGTCTACCAAATCAATCACCTAGCCAGTCATTAACAACAGGAACCTCTCGATAATGCGTTCACAACCTTACCTCCATTATTGTCATGTACAGAAACAAGAAGAAGGTCAAGGCAGTGATAAATGTTGGAAGCTTTTTATACAGAAAGTAAGCTACTCTGTGTAAATAAATCACTTACTGATCATGGACGTGTAAGCACATTCCAACCATCAGCACCACGTGACATTGGGCATTAGAACAGTTGGATATGGGAAACGCACCAGGGTTTATTAAACAATGCGTATGGATGCTGATAATGAAACATGTATCTCCCTCTAATCCTAAGGGCTGATTTTCTCTAGGGGTATTTGTTGTATAAACGGGATCATGGGCTCGTTGTGTGCACATGTAAGTTCAGGTGGAAGGGATGGGATACACTGTTGAAGACGCCTTTGGTTGGGAGTTTGTGGATTGGTATTCGATCATTCGAGTAGGATTTTGAAAACAGGTGACGTTGACACTTGAAAGATCAATTGAGAAATCCGCGAATGGATGAGTTAGTTAAGAATTTGCTGGAACACTTTCGATAATTAGTGTACTTTCATAGTGAATGGACGAACTAGGATAATAAAGAACCTATATCAGAAACGACTGCGCTCATCCGAGATACATAGTGTGGAGGCGATTGAAAAGGGCACTAGGACCCATTATTATCCGGATTAATCCGGTTAATCATATCGCATAATCAGAACCCCCCTCTATCGCTCAGATTGGTGTGGCATGTATTGTAATGTTTTTTTTTTAAACTGCGGTGAGGCGCATGCCAAAGGTCTATAAAAGGGGGACCTCTTCCCTCTTTCCTCTTTACCCATCCTCGACTCGAAGCATCTGCGCAACGCTCATTGCGACCCACACAACCTCATCGCGACTCGGTCAACCATGAGAACGCCGATGTGGTGGTGTCGAGGACCTCGACCGCCCGACAGCAACCGTGATCAGAACCAGCGGCAACCAATTGGATCCGATAACAAAACCTACTATTATACTGCCACATTAGTTGAGCTTGGTTGGTATGTATCGATGGCATTTCTTGCATTTCTTGTCATCGGGTCACCTCGCTGACATGCAGTTTTTTTAGTCTCCAAGCCTTTGTCACTGAAAATCCACCAGCTTGTGACGCTGCCCAGTCGATTCGCTCCTGGATGCAAGAGTCTGGCTTCAATGCCATCAAGAGTTCTGGATCAAGGCCTAGTAGGGACCGCGTGTGGTGGTGGGCAATTATCCGGTTAGAACAACCGTTACGTATTGCGTGTATAATTGCCTAGTAGTAGCTTAGTTAGCTTTTCCGAACCGGTTGTCGCCGGTTCACTCCCTGGTGTAGTAGCTAGTGCCAGTTTCTGTCACCTCTACACTAATCTTGAATGCTTAGCCGATGTGGAGATCCCCAGGGTTTTCGTGTCCTGTTCATCTGGTAATCCCCGCCAACTCAATCCTGCACATTCTCCGATTCTCCTCGTCCGGTGTCCGACGATATTATCTCCAGGTAGTTTGTACTGTATCCCGTTGCGTGACCCTTCATACATGGCTGACGGGTAACACGGCCGGCGTTGGAACAAATAACCAAAATTTCTATTCTTGATTGGACGATAATACATACACAGAATTGCATTCTAGTTGTGGCATCTATTATACAGACATACATCATTCAAACTTCTATTAAAATCATGGTGGGCGCGAAAGGTCGGGGGGGGGGGGGTCGGGATGAAGGGCACGCCGGCTTGGGGAGTACGGGACGGACGACAAAAGGATATCAACAAACGAACTGCTGCCTTTGGCAAGTCCTGTCCGCTAGAGGGCTCTGAAGCCACCTACGTCCCTGTTGTACATGGATGCACCGTAAGAGATGGAGAGGTAACACAATGGATTCCGTCCCTTCGCTCTTCATAACAGTCCGCTCCGAGCTGTACCGTATATTTGCGAATCCGTCAAATCCGTGCATCCAGGTCCCATCGCATTGGCCAATTGGAATCCCCGTCGCGTTAAGATATCGTTAATGGGTGACGCGAGTTGCACCGTTTCATTGGCACGATCGTGCTCCAGCAGGATGAAATTTGGGAACATCTTGCCTGCATCCAGCGCCTGTTCTAAATTGACTAAAACTTGCGCAGAGTCTGCTTCTGTATCTGTGTAGTCATATGTGGCATCTCTTGGAGAGAGGTTCCATAGCACTGCACGGTAATCGAGTTGGGTCAGGACTGTGCGGACTCGATCATCAATGTCCCCAAAAGGCGGGCTGTAACGCGCAAACAAAGGATTAGTTGCACTGTCGGTCAATAACGCATATTATGTAGCGTACCGAAATAATCTGGGCCGGATATTTAAAGCTTTTGTGATGGCCAATTCCGTCCAAAGCAGATCCGCAATGAGCATTTCGGTGGTCATGTTGGACGCTGGAAAATGACTCCAGGTATGCGATGCAATTGTATGACCCTCCGCATAAGCTCGCTGCAGGATTCTCGGGTACTGCACGACATGAGATCCTAAAATTCCTCACAATCAGAACGCGTTCCCAATACGATCCTCAAATGTCACATCTCACCAATCACAAAGAACGTCGCTGTCAGGTTTTTGCTTTTCAGAAAATCCAGCAACTGCGCTGTGTATTCGCTTGGTCCGTCGTCAAATGTCAACCCAATCGTATTGTTATATTGTGGGGAACAACTCGATATGTCGGTGCCTTCATTGCCATCACGCAAACAATTTCGGACTGTACCCGCAACAGTTTGCTTTTCACTAATAACAAGATTAGCTCATTCATTCATTATGTCACGAAAGCAATGTGTTCATCTTACCAGCTCCACCAGCAACTACAGCCATCTGCATTAGTACATGGCTTATTAACGAATGCATTCGACAATGGCCACCCGGCTGCACAGCTGAATCTCCGAATGTCTGGTTTAACCCCATAAGGCGCTACAAGGGACAGATTGACAAGTGCTGTCCATGACGGTTTTGGTGGAGGCGGAGTATTCAACATGGGCCAGTCAGCTCTGAGAACAAGAGTTTATACCTTGCGGTCATCTTCATTACACAAGACAAAAGCATCCACATACCCAGCCAGATATCCACCACGAGAAAAGGCTTCTGAATTATCGCATTTGCCAAACTTACTTTGGCAGCCGAAAAACTAGTTTGCAAAAAGGCATTTGCCGGATGATGTCAAAAGAGGTTATACGGATGCCAAAATACCAATTGATTCAACTCACAGTAGCACAGCCCCTCATTTCATTCACGCAGAACCCATTCGAGTTACAACATAGGGAATCTGGGCACCGTGTGCCAAACTGTATTCCGCATTCGGATCGGTTGGTAGTTACTGGAATGTCACTCGTTCTGGCATTGTCGCAGATCCCGTACCGGTCTTGACAACGTGGCTTACTGTAGAAGAAACAAAGATATTGGTATGTCGCCTGCAGTATACTACCAAAGGATGCGTGACTGCCAAACCTGCAAAAGTAGTCTCCCAATCCACATAATCCCCTGTAGGACGGAAAGTCGTTGAGGACGAGGAAACTCTACGGTATCAATACCCTCTCCAACACTTTACGCACCCAGCAGAACAGCACTTTCGATCTGGACATCGAGTACCTTGTGATGGCCCACAATGCGTTGCGTTTATAGGTAACGAGAAGTCAATGCGGTTGTTGTATAATTCATATGTGGCCCCGGTGTCTACAAAGTCTAGGAGTATACTCAGCAATCAGAATATACTGTGAAGACGCAAATAGCGTCCATACCGTTGTCGCGCTGACTCAAGACCAGATAGATGACCCATCCTGGATGCGATTTGGTTAGGGTTCTCTGTCACCACCGTCGTCGGCCACTTAAAGACACAATGCTTCATACCAGCTGCAAAGAGGATAATCACCGCCCAGACTTGCCATCGTCGTAAGAGTCGGCAGGCACGTCGCTTTAGTGATGGTGGGGAAGGATCCACTAATGTCAAAATAGGTTTTGGATTCGTGCGGGGTTGCATAGCAGGGTCGACAGCCGTTGAATACATTGAAAAAAACGTTCAAGTCATTCTGGTCAAAACGTTGCCAACCTCGTCAAGTTCAAGTCCCAACAGCGAGGAATTCCTGCTTACATCATCTGGTAAAAAGTTTTTCGTTTGGCAAATTGAAAAATGGGCAAAATTATCCCGCCTTCCCTTTTCCCCATCCAAGGATCCAATTTAAGCTTCATGACATCACATGAGGCTTTTGCTTGCGCTACGACCAAGAACAAGCTCAATGGACAAAAGGACGGCTTATTATAGGACAGCCAACCCGATGTGTGTGTTTTACTAAAAGCAATGGCATTGACTTGTCTTGGCTCATGCTTGGCTCTTGTTTTCAATGAGGCCAATGTGCTCCTTTCAGGCGACTGATTTCTCCTTTATTTACCGATTCTACGCTTGGTCATAATGACCCAAGGGTCATCATCAAGGGTCGGCATGATCCCTCTCTACTTTTGTTTCCTCACTTGCAGTGAACGACCATGGGCCTTAAGAATGCCCCTTCCACCCTCCAGTGGCCTGTTGAGCCGCTGCCCAATGTAATCAACTTGATGGAAATGGGAAAAATAAATGATCGGCATGCGCCACGTTGGATCAACCGGAACTTCCGTCCTCGGGGCCGAAAGCCAGTCAATTTTGACTTTAAAGTAAATTTAGATTTGGGAGACAAAAAACTAAACCCCAATTTTTGTCCGAAGGGCCGAACGCAACTTTAATCGCCGCGCCCGCCCTGCACGATTATTTCACAGCCGCCAAAATGCAATTTCGTTTATTTTTTTTTGGCGCTAACGCTTTTTTATTTTATTTTTTTGTTGTGCTGAGAGTGGAACTTTAAAGAAACCGACGTTTTGCATGCAAACAAAAAACCATTTTCTCCATGTGCTACTCTGCGCCCTGCTGCAGAACTTTTATTTTCTTGCCGAGATGGTTGGACAATCCGGAACGATTCGGATTCTCTTTTTGTCCAGATCGATATTGTGCCCTTGGCCTTTGTCCAAAGGGCCAGAAAAAAAAGGAATAACCTGCTCCAACTCGTGCTGGCTACTCCGTGCAGTACAACGAAATGGACTCTAGACTAGAGGAAGAGGACACGGTGGGCATGCTTGAAGATGTCCATCGCAAGCAAAGGTAAGCGATACGGACACTTTGAAAAGCATTAGCTGGAAGCACTAGAGTGCAAATGTGGCTGCGACGTGGTACTTTTGCTCACATACTGGGCAACTTGACTAGCTAGAGTCGCGGGCCCTCGCATCATGAATTGCGTACTAATAATACGTTATGGTTTATCTCCAGACGTTCTTACCATGACGGTGGCAGGCGGACATCCTTGGTTCGCTCTTTGAGTACCCTCAGTAAAAAGGACGCAGCTATTGATCCGTCGTCCTTGGAGCGAGGTACAGGGAAATACCAGATCCTAGATGAAAAATATGAAAAACCTCCCACTACTACTCTGCATCGCTCTGTAAGCACTCTCAGCCGGGCTGTGGGCTTGCAGCGCTCAGCAAGTAGGGCCAGTAAAAAGAGTATAAGCGATCGAAGCGGGCGCGCTTGTTGGGAAAAATGGTAGATATGCGCGCAAGTGGTTGGTGTACTCTGGTGAAAATGCTCACATATTATCTCCTATAAGGGTGTTCATTGGGTCCTTTATTGCGGTCAACGCGGGGCTTATCGTTATGGTTTTCTTTGTCCGTTTCGAATTGTACGTATGGTTACTTTCCTTGTCAAATACGATTCGCAGTTTGTGCGTCCTGGCGATTATTATCGGTTCGATATGGGAAGGATTCAAAAACTGGCAACGCAAGGACAAGACGGCCCTTCTTGCCGCGGAGGGGGCGGCAATCGCCAGCAAGAATGTGTTATGCATTCTACCCTGCTACACGGAAAGTCGGATGGAGTTACAGAGGACCCTTGATTCCTTTGCTGATCAAGCGGCTACAAAGAATAATCCCAATATGATGATCGCCGTTATTGTCGATGGTCTCGCCACTGGCAAGGGAAATGATCAACCCACATGGGAGATATGCGCGTCGATTTTGGGTGCGGAGGGAGCGTCATTCGACGAATTTACTTATAAAAGTTGGAAAGGGAAAAAACTGATGGTGAAATCGATTCGCGGGTACTGGAGAAATATCCCATATGTTCTTCTCATCAAGAACAAAAATTGCGGGAAGAAAGACGGACTTATCATGATTCGGGAGTTGGTTCTCGGTTTCAACGGCGGACGGGACCGTGGTTTGGGCCGCTTTGGACATTGGTTTGCCGAAAGCGTAAAGGTCAACGCTGGCTGGTCAACGATCGACTATTTGGTTGGGACTGACGCAGATACAGTCATTACCCCCGGCTCCGTATTCGTGCTGGTAAAGAAGATGCTGTCCAACGACAAGCTACTAGGCGTCAGCGGTTTCGTGAAGGCTGATTTAAGTTTGGGGTCTTGCCTTAATCCCTGGATTGCCTATCAATTTTTCGAGTATGTCTATGGACAATATCTTACTCGATTTGCGCAAGCCATCTTTCGAAAGGTCACTTGCCTGCCTGGTTGCATTCAAATTGTATCAGCAGACCCAAAACTGTTTGATGTGCCTCTCGACAAATTCAGCGCCTTGCCAAACCCGGATTCACTGTTTGAATCAGTTGTTGCCTTCCTGGGCGAAGATCGTCGGTTTACATGCCTAGCACTCTACGAAAACCCAAAGCATCATACTGGCATGTCATTTGAAGCTGTGGGCTTAACCGGGGTACCGCCCAACTCGCGCGTCTTTTTCTCCCAGCGAAGGCGTTGGTTTCTTTCGGCGCAGGCGAACAATATCAGGGACACGCTCAACTCCAACCTTCCCTTTACTATCCGAATCATTGCTGCCTCCCAAATCCTTGCCTCCGCGATCGTTCCCTTCATCTTTGTCGCGGTGGTTTATTTCATTACTCGAATGGCCATTAATGGAACACACAAATACTGGATGCTCTTTATCGGTTCCGCGTCGCTTGTGTGGGTCTACAAGTTTTTCTTGATGGTTACCTACCCGGAAAGCTTCAAGGAAGTCTTTGTCATGTTTTACGGCTTTATCCTTCAAACCTTGTTTTCGGCCCCGATTCAAGCCTATAACACCATTCACGCTCTCAAAAGTATGGATGACATGGGGTGGGGATTAACGCGTCAAGTGTCCATGGACTTTGACGAGATCAAGGTTACTACTGATGCGGGGAGCCCGCCTTTGACGGAAGTCCGACCAGAGCCAGTCAACAGATTAGAGACAGCACAAGTCGCCAACCCATTGCTTCCACAATGACCGCGATTTGGACAGCTGTTATTTTGATGCATTTTTGTTTATAGACATTATATTGAAGGGATTGCATTTTTTATGGTGCATGGGTAATTATGAGGAGGAATCTTGGGCATTGATGGAGTAGAAGTGTGCTGACATTGCGAGATATTTGATGTACATTATACATTCTTTTCTTTCAAATATATTATTCATTCATGATGAGATTTCTCTACGATCAGCTGCATGTGGAGTGTCATTCTGCCGAGTGCAGTCTAGGCCATTTTTCTACAATGGTTGGGTAGCAACCCCAGGTGAAAAAAATGGTCGCACGTACAGAGCGTTAATAGCAAAAATAAGAAAACGATCTTTCTTCATTCAGGGAATTGGGGAACGGGATGCGGCAGAAACGAACCGTGCGTGGAAACCCGACAAGCATGGTTTTCAACCTGGGTGAACTACACTGGCGTTTTTTTTTGTGTCAGACGTGTGAATGTGGCTTATGAGACCCCGACTGAGATCTGAAATGGTTTCCGTCTCGATCAGATTCCGCCGCCGAACACCATCATGGTTGAGACTACAAACGTGGCCATCCTCCCTTGGCGTATAGTGATATCCCGATGGGCAACATCATCAGCCCACCAAAGTTCATTACTTTCACACTACGGAGCCGAATTGGGAACTGCTTAAACTATTTCCTTTTTTGGGTCTTCGTTGTCTTTTTCCGATTGTCTTTTTCAATGCCGTGTTTTTGCATTTTGCATTTCGATCAAAATCTTCGGTCGTTTAAAAGTCGATCGCGTCTCCTACAATGCCGAACAGTTGCATCACAAACTTGCTAGTAGCAAAAAACAAAAAACAAAAAATGATTTTTGCAAATACTTTTGAAAACAACGAGCATTTGAAACAAATCGATAGGATTTTCATATGTTGCGAGTGCCGAATACAATGAGCTGAGCTGAACAATCCGGGATCTTTGACCAGAAAAGGACCATCTTGGCGATGAAAGTTTTCTGATTCGCCATTGGGCTCGCAGCTCAGCAAATAGGAAACGGAGCCTGTGTGCGAGATTCCATGTGCGGAAAAAAAAACATCACAGTCTGATGGCACAACAGTAGAAAAAGGACGGATCTCCTCCGTATCCTCATTTCCAAAAAGTTTTGTAACCGTTGCTAGCTGAACACCACAATGGTGACTAGTACGACGAAGATCCTGGACACTCGGCCGACCGTCGCTGTTTGCGGTGTCGGCTACGTAGGAGTGCACCTAGTCGAAACTTTTGCAAAAGCCTTCCGTGTCGTCGCTTTTGATATTAGTGAAGCACGATGCGAGACGTTGCGCCGGCAGTTCAAAGGACAAGCCAACATCCATGTCACCTCCGATCCCTCTCATATGGCTGGGTTTGACCTGTGCTGTATTTCTGTTCCGACCCTCCTACTGAAGGACAAGACCGGCATTGACGCTAGCTACGTGGCCAAAGCTGTGAAGACGGTATCAAAGTATGCAAAGCAAGGATCAACGATCGTGATGGAAAGTTCGGTCACCGTCGGCATGACCCGCAAGTACTTGGGTCACCTCCGACAAGAGGGTGTCTTTGTCGGATTCAGCCCTGAACGTGTTGACCCTGGGCGAACTTTCCCGGCCTGCGACGAGATCCCCAAGGTTATCTCGGGTATCGACGAAGAGTCTGTGCGCATGGTGGGCGCCTTCTACATGGAGGTGTTCCAAACAGTTGTGCCGGTATCCACAATGGAGACAGCGGAAATGTGCAAACTATACGAAAACTGCTTCCGAATGATCAACATTGCATACGTTAACGAAATTGCCGACGAATGCGCGAAACATGGCATCGACCCGCACGAAATGATTGACGCGTCCGCCACCAAACCGTTTGGCTTCATGCCTTTCCGTCCTGGACTTGGTGTGGGCGGCCATTGCATTCCCGTCAACCCCTGGTATTTGTTCACCAACAATGACCTCCCTCTGCTCCAACAAGCAACACTTGCAAGCGCTGAGCGTCCGGCACGCAAAGCTCGCGAGCTGTACGACGAGTACGATCCCAAACGTGTTCTCGTCATTGGCATGGCGTTCAAACCTGGACAGTCGGTCATTTCCTACTCTCCTCAGGAGATGTTTGTACGAGAGTTACAAAAATTGGGAGTGGAAGTCTTCTTTTATGATCCTCTTGTGGAACAAAGCCAAATACCCTACTGCACCAAGCTTTCTTCCGCTGACTTCACAGAGTCATTCCTAGAGGACGAATTCGACGTTGTGGCTGTTACGATGCCTCAGCACAAGGTTGACTTTTCGGTTCTGGACGGTCTCTATAAAACCGAAGTCAAGTGGTATTGCTGCCCGGTGACTCCAGCCAAGATGGATGAACAAGTCAGCGCCAGCGCATGACTTTCGCTCTAGCTTGTGCTTTTTAATTGTTGGACATATTGGAGATTGTTTTATGTTTTTTTTTTTATGACTTTATGTTGATCCGTATATACTTATATTCTCAATTCATCAATAAATCAATTGCAAAATATAAATTCGTCCTCTTGGAGGAAGTCCGATCCTCGTCTTGTTCAACCACTTGCTGACGAGAGATGGATCTTGGAAGCATGGCCGAAATGGGAGACAGTGATCGAATGAACTTAATCAGGAACAAAATTCCTTTTTAGTTAACTTTTAGTCCCTGACGTTAGGGATACAAAATTAACCTAAATCTCGGATTTCGGGTGGAAGTTCCACAAAAAAACTTTTCGGATGCGCCCATTCCTCGCGTGAGGAAAAGCGCGCGGCTTTATTTCTCTAACTTTAATTTTGCCGACATTGAATTTCATTCGTGGCGTTTGCATCTGAACTCGCGATCGATGTAAACACGTGCTGAAACGGAGATGTGTGAAGTTGGGTTGGTGTTGGCCCAGGAAGCTGAGGTGCGGATTGGATGATCTATCTGCCAACAGATGTGCACGACATGTACAAGCGATCAATAGTTGTTCGTTTCTGGACGTAACACTCTGTTGTAGAAAAGAAACAGCCGACGGTTGATGGCCCACGGATGGATCCGGTCACTGATCGCGTTGTATTGCCACTCTAGGACGGAAGACGGAAATTTAAGCAAGAAAAAGTTTGACGGTCGTTGTTTTGACGTTGCTTTTGTTTTTTTTTGTTTGTTAAACCCCCGTAATCGATGTTGGAGTAGAAATGCGGCCTTTGTGCGCCCGTGCTTGAATCAACGTGGGACACACCGTCATGTATGGAGGGTTGTTTGCCAACGTGCCGAGAGTGCCGTATTCATGAATACGATCGCAGAGATTTCCTAGTCCATTCTGGGCCGTCCTGAACGGCGAGCGGTCTAGAAATTTGGAATGAATACAGTGGATTTCAAGTGACAAAAGCGGCCTACTTTGTTTAGATTCGAAGGAGAACGTTCTGGACCACAGTAGACGCTCTTGGTTTCCCACCGTCTCAACCGGGGTGTGAACCTGCCAGTGTCGTGGGCCAGCGGCGGAAGCATTGGGAGAGGACTTTGGGTACAGTCGTTTCTGCTCCGGGCGACACATTGGTATCCATCGAATAGCAAAAGCTACTAGATGGATGGAAACTGTTTAATCCAAGACGAGACTGGGACGATCTCAATAATCAACTTCAGTGGAGTCTTGGGTGTTCCCAAACGATACGGTCGATCGAGTTAACCAAACATGGTGCTACGACTCAACATGGTGTGATGAATCACTTACACGCGGTTTTGTTTATCTACTGTACGGAAACTTTGAAGACGGCGGTCTAGTGTTTCTTGAGATGATGATCATAGTCAAATTTAAGCCAGGCGACATTATGAAAGAGTGATAGCTAGGTTTGTCGCCTGCCTTCACTTTAACTATGGTCTTGATCTCAGCATACTAAGTCGCCGTCTCCGAAAGTCTCCGTAGACAATAAGCCCTTGTATATCACACCATGAGTGAAGTCAACCACATGCCAATGTCCGCGTGCAAACTGCCCTAACCCTTCCTTACAAATATCTTGACATCAGTACCATTTACACGATGGAATTTCGCATATGTTTGACTAGATATCATTTTCATCTGCTCCAGAGGGTATGACTCTACCGCTTTTGGATTAAGCTTGGGGATGACCTTGAACTTCAATGTCACTCTTCACAATCAACTCTGTGGTGTTTGCTCGCAATTTTGGCAGCTCAGTCTAGTCATCTCCAAGAGACAGGAAATCAAGCATCGTCCTGTCTTTGAACGCTTCTTCCCGTATGTCATCAGAGACGAACACACTTACGTAATTTTACGTCTTTTCACCGACAGCCTTGCATCTCAGCATCTATCCCATGACATATAGGCTCAACTCTGTAAATTTATGAGAGTCGGAGCCTTCCGCGCATTTTTCAGTTAAGGACACTCTGCCGATATTCGAATACACCCATTTCTTTACTGAAGATGATGACAGGAAGGCAGCTGGTTCGGACCTCTCTCGGGATCGAAAGTGGGGGCAGAAAATACGCCGTTGTAGTAGTGGAGGCACATCGAAAACCAGGACCAGTTCACAAGAACTCCCTTGTTTGCATCGCCTTTGCATCGCCGAAGCGGCGTTCAAACTCGATCGCATGCTGATATGCTGCAATGGCAATGAAAAGGACTTTTTGGTGTACGCAGGATTGGTGGACGAAAGCAGTATCCACTTTTATTCAATACGACCCTGTCGCAGCAGCCAAGGATCACGCTAGTACCGTGTAATGGCGGGTACCCTCTCCTTCAACCTAACGGCTGATCATTTGAAGGACAGAATGGCAGCGGTAAATCCTCCATATCCATGCAAATTGCTAGATGAATTATACTATATGATCAAATAATCTAAAAGACAATACATAGTATAAGCCAATCACTAACCAACAATATCTATGTATCACAATTATATTCTAGCCTACAAATTCCTTCTTACGCTCCACAGCTACCCGTTCAACGCACACCTCCCACAAGATGCTCTCCAACGCAGCCTTCTTCTCCCCAGTGGCATTCCTGACCTCCTCCGCGACGACCGCTACTCCGGCCTTGCTGGCAGCAGCCAAGACTCTGACAACATCCCACTGCCGAAATTTGATTGCATGCCTTATGGCAAAATTGTCCATAGCATCCACATTCGCTCCTTTGGCAATAAGCAACTGGACGACATGAATGTGTCCCCGCATACTGCTCCATCGAAGTGGGTAATCGTCGGCAGTATGAATGTCCGCGCCATGCTGAAGCAGTATGGCACATATACGTTCGTGACCGTGTTCGCAAGCCCAATTCAGTGCAAAGTTATCACGTATTTGAATGTTGCATTTGCGTTGAAGAAGGGTGCGGACGAGATCAAGGTGACCTCCGCGTGAGGCATAACATAGAGCATATCCATCTTGTGCATCCACATCTGCTCCTGCTTCAATCAACAATTTCGCACATTCCAGGTGCCCGTATTTAGCCGCCATACAAAACGCCGTACTATCCTCCGCAGTAGGATCCGCACCACCAGCGACCAACTGTCTCACCATCTCTGTATGACCGTATACGCAAGCCTGGATCAACGCCGTATTCACGTCTCGCAAGGACATTAGCGGTAGCAAACTCTTCATCAGCACTGTTGCGCCATTACTTCCAGCAAAATCGGACGCAACAGACACAAATATGGGATCTGCCAGAGAGAACCTCACGATGGCCACCCCAATCTTTTCGTTAAACATTCTATCTCCAACTAAACTGTCCCATCTCTCTTTGCGATGGAAGAGGTCGAGGTGCAGTGGTACCAGGGACCGGTATGAATCGGTTGTAACAAGACGGGAGAGGGAAGTGAGCCGATGACGGTAGAGAAGAGTACATACTTTGACAAAATCGGTGCAGCTATGAAGCTAATAAGACCTCGAGCCTGAACGTCAACGACAGTGATACGCGACGCACCTAATGTCCCAAAATTTTCGACAAGTGCGTCCCAGCTCACGATTCTGAGCGTACAGATACACAACCTCTTGGAGTTCTCTCGGGAGACTGAAAATACCTGATGCCATATGGAGATAGCGTCAAGTCGGAGGGCAAGGTCTACGGTGGAATTTTGGGTTTTGGTTTGTTGGTTTCTGGAAATTTATTTGCGGGTTGAGGCGTTTCACCTTTGACACCTAGAATACACGATTTGATCACAAGCATTGCTGCTCGTCTGGCCTTGCAGAATGTGATAGATGCTTCCCAAAAATTGATGATTTATATTCCGGTATAGATGATATGTCCTATGAATGAGGGTCTATACTCGATACACGATACAGTCTTATGCTAGAGATCTCAATCTAGAGTTCGTCCCTCAGCTCCTGCTTTTCAAGTTCATGACTTGGCAACGTCAGCATTTTGTATCGCAACTTTGCAACATTGGCAAATAGACCTAAACGTCCTGTGGGAGGTTGTTTGGGCGTCCAGTTTTCAGGAAAGCGCTCGTGTAAGAGCAGCTCACGAGCTGTCTCAATTGGGATTTTTTGCTCTTTTCCCCCAAACGTCTTTTAGAGCATCGAGTTAGTTTTACATTTATGCATTAGTGAAAGAGTATCATGCCTACCTCGATCAACAAGACAGCCTCTCCTGATGCCAGAAGGTACTGCCAAGCACCATATGTTAAGTTTTTGTTAGTTGCTTGGGATTGCCGGTATCGTAGCCGACGAAGTTTAGCCATATCATCATAATCGATTGTCTTGCCGTCTTTGCTGAACGCCAAGAGTTGTTCCTACAGGAGATTCTAATAAGATTTATCCTGCAGCGGGTACTGGAGCAAAATGAAATTTCAATGTACCACTAGAGTTTCATTCACAGCCGAGTTATCACCGACACCGCTGTCTGACCTCGTCAGCGACGCATCATGTTCAATGAGATTGTGTTCGTTCAACATATCCAGATCCAGAACCTTGCCGCTTGGCGTTTCTCGGCCTGTCATACCCATGGTGATGCTCACCAGGCGGTTGGCTATGCCAGTGTCGATACCAGCTTTCAAAAGGCCTGATGTGAGGGTGGTGGGGTCAATGTCGCGGCCAGAATGGGGCCTGATGCAAGAAGAATGGCACAACTCAGTTCTCCGCAACTGGGTAAGCTGGACATGAGGACATACTTACAGAATATCATGATTTGCCAATGCGTTCAAAAGTGGGCAAGGGGACCTTGCATCTGTTTTCCCAGCAGGTTTCCATTGCGGATGGGCGGTGGTGGACGTCATTGCCAAGAACCCGATACATAGACTGAGGATGGTAAAGCGGACCATGCCTTTAAATATTATCAAAATGAAAGAGGTACTTGAAACCAAGATAGGCTGATGAGGAAGAAGATGGTAGCCTTTATAACAGAGTCAGAATGAAACACTTGGTCCGTTGGTGTCGAAGATTGCTTTGCTTGTTTGAGACAGCCCTCTTCCCTTTAAATCCCTGGCGATAAACATTGTCACGGAGCCTGCGACGGACAATGCGCTGGACAATTCACCGCGACTTGGGTTACATAACAGGAATTTAGCCGAAACTTTGGATTGACAGTATGCCATACTGCGACTAACCAGCACTTTGCAGATGCGCCGATGCGGCATGCAGAATGCCGCGTATGCTGACGAAACATGAATCACGTAGATGCTTAGGGCGATGAATGCGGGCAAGGAGCACTCCGCTGATGTGAATACATGATCCGACCGCCTCCGGTCCTGCTGCAATTGCGTCAACAGATATGTACGTCTTGGGTTACGGGTAATATACGTCCTGTTTATATGGAGTAGAGGGCAAGTGGAGAGCGAGGCATCCTGTTCCCGCATATTGCTCTAAAAAAATCACCAAGAACGCGACTACAGAAGTGTTATTTAGAAATCTATTTACACTGGACGTAATAGGCTCAGTAATAGGCATCACATAGGCCTTCAACAATCCATCTTGAAATTCACCCCAACTCTAATAACGCCCACAGTCAACTCCCGACTCCATGTATCTTTTCCAGTCCATTCACTTGGCTCTGACGATACCCGAGCAGCTGTATTGGTTTTACTTAATCCAGTGATCAAACTATGGGTAGACCTGAGGGACAGTTGCTGAGTGGTCTTTAGAAGGTCTTGGCTGGGGAAAAAAGCTTTCTCATTGATATTAGGCGCGATTGGCGGATCGGTAGTTTCAGTCACATCGGTTGTACTGCTGTCGTCATTAATTTGGCCCATAGACGGCTTCACAAGTGACACGAAACGGAATCCGCCGATGCCGCCTATGGTGATAAGGAATGCCCCGGCAATAGTGTTACGACGGTTTTGGCTCCTTTGAACTAAGCCATGGCCTGTAGGGTTCCCACGAGCTAATAGCATTGGCCGTGCTCGAAGACGCTCTGCACTGTGATTCCGGATGTTCGCGAAACTCGCACTGAAAGGTAAGCCAATCGTTGAACGGCTTAATTTACGCAATATCAAGTAGTCGACAATACTTCTAACAGAACGCCTTGGGAACATGGTTCACTTGCCAAACTATCTCGTTGCAAATTGCGCTATCCTCCAACTTTTCAGCTCAGGATTACTACGGCAGTTTACTGATTTTATACCACAAGCCATTGTAAGAGGAAAAGCGCCTCTGAATTTACTGTCAATGTCATGTATTTCGTTTTGACATATGTGTGTCTTAGTTTTCATTTCGCGTGAACTTTGACATTTCGAGCTACTAATTGCGGCGCATCGTCCATTATCTGTAATGTATCAAAGTCAATGGCTGTGGGCTACTTATTTCTAGAAAAATATTTCGATGCGGGCAAAAAAAACACCAGCAGACGGACTCCCAACTGCATTGGCCGAGAATCGAACTCGGGTCTACCGCGTGGCAGGCGGTAATTATGCCACTAAACCACCAATGCCGTTCTCTTTCGGAGGGACGATTGAAAGAATATATGAAATGGATATGTGCTTGTCCGTCCCGTTTGAATTCTGTTCCTTCAGCCTTATAGACTTCATTCAACTACTATTTGACTCCGTCTAGGTTCCATTGTCAATTTCCTCTCCTGCTGTAAATTACTACAAGTCAATTGCCCGCAACGTGACAAGTTGAACCCAACGATAGGATGGAGTCTTTTGGAGGCTGGGACGGTGCTTTGCTTGGGTTTTTGCTGAATTGATGGCGGCCAGTGGTTTAGCTACGCGGTTCTATGCCGATTCTGCAAGATATGAGCCCGTTCAAAGCGACCTCGGACGTGGTGACAACACGTCCCTCTCATAGAATGTTTGACTTCTCGTAGTGATATATTCCAGCATTATAGCGATTGGATTTCCCTTGCCAAAGATGACACTTCTAAAAAATAACTTATATTGCAGTTGGACAGGCGTTTCTTCTGTTGGGTAAGCCTATGAAGCACATAGCCAGAGTATCGTCACGTGCGCGGTTGGGGAATTAGCATTCCAAAGCCAGCTCCAAAGCATCCCACACGCACCATCCTGTCCTTGACGATCGCAAATTCTGATTCCAGACTTCTTCTACAACTTTGCTGGGCCATTGGCAAGCATTTACGACTCTGAAGTCTGTTGTAGGATCCCTCTTTCTGCGTTGTAGGCGCCTTCACACAGCCATCCGAACCCCAGTTTCTGAATTTTCCCTTGTTCAAATTGTCCGACTCTGGCAGCATACATAGTATCCTATTGCAGTACCTGCGGAAGTGATGACTTCCCCTTCGGGGCAGGGGTTGTCTTTTAGCAGCATCATACTTCCTCGGTTGAAAGCTCAGTTTGAGAATTCTGGACAGGCTTCAAATTCCGTGTCCAAGTCACCCACGAACGCTGCAGCCGCTATTGAGCGAGGTAAGTCCTTTACAGTCCCCTTGGCTATAATGAACTGGGGCAGGCTCGCCGAGAATAAAACTTTGTCATTTGTCGCATGAAGCCTACCGTCTGATATTCCTCCGTATCCGATCTAGATGTACTGTTTTTGGTTGCCCGATTCCTTTCCGGCTCCAAATTAAGACGAACGTTTGATACCCTCCGTGAAGAGTTAAGTGAATTTGAACCAGGGACACCACCTTCGGAGCAGGAGTTTCTCCTTCCCACCCGAGTGGATTGGACCGGAAGACGGCATCATCAGACCTACGAGGAGCTGGTACTCTATTACTTGGATTGCTTGTGTAAGATTTGGGAATTGACAAAGTACTTGTACTTGCCGTCTTGATAGGCAAACAAAAATCCCCACATTACCGCCAGCCATCTTCCTCAACTTATTGAGCGGCTTACCGCAATCGCCGGCCAGACTTCGTGCCACTCATGGCTTGGATCGCAGAAGTCCCTGTTGGGAATAGGATTGGGATCGCTATGCACGAACCTCGATGGCGTGCATCGTAAGTCCCCAGATGAGCGACGAAGAGATCAACCACGTGGGTATAAAGTGTAGACAGACCGCGGCCAAGATTTCATGTGTAGTGACTCTAATGCGTCCTGGTTGTATCATTCAGCACCTTTCCAGATCCGTGATATGGAACTATCTCAACTTCCGCGACCTCGAGCAGATAAGCCGTTACGCATTTTTTATCGCCGTTTCGAAACGGTATGTCAAAAATTAGTGAAGTTGCCATTTACGATCAGTATCTGATCGCAGAATTCTTAGATGCTGACAACTCGAGGTCATATGGCCGCCGCGTACAACCTCCTGTGGGACCGCACAGGTACCACCTTTTTTACAGTAAGTAAAAATGACCTATCATGACCGTCTTCCGGCTACTGACATTTTCCTGCCAGGGTGGCGATGATAGTTTGGTCAAAGTATGGTGCGCTCAAAGTGGGCTGCTAATGCGAACGCTTCGGGGTCACGCGACATTCCTGGAAGAAAATGGGCAGCCAGTGGTACGCTTGACGATTTGTGAATTGATTTCAGCATTCGCAATTAATGGATCTTGTGCAGGAGCATCATTTTATTGCTGATATGGCGATTAATGAGGAAAATACGATGCTCGCTACGGCTTCATCCGATGGAACAGTCCACGTGTGGAATGTTCAGACCTGGGACCCTGTCATCTGTTTGCAGATTGTAGGTTGCATGTCCTAACAGATCGCTATATCTGAAGACTTACTTTGACATTTACCAGCGCAAGAGCATCTCGAGAATCATGTTCTCACCATCCCCGGTGGACGATAACCAATGTCTGATAGTAGGGTCTAAAGACGGAAAAACTCGCGTATATAGATGGATACCGCATCGGCAGACTTTTGATCCCAAGGTACAACAAAACATTCGTCGAATGTTAGCAAACATTTTGCGATCAGCAGTAACCTTTTATGAGGTAGCCCATCATTCTTCAAACTCATGATAAGAGGATCGATCAAGTCGACACTCTCGCATTCAACCGAACGGGAACCCGATTTGTTGTCGGAGGAACTGACGGTCTGATCTATCTATACAAGATTATACCAAAATCATGGGCACCTATCGATCCGTTTCAACAACAGGCTCTGGCAGAAGATGGTGATGAAAGATTTACTTGCACCTTACTGAGTAGACTGGAGGCTTCTTCTTTGGATTATCAAGACAAACCGAAGAAACAGACAAATATCTGTGTCAAAGAGCTGAAGTTTAGCCACTCCGGTGATCGCTTCATTTCGGGGTGTGCGGACGGCACGGCAATGATTTGGCAGCCAGATACCGTGACAAAAGCTTGGATTGGGCAGAAACGTAAGTTTCTCTACCGGCTGTGTTCATCATGCCGAATGACAAACTGTTTTCAATAACTGTTACGGCCTCAGTATTGCCAGCGGAGGACCAGCAACGATCCGCGGCCCCCCAGAAAGTACCCGCAGATCGGCAAAACCATGATAGTGCAAGTGATGTGACATCAGCAGAGCCTAGCCAGGGAGTCAATGGAGGGCCAAATGTGATGTCAAATGGAGCGCCTAACGGAATTCCATATTTGGACCCACAATCGGCTCTTGTCAACATATCGATACCGCCCAGCGTCTCCGATAACTCTGAGGCCTCATCAGGAGCACCAGTTGTCATGGATGGCATCCCTTTAGGCGGGGGTTCTGTCAATATTGGAGTGACCGTGCAGACAAACGAGACACCGATCCCAGTGATACCACCACAGGAGGGTGTTACGGAAGTGGAAGAGATACCCGGCATTACTGCTTTGTGTTGGTCTCTTGACGACAGCAGGGTAATTACTATTATGGCCGATCGTTTGGTTCGGGTAAGTCGAATGATTATCCTGCGAGGAACGTTGTAGTTCCTAATATCCGCGACAACTATGAATGTAGGTGTGGGACTCCTATACTGGCGAGCTCCTACACACTGTGAAGGGTCATACCAATCCAGCTTGGATCCTGGATTGCCACCCAAAAGACACCCGTGTGGTTCTTAGCGCAGGACACGATGGAAAGCTCATAATCTGGGACATCATCGCTGGCCGGGAGTTGAAGAGTATGTGTGAGCAGTGGCCACTTCATCATGTATGTATAGCGAAACTAATTAGCACTTTAGGCTTCGAGTTCGACGATGCGCTACTGGAAGCCTCTTTCTCGCTCGATGGGGATACTATAGCCGCTGTGGATTTGATTGGCCAAACGCATCTGCTTGGCGCTGGCAAAGATTCCTCGGATTATACACGGAATTATGACCAATTCTTTCCGAGCGATTTTACCATGGTGCGATTACAACCCGATGGATCGCTGCTAGATGTGCAGAATAATGTAGCACCTCACCTCGTTCGGCAAGGAAACTTAGTCGATATCCGACAAAGCCCGTATTTTATCGACTACCCGGCTTTAAGGCACAGGCACAAGCTGGATCGCTCCTTACCCATTGATCATGACTATATTGTGGAAGAACGTGAGGTGAAGCTACTGCTTATTGACGAAGAACGACGAAGGTGAGTGGAGAACCTTTGTTATTGGCAGCTGTGCCAGATCTCTGACTCACGTTTGATGTCCCAGTGTGCCCTTCGAGCAAGAAAATGCTTGGTAATTGATGATCAGTAACGTCGCCTGCGTCTTTCATTCAACTGCTTATCTTGCTGAACTATAGGACGGAAGAGAAAAACAAAAAGAGGAGGCGAGCCAGAACAGCAGCGAATACCAGTTGGGAACCAGATCTAGAGCTCTTGGAGGCCCTTAATACTCAGGATCCCATAATTCCTCTTCCGCAGTCCAGTGGAGATGAATACACGGGAGAAGAAGAGGAATCGGCAGAAGATAATGATTGGGCCGATGGATCAGACATTTCTGTGTCCGCCGATGACGATAACTTCGTTGTTGATGACGATGATGATGTCGGAGGAAGCAACATCCGTCGAAAGAGAAAGTCTCCGAAAAAGGGCAGTGGGGCCGGAAGAAAAAGAAGAAAGCGGCAACGGGCAAGTGACGATGAAGAGGACATGGCGCGGAGTAGTAGACGCAAAGCTCGAGTTAGCTCGTACAAGGAAGATGTAAATGACGATGACGATGATTATCTCGCATCGGAGGATGAAGATGACGATGATGACAATAACGATGATGACCATAGGGATGTGCAAAGGGTTGACAAGGGCAAGCGAGCTGCTAATGCCAAAACGTCCGAACGAAGTAGAAGGGTGAAGGCCACGAAGAAGAAAGCAGTACCGCTTCCAGCTGCCATCACTGTCCCAAGTGAATGGGTCTCAATGGTAGAACCCAAAAGGACCCCATATTTGCCACAAATTGGCGATATGGTAGCGTATGTGAAGAAAGGGCACATTCAATTCCTGGAGCAAGCTGTCGACAAGGGGGTTGCGATACAGTTTGATGTCGACGACAGTCGTCCCGAAGTGGTGTTCGGCGAGGTTGATAAGCTTTCGTTCTATCCGGGCGATCCCGTGACATGCAGTGTTAGTCTTCATGTGCACGAGGATGAAACCAACAGAGGAAATCTACTTCCTACTCGGAAAACTCTCAAGCCAGTCTTGAAGGGTGGTCGGAAAGATGTGCTGAAGGTGCACTTCTGGGACCTGGAAGGATGTTCTGATTTCATTATTCTGTTTGACAATTATGTGAATGCCATGCACGGATTCTGGAAAGAAGGAGACGAAGTGCTGGCTGATTACTCGGATGGGTTGTACCAGGGTCGGATTGAGAGGGTACTGCACCAGGAAAGCCCGTGGTGCAAGTTCTTGGTGCGATGGGAGGAGGCACCATTTGATACGGAGGCCATGAGTGCATGGGAATTACACAGACCGGATGCAGATCACGATGAGATACCTGAAGAGAGACTCAATGGGGAAGGTGCGTAGAATGCGTTCAAGGTAAAATCCACGCACGTCACAGATGATGCTCATTCTCGGAAATAGAAATGTCCCGCATCTGTGAAATTCTCCTCGAGTGGAAAAACCGCGATGACATGGCCTTGTTCATTGAAGAGGTACCTTATGAGGATTACCCGACTTACTTGGTGGTGAACCCGTATCCCATGTTCTTGGACAGAATCATCCAGCGTTTGGGTAACGCTTTCTATAGAAAGGTGGAGGTACGTGTACAACCGGCTTACAGCTGAAGATATATACATGATAATGACCGATGAACCATTTTTGTAGGCTGTAGCGTGGGACGTTGACGTCATGATTCAGAATGCAAAGCGATTCAATGAACAGGGATCAGCACCTTACTCCTTTGCGGAGAACATCCTGCCCCAGCTTCGCGACGAGATTATGGGTCCGTATGCGTGATTAGTATAACTCCAGTCTTCGGTATTTATTGATTCGCTTGCACAGGTGATACACTATCAAGAAACAATCGAAAATGGTCAATATCGTCCGCGCCTTCGACACATGACAAAAAACCACCAAAATTAAAGTTGGTTGTACGAGGCTCTGCTGCCTCGGACTCTGACGAATTCAATCTAGATGAAGGTGACCGGGATGTTTTGTTTGGCAGCGTGGGTACCTCAGCAAGTCACATGAAAACGCCGAATCAAAAGCGAAAACGTGTAATTGATGATGAGGATGACGACGAGGATGAATATCGTGAATCTGGCGAGGCGGAGGGTAGTGAAGAGGGTAGTGACGAGGATGAAGATGCCGTTGGAAGTTCTGAGGAATCCGATGGAGTAGATTATCAAAAACGACCATCTCCCAAACGTAGACGAAGCCAGCTGAATGACGATGATTCGGAATATCAGAGGAGTCCCCGGAAACGGAACACTACGCGAACACGTCGCGAGTCCATCAACGATGTGGTTCAATTACCATCCCCTCCCGCGAACGATGGGCCCTCAACTGCTAAAAAAGTCCGTGGAAGACGAAAGGCCCGTCGTGTGGAGGACAGCAGTGATAGTGACTGGCCTTGATGACATTTTTGCGGCGTCTTGTATATAGCTTTGCCCTGGTGGACACAGTGGGTGTTCTGGAAGTTGGTAATAGTTTTCTCTTTCGAAACAAAATATCTTTGTATTTAATTAGACGTTGGGGATCCCGTGGGGAACTCCACCTGCGAAGGGTAATCGAACGCTCATTTCTCCTGTGTTATCTGTACAGTCAGCACAATGACGGCTGGATATGACTCGCAAAGGGTGGATCTTGGGATCCTTATGGCACTATGGGTACCTCAAAGACGTCGGGAGTGGCCCGAGTGCATGAGTTCCCCATTTACTGTTTACGAGTTTCCCTAGTTCTGACAAGAGTTTTGGTATGGGGAACGTTCTTTGAAGTATGTAATATTATACATTAAATTGAATCTGCTGAACCACTCCTTCTTGCCTCGTACAAAACCGGCCCCATCTAACTCTTAGCCACACTCAGAATCATCTGAGCTTTGATATCCTCAAATTGCTCGTCGGTGAGCGGGGAGAAATGTATGTGGCTCATGTCATCATTGTCAAAGATAATATCCTGCGAAACTGAGATCTGAGCACATTGAGCTGCCAATTTGGCAAACACCCCTCGCTCATTATGAAGCATTTTGTACGCTTCCGGATTTCGACATGAATGTTCTATAAATTGCGAATTGACCAAAGTTCAACGATCGCTCGGTATTACTACATAACTGCAGATCGCCTACCTTGAAGGCTGGTCAGCACCGATTCTCTGAAAGAGTTCTTAATATAATGCAAAATGTGACAAATGTAGTCCCGCCGTGGTCGCCATTGTGGGAACTGTTGCGCCAAGTTGAAATAGCCATCCCGACCAATGAGCGGATGGAACATATCGGTCAGGAAAAGGACTGCGGGCGGATCGTGTGGGTACGTTCTTGGAATTTGAATGATGAATTTGAAAACACCCTCCTTGTAGTACCCTCGATGTATGAAGACAACACCGTGCCATTCTATAAGCACGAAGAAAGAGTCGATATTGTCAAATCACCCGCAGCGGAATAGTTCTCAATAGTGCTTACCATTCACATTATCCGGAGATGGTTTTAAGTAAATGCCCGGAGGGCAGTTTTTGCCGCTGTTCAGATGCTTACTATAGTAGTGTTAGCGATTCCAACGTCGTCTTTGCAGTAGCGGCAGTTTCACTCTATTTCTCTTACAATTCAAGGAGTAATTCATAGCGTCGAAGGTAATCGTCGTACTGGGAGGGAGAGGCGCTCAGCGAGCTATCTGGGTGGAGCAAGGAAATTACACAGTGAGACGCTGCAAGAAAAGCGATTCCCATTCAACAGCTCACCTTCTGCTGAGGGGGCTAGTGCGGGTTGGTTAAGGTCCTGAGGAACACAAAATGGTGGCAATAGCCGCTAATGTTTAGTTTTTTTCAAGTGTCGTGTCCGGTCCTTGTCTCCTACTAACCTCCATAGCGATCGGAGCAAGTGCGAGGTGCGCTAAGGGTTAACATAAAGGTACTGTCCTAGTGCTGATCTCATGACAGCGGCGGACAAAACGTAGACAGAGGTGCTGGCACAACTTGAGATGTGTAAGCCGCTGTCGAAACGCGGAGGTCTCAGGTTCGAATCCAGTTGCTCACATCTCTGGCCAAAGAATCTGAGAAAGAATAGCCTGAAAACCCTCGAGAGTGTGTGTGCATCGATGTACAAATGGCTGCTCGCAGATCGGTAAGCGACATCCTCGTTTGTTCGCCATGTTGATGCCATCAGTATTTAGAAGAGTTGCAGTCTAGGAATATGGTGTGTTCCCTGCTTCATTGACCCCCAATCGCGCCGTTAGGTAAGCATGTCCGACGATATAGTTGCTTGGACCTCGTCGTCCAACAGCATCCTAAGACAAAGGTCGAAAGATACCATCCATCAAAACGTGGGGTTGTTAAAGGCCCAAAGCACAGGGCTCTGCCTGTGCGAACTTTACCCCACCTGCAATTAGTTTACTTCTCCAATCCAAGCAAAAATGTCCATAGCTGCCGTGGCTCATCGGTATGTGCAAACAGGAGCGAATAGTGATAAGATTCATAATAACTTCGACTTCCTGATGTCCAACATATCTTTAGCCACGTTTTTGGTCTGAAAGGCGATGTCAACAACTGCATTGCGTACCTGGACGAGCAAACGGTTATCTATCCTGCAGGGCACAATTCTATCCTTTACAATACCGAAAGCAAGATCCAGCGTTTCATTCCAGTGACAGAAAAATGCGAGGGCATAACAGCAATGGCAGTATCGGCCAACAAGCGATACATCGCAATCGGAGAACGGAGCGACAAGCCACTTTGTGCGCTGTACGATCTACACACCTTGAGACGAAGGAAGACACTTTCTCCTCAGGATACCGAGGGCAAAGTAAGTTACTATTAGAGATGATCAGTTTGCAGTCACCATATATGGGCTTGGACTATCTGCTGCTATAGATGGGCGGCTTGCTTGCTGCAACCGTACTGGCATCTAATTTCAATTGTAGGATTTTGTGAGCATCGCCTTTTCATCGGACGCAAAGTACATCCTCACGCAAACGGGTCCACCGGACTGGACACTCTATTATTGGTCCTGGGAAAAAGCAAAGATGATGGCATCTGTAAAAACTGCCAATCTGCCAGTGGAAAAGGGTGCTAGCCATGGGGTTACAGCAGGTGCTCAAGGTTCGGTAGCTGTTCTATCCTCAACGTCAATGGTTGCGAGGGAAGCTGCTTTTGGCAGCGTCGTATATGAAGTCAGTTTCAACCCCACCGACAATACCCAGCTCTGCGTTATAGGAAATGGAATCTTCAAGCTATTTCGATACCAAGAGGGCGTATTGAAAGCTTTTGCGATTCAAAAAGGTGACTTGAAGGTAAGCATGGTGACCCGATATTCATATCTGCCCTTTGATTGTAGACGTAATTTAATCTTTTCTCTAGAACTACATGTCTCATTGCTGGTCGGCAGACGATCGCATCATTGTCGGTACCGAGGATGGCAAAATTCTTATTTTTGAGAACAATGGGGAACTACGTGCTGAGCTCAACTATCTACATGGATCATCGCAAATTCCTCGGGCAGTCTGCACCATGTTTGCGTACTCGAAGGGGTTTATTTGCGGAGGCTCCAATGGGAGTATTGCCATCTATGATAAGAGCGACGAAGCTGGTAGTAGCGCAGTTGCACAGCAATCCGGACAGTCACAGTTGTCGCAGTCCAACAAGGAGCTTTACCGCAAGGTGAAGGAACTTACGCTACAGGATGAAAATGCAAAAATCACTAGTATGGCCATAAGTCCCAGCGAGGACAACCTCGTTTGTACCACGGAGACAAACCAGATGTTTGCAATTATGTTGGCCGGTACAGAAATGAAGGTAAGACAAAACACCGGGAACGTCCCACTGAGTGTTAAACCCGTTTATGCTCCGAGCAGGGGGAAGAATCGAGATTTGAACTCTTTTCTCAGCCGTTTCACCATGGTCAAGTCACTGGGTGCGATACTTGCATTCGCAAACCTTTAGTCGTTACATGCTCCACCGATCGGTCTGTGCGTGTATGGAACTATCTCGATTCCACATCAGAACTTGTGAAATACTTTCCGGAAGAGGCCTTTTCGGTCGCGATTCACCCAAGCGGGCTGTATATCTTGGTTGGCTTTAGCGATAAGCTGCGATTGATGAACCTGTTAATAGATGACATAAGAACCTTCCGGGAGTTTACAATTCGCGGATGTCGGGAGGTGAGCAGAAGGAGATGCGGCTTGGGTATCACATCATTCAATATTTCGAAAAGCTGGCAACTTGCTAAAGCAGCGGACTGTCTCATTATCAGTGTCGATTTTCGAACGGAGGGCAATATTTTGCAGTGGTACACGGGAATACCATTCAAATATATTCTACTTGGAATTTCGAAAATCTGGGTAATCTGAAAGGTCACAATGGCAAGGTGCGATCATTGTTTTGGACTCAGGATGATTCTCGAATCGTTTCGGCCGGAATGGATGGAGCGATATATGATTGGGCATTGAGAGACTTAACTGGAACAAGCGGAAGTGGGATCAAGCGTGAAGGAGAGAGTATTCTGAAAAGTTGCAGTTACACTTGTGCCATTGCGACAACAGATGGCCGTAGTATTTTTGCCGTTGGAAGTGACAAGACCTTGAAGGTAGGTTTGCGAGGAATTCACTAGTGCCCATAATTGTTGATTGGCACGTACCTCTAATCAAATCTTGCTCAATAGGAAATCATTGACTCGCAAATAGTTCGGGAACAAGAATCAGACGCAGTCTTAACCCAGGTCATTCTGTCACAATCGGGAAGAATGATGTTTGTGGGTAAGTCTACGTTTAGCGATTCTGCATCAGGTTCAATGTAGATGCTCATGCGAACACCTGTAAGGTACTGCTAACGGAACTATCCGGTCCATGAAATATCCCCTTGGCAGCGAGCCAGGAGATTACCAAGAGCATCAAGCCCATTCTGCACCCGTAACCAAGCTACGAGTAAGCTACGATGACCAGTTTCTCTTTTCGACGTCCGAAGACGGGGCACTCTACGTTTTCAAAATATCGGACAAGGAAGGCCGAGGATTGAAACGGGATCGTGAGATCGTCTATGCAGATGAAGTGTGCCCTCAATTTGCGTTTCCTTAACCAAAAATGCACCATCTAACTAAGGCCGTTGTTAGATCCTCGTAACGAAATCCGACCTCGAAGAGAAGAACTCTACCATGGCGGAGCTCAAGACCCGGGTGGAAGAACTGAAGATGGAAAATGAGTACCAGCTTCGGCTGAAAGACATGAACTTCAACGAGAAGATCAAAGAGGTTACCGAGAAATTCATGCAAGAAATCGAAGCATTGAAAATTACAAGCACTGTGCTAAGGACAGATAAGGAGAAAGAAGAAGTTCGCCATGAGGAAGAAATGGCGGAAGAACGAGAACGGCATGCGAGGGAGTTGATGGTAGAGTATTGCACACAGAACGACTATCCGCTCACCGAGCTAAACGTTGGTATTCAATTTTTCTTAGGAACTTGAGACAGTTCACAACGCCAAGTTGATGGCCGAGTATGAGCGCTACCAGGAGCTTCAGGGTCGATCAACGGAGCTTCAAGGACAATGGGAAAGACAAATGCGGGACATGCAGGCAGCCAAAGAGAAGGCACTCGCAGAACTGACAGCACATTTTGAAGCGAGAGTCAAAGAAAAGCAAGCTGAAATAGATCAAGTGAGTACTTCATTCGTGCATTTGAAACAGAATACATACTGCGACCATGTGCTGACACTAGCCTCTTGACGTGGTCAAGCTGCAACAAGAACTCAAAAGCCAACACCTTGAATTTACAGAAACCACTCGAGAAACAGAACAAGATGCGGATACTGAAATTCTGGAGATCAAACACCGATACGAGAAAAAGCTAAAAGAAGAACGTGAAATTGGGCTAAGATTGAAAGGAGAAAACGGAATTATGAGGAAAAAATTCAATACTCTGAATTCCGAAATCGACGCTCACAAGGCAGAAATTGGAAAGATGTATAATGAGGAGAAAAAGCTGCATGGCGTTATCAAGAGCTTGGAGAAGGATATAGCGGGATTGAAGAAGGAGGTATGGTTTAGCGCATCATGAGAGTCTCATCATCTGCTGATAATGACTGATGGCCCTTGGTAGATTCAAGAGAGGGATGAGACTATCCAAGACAAGGAGAAGCGTATATACGACTTGAAAAAGAAAAATCAGGAATTGGAGAAGTTCAAGTTTGTCTTGGACTATAAGATTAAGGAGCTCAAGCGCCAAATTGAGCCTCGAGAGCAAGATATTCAAGGAATGACGCATCAAATAAAAGTGAGCAGGGCTCCGAGTATAATTGCCTCTTCTACAAAGCAGTTCATTCATCCATCTTTAACTTCAGGAAATGGATGTTGAGCTGGAGCACTATCACAAGGCCAACTCTAATTTGGAGCTAACAATTGCGGATTTAAAATTGAAACTCCGTGCGGCAGAAAAGGAGGTGGCGAAGGAGCACGCTCGGGTGAAGGGCTTTGCTGCCACTGTGAAGAGATTCAAAGTGGATTTGAACGAATGCGTCCAGTACATTCAAGAGCCGAAGTTACTCAAGGTATCTGCCTGATTGGTAAAGCATGAAAAGAGTGTGCTTCATATTGACAGGGTATCTAGACGCACATCAAGAACATCTACCAAAAGTATTGCCTTTCGACGGATACGTCTATTACCTCTAGCAGCTCTGCTACTCCCGCCATCGCTTCATCTTCTACCACCGATATTCAACAGGAATATGCCCGCCAGCGGGAGTACCTCGAGCGCACCGTGGCTTCCCTTCGTCGCAAAGTTACAAAAGATCAGAGCATTCACAGGGCCGATAATGTCCGCATCATGGCCGAAAATGTGGCTCTAATTAAGGAGATCAATCAGCTCCGAAGAGATTTGAAAGGAACCCGAGCAAGGGAGAAGGCTGCAGAGATTGCGCTAAAACATGTGAAGGGCCAAGATGATGAATCAGAATCTCCAAGTGGACCAACAAGACCCAAGAGTGAAGGTATGACAGAATAGCTTCTTGTACAATGCATACATGTTGGGTGAGCACAATACTCATCAATTACTATCGGCTGCTTTAGTTACAGCATACCGCCTCCCACCAATGGCTTCCCCTCCACCACCACCACTACCAGCTGTAGTCGAACAACAAGCGTTATCAACGCAGTGAGCAGCAATATGTGATAGAGACGGATTTTGTTTTTATACTTTGTGTTATATTAATCGTACGCTGGGATCCGCAGTGTTGACTGCCTGTAGTCTTCTGTTTGTTTAGTGTATCGAAATACACCAGACTTGAACCCTACGTTCACGAATGCTGACTAACTACATCAGGAGTGATACAAACGCCTAGCGGGACGGCTGCTCATAAATTGAGGCATCGTAGTTGGGTTGTCCAGAGGATTGCCAGGGTCTACAATGGATCGAATAATATCTGAACTCACACAAGTTGGGGAGAGTAAAAAGATATGATTTAAAGAGAAAGATGTGCTGATCATTGCAAACAGTGTAAATCAATGACGGAAATGACAAAGTATCTTTGAAATAGTTTCTCTTGACTGGCGCGCTGATGTCCAAAGATCCGCGTTTTGTTTGTTTATACTGGTTTCCAAAAAAAGGTATATTGCACTGTCAGATGAGAATCCCACCAGCCAGATTTTGGAGATGCTACGACAACGGCAATGACAAAGAAGGCAAAGGCAAAGAAAGCGAAGAGGGGAAAGAAGACTGGTACTCCTCGCCGTACACCGTCGACATCTGCGACAGATGTTACAGGTGAGCAACCTATGGTGGATCTGATCAGTGTCAAACGATACTAATTGCCATCTGGTAAGATGGGATATCTTTGGAGGTAGAAAATGAAAATGAGCAAGAGACGGGGGCAAATGCCCCCAAAAAATGTCCTCATCTCAAGACCGCAGTTCGCATAACTCGTTTGTCACGGCAGCTTCCAAGCACCCTTGCGAAAGGGGCTTATTGCATGGTAGCTAACTGTGGTGAATTTCACCTCGTTTCACACGAGCTAAACGTCACTCAAGACATGCAGAAGAGAGCAACAGCGCGCAGCGAATCAGCAAAAGAATAAGGCCGTTGTTAACAGCGCAGAAGATGCTCAAACATCTTCAGCACCGGCCACTCCGCTGCATGCTGATGCAACCGCACTGTGGTTATGCTTAAAGTGTGGAGAAGTGAACTGTGGTCGAAACGACAATGCCCACGCTGTAGCCCATTATGATCGCGAGCAGCACGACATCGCCATACATACGCAAACTCTGGAGTGCTGGTAAGGATTTTTGCCTTGGACGCCCTTCTGGGTGGGGTGTAGAAGCTGAATTTTTTTGTAGGTGTTATGCATGCGACACGGAAGTGAACGGAACCTCAACCCACAATCTGTTAGTGATTGAAAGCAAAAAGATGGTGGAAACCATCTTAAAGCCGAAACAAACTATCAAGGGTCCGGCATTTCCATACCTGCTTGACTTGTATGGGTCATTGACTAAAATTGAACACTTCAGATATCGTGGGAAAAGAGCCCAGCGCCGCTTCCGGGAAAAAGAAGCGCAAAGCTATTATTTCTGCTCCCGGCCTTACGAACTTGGGAAATACGTGAGTCATGACGCACAGTGGTTTGGACCAATGACAAGCACGACACAAAACTGAGCTTTCTCAACTCTCAGTTGCTTTTTCAATTCGGTAATGCAATGCATAAACTCTACAAAACTCCTGCAAGTTCAATTGCAAGCGGCCATTTCAGAATCTCGTCTAGTTAAGGGACCTTTCACCGGTGCTCTTGTAAGGTTCCTTGCGTCAATGAACGCGCAGTTTGCGAGCGGCGGTGGTACTGTCAACCCTAGGGACCTTTTTGGCGCCTTAAGTAATACCTGGCGCATATACCGAATGTATGGCCAGCAGGATAGCCACGAACTATTGCGGCGATTGTTGGATGGCGTGCGCGAGGAGCAACTTCAGAAAGGCGAAGACAACAAGCCTTTGCCCGGGCAACGAACCTTCGTGGACAGGGTATTTGGCGGAAAACTATGCCAGCTGATCGTGTGTGATGCATGTAAAAATGTTTCTTACTCATTTGAGGAGTACATGGACTTATCACTGCCCATCCTCCAAGACGGAATCAAGCAGAGTAAAGGCTTCTTTTCCGCGTTTTCGCGTCGCCGAGTCAAGTCACCCGCTCCTGCGTCTTCTGAAGATATTGCAACCGATGTGCTTAATTCTATTATAGACAAGGTGGTCGCCGGGATATCCGATCTCTCCTTGCAAAATATGGCATCACGGTCGCCCTATGCTAAGGACCCCACGCGGTTACAGCTTATCGATACGTTGTTGCGCCCATTATCCACGGAGCGTGAAGGAGAGCCTGTGGAGAAACCCGTAACTTTGCGCAGATGCTTGGTCGAATTCATGGCCGTGGAAACGTTGGATGGAGATAGTGCTTATTCTTGCGATCATTGTTACAAGTTGAAATATGGAGTGTCTCCTGGTGATGCAAAAGACAAAGACGAGGCCGACCCTAAGACGGAGAGTGAGTCGTCGGGGAGGCGCTCTAGTCATCTAGACACAGATGAAGCTCGACAATCTCTAGGGAACGAAAGCAGCAGTTTATCGGAAGAGACTTCGGATACCTCTAAAGATACACTGCCAGCAGAAGGACCAGCAACAGCATCAAGCATGACGCTGCCAATTGTGCACGGTACTTCTGCTTCGCACACACCGAGCCAATCGGCTCCAGTAAAGGCGGAGCCCCATGAATTTCCTCTGCAAGAGACGGACGGCAGCGGACTATTGGAGGCCGAGCCTGTCAACCCACTGAAGGAACGTTCTTTGTCGTCCGTAGGGACAATGACATCCAGTAGAGGTCCAGACACACGGCTTCCGAGTACCAATTCGAGCATCGCCACATTGAACCAGATCGCTCTGGAAGAGGAGGACGTGGATGACATTGGGTCGGATGAAGATACTGCAGAAGGTAGAAGTAGCGATGGAAGCCCCGTATCGGACCAAGAAGCAGATGGATTGAATCTGTCTGTTCTTGATAACTTTGGTAACACAATGCGACCCGATGGTGACAGGAGCTCGGATATATCACAAACACCGGAACCCATAGCAGTCGTTGAGTATCCCTCCACTAAGCCCGCAAGACCCCCAGTCCGCAGTCGTGCCTATAAACGCTACCTCCTCCACAGCGTGCCCGATGTACTGGTTATGCACCTCAAACGGTTTCAGCAAGTTGGATTTGGTGGACGGACACGCAAAGTGGAAGATCCAGTTGCGTTTGAAGAGTATCTAGACTTGAGTCCCTTCATGGCACCAGATGAGGTCGAAGAAGCCGTTCAGGGCAGCGATACTCAGCCAATGGGCCGAAGAGATGGCGGAAGATACAGATTGAATGGGGTGGTGGTGCATGGAGGCGGGCTTTTTTCGGGGCATTATATTGCATATGTGCGCATTGGCACAAGCACAAACACATTGGACAGCATTGCTGTGAAAGATGAAGCAAACACCGTTGATTTGGACGAGGAGGCTGTTGAGTGGGTCTACTGCAGCGATACTCATGTTCGGCCAAGTTCATGGGAGGAGGTGGCTCGATGCCAAGCATATATATTATTTTATGAGCGAGTCCAAGAGATCGTTGGGCGGTAGGATACCGTGTAATAATAGAAACTGAATCCTGCAACGGTGAGGTTCGCGTTGAATTCGCGATCGCGCGTCGTATCATGTGCCACAGTCAGTCATCATCCCCGCCATCTTCCACCATAGCAAGCTCCAGAGGGAGATCTACCAGACGGGGAATGCAAACCACTCAATATTGTCGACTCAATGTCGCAACGTGGAGGCGAGGAGCTCCCTTCAACGCCATCAGAGGCCTTTCTCACTGCTCGGGAAAGCCCCTCCCAAAACGCACAACAAACACCAGAATGCTATTTTCCCATCGTTGGAGAAACCACCGTTAATGTAGACCAGGAACAAGGTGGCCCTCCCTTTGCAGCTGGCGGGCAGTTTGAAGAAGGAAACCAACCCGGTTCTTATCGTCCTTCAACATCCTCTGGTGCTCTCCTAGATTCTTCACAGCAGCCGACGTCAACTGAACCTCGGGCAGCGAGTTCTTGCAACCCGACGCTTCCCCGCGGACAGCTACCTAACTGGCGGGAAATAAAGAGAAGACTCCAGCAGGTTTTCAAGATCAATCATGCAGCAGCACAGGTCGCTTGCACCATAGTTTTGGTATCCCTATTCACTTTGATCAGGCCCATCGAAGAAGCATATCCGTCCAATACTGTATATATTACAATCGCTGCAGTCGTCGTTACCCAGCGTGAGTTTGGAACTGACCCTACGCGGCATTCTGTATGATATGTGTTAACGGCTTCTTTTAGCCAATCAAACGGCTTCGGTGCGACTTTTTGCTCAAAGACTGATTGGAGTCATTGTGGCTGCCATCTTGTCTCTTTGCGTACTCGGGTTAGATGCTATCATACCCCCCAAGTCCTGTCTGGACTGTTCGTGGAAACCATATGCGATCGGCGTCATTTTATTCATATTCATATACACTACGGCCTCAGTACGTGAATCACTCCCAGGACAAGCTTACACCACGAAACTGACCGATCTAACATTTGTAATTACTTTGGTATGTACCTTTCGGAGGATTGAATCTTGCGAATTCCCCTGATACATTTGTTAGCTAGGTGCATATGATGATCTTCTTCATAATCCCGATACTCCGCGATACGCTCCCCCGCTCGCCCGAATGGCGAGCATGATTATCGGTACATTGCTCTCCCTGGCTGGTGCCTTCATATTCTGGCCTGTACGGATTACTCTGGTGCATCGAGTCGTGACGGGTAATTTGTTCAAAGATATTGCCGGATATTTTCATGATCTGGTGCATGAAGGGTGGGTAGATGGCGTATGCGCAAAATTCCAAGATCATATGGCGCTAATAGTATTGGTGAAGATATTTACGAGAGCCCTCCCAGTCAGTGACCCCAGCAAGTCCTCATAGACTAGAAACCCAGTGGAGTTCTACATCAAGGACAATTGCGGTGGAAGGAGGCATGGACATTCTCGGATCAGAAGAGGCTGTAACAGCGCAGCCTTTGGAAGGCCTCCCTAAGCGAGGAATAAGAGCAAAGCTTGGATGGTTGCTCGGTAAAGCACCTCCTTCCGAAACTGAGCACCGTCCTGCTGCCCCTCGACCAGAGCAAAGTGACATCACGAGCGCTGACTCGACCACCGCCGATCAGTCAATTCTAACATTGGATGACTGGGAACGAGTCATCGATGATGCAGTTAAGAGAGAGGAGGAGGATATTGTAAAGGAGTTCCATGAGAAAACGCACCCAGCTGCGGTACATATCATACGTACCCTAGAGAAAGAAAGAGCCCGATTGGAAGCTAGCTATCAGGTTGAAGTTCGATGGACGCAAAGCCCTCATTTCGTTCATATAGCACCACTGGATCAAGTCATCAGACGCTTGCGGTAAGTGAACGTGGCGCTGATGAACATGCCCTGTTTCTAAGCTGCATTATTTCATTGGCAGACTCCTGTTTTATCAGCTGGCCGGACTTTATAGCGATCGACTGATCACCCTGCGAGCCCTTTCACCCCGTCTGCTGGAGTCAGCGCACCTTGTAGGAAATACTATAATGTCCGAATGGCTAACTGCCTGGACATTAGATGCTGCCGCGCTGATGCACGCTATGGCTGCGCAGCCGTTAGGTGATACGGAATCATTTCATGTGAGCACATACACAACTTCCCTGTGCAACGCGTTAACGGACCTTGGTGATGTTGTACTCTGGACTACAAGTCAGGGTACCCGAGTTATTGGGAGTGCTGAGCTGTCAGCTCGGTTAGAAGTCATTGTTCAAGAAGTGATCAAACGCAGGGATGTGTTAGAAACACATCTGTTGAAGCTCAGAACTAAATTGATGAACCCTAGTCAAGGGGATGATGCCCCAGATCCAAGTCACAAGGGCAAGGAACCGTGCGGCTGTGGCAAAATCGTAGCCAGCAAGGGAGTTTCGGAAGGACAGGCCCCAAATGAATCGCCCCCTGTGTTGGCGTTTCAGTACACAACATATGTACACCTATGGGAGATTACCGAAGTAGTTTTATCCGCTGCCCGTGCGGTTGGACGGATGATCAATGCTTATGCTTAGAGTCGCGTCACTGATTCTACAATTCATGCCCGTTTCTGGTCGCTGGAGCTGTAAATATAGCGAATACCATTTCGTGCCATTTTGTAAATGTTGTCTATGTCTCTGTAAGCAACGATCTGAGTGCGGAATTATCCTATAGGTGAGCTCGTGCTCCTCCCTCTACTTCTCGCAAGAAAGATTCAATGGCCGTCGCGGTTTGCCCATCGTCCATATGATACATCCTAAAAATGGTTTCAGCATACCACCCAGTTATGCAGGATCGCAAACAGGCACTCCTTACATGTGTCCAACATTCGGTAAGGTTAAGAGTCGTGAGTTGGGTAGCAGTTCAGTGAGGCTGGCACCGAATTGAGCATTTATCAATTGATCATTAAGCCCATGTACGACGAGCGCAGGAGTTGACACCAGGTGAAGTTGATCTGTCACATCAAACGTGGATAGGGCTTCCAGCTGTTGCACTTTGTGGGGAAAGCCGGTGAGCCAGCAATATACAGAAACAGTCCGATTGATACTTCCAACCAGACATGGCATAACACACCTGTAATGCGTATAGGTCTTTTCCACTTTGCAGAGTTTTGAATCAATGTATCCACGTACGCACTATTAGCTCGACACCAATCGGGAGTGAAGTTACTCTCAATCATCGCCCTCTGCAACTTCAACTTTTCATCAGCAGTGAGATTTGACTTCGATGCGCCACCCGTAGCGGCGACATTCACGGCTAAACTATCCGACAGCTTTGCATGAAGCTATTCGAACCAATGGTTTAGATGACAATGCGGCCATGTCAGACACACTCGTTCCATACCTGCGCTAAGAATCCCCGCAAAGCAGCTTTTGGGGTCGTACAAAGAAGAACAAGACTCAAGCATTCGCAATCGTCGCGGCCTCGAAGAAGCAGGGCAAGTTGTTGAGCTATCATTCCCCCCATTGACATTCCTAATAGATGGAAACGGTGCCATTTCAAGTGGAGAAGGATTGAGAAAACATCTGTAGCCATTTGGGTTATCGTGAGTTGGGGTGGGTCTCGAAATGGCGGTAGCGGTGGCGACAGAGAGGATTCCCCTATGCCTCTGTTGTCCAAGACACAGACTGGCCGGGTACGAGACAGATCTATGAATAACGTCAGGGTGAGTGCTTTGAACAGAGCACATGAGTTGACAGCTACACGTACCGTAAGCGAAATGAGCCCAGTCTTCCTTCACCCCCGTGCTACAAACGCATATCAGGCTTGCTTTCCCAACCAATTAACGGCCTTTTCCACGCGTAGGAACCTACAGTCCCATGACAAGAATCAACGGTATTCCCACATTTTTGGCTCCAAGAACATGATAAGCAATGGTTGCTCCATCCGGAGTTTTGTAAAATTGCGTCGTAGTGTCGTGGGTCTCGCTGGAACTGGCCATTGTGTAGATGAATGTTGGGTCAGATGTTGGGTGAGCCGGCAGAACAGATGGGCTTGTGCACTCGCGGTCCCATCGGATGAATCATCAAAGAGCATGTGACCGCGCTTACGAAAGACAACGCGAGAGAATATCCCGCCCTACATCCAAGGGTAAACACACGAATATTCTGAACCAATAACGACGACTCAAACCAAAGCTTGCGCATCGAGAGAGTGCATCCCATTTTGTAATTAGCAATTGCTGATTGCTGCCAAAGAAGTCTCAGTCAAACGAACAAAAATCAGATCCATTGATTATTGCCTACTGAAAAGTCCCAAACAAGTCAACTGGCCCAATATCATCCGCCGGCCCTCAATAGCATGTCAGCAAAGCGAGCGCTTAGCGGCATCGCCGCAAAAGAGGATCCTGATACCCTCTATGAGCTGATGGAGCATATCGGAACGGGAAGGTACCTCGTGCACCCAGATAACTGAAATCTTTCCCTCTAACACTTCACTGTCCTTTCCACTCTCCTACAGTTATGGAGAAGTATTCAAAGTGAGCAATGAGCGACAAAGCTTTGATAGGCTGAAGGATCTTCTTATGTTATTCGTCTCACGATTCCTAGGCACGCAGTCGTGTTACTGGAGAACTGGCCGCGGTGAAAGTGATAAAACTGGAAGCTGGAGAAGAACTTGATGAGGTCCTACACGAAGTGAACTTCCTGCGAGACTGTAACCATCGGAATGTAGTATCCTATATCGGATGTTATATGAAGAAGGGGGCTGTACGGGGACAGAAGCACATCTGGGTGGGTTACGAATGACATTAAGTCGCAGATCCGGGCGTCTCCTCTACCCGAAAATTGCCACCTTATTTTCACCAAATACTAAGTTCTCCTAATTTGCTCTCCTTAGATTGTTATGGAGTTTTGTGGGGGAGGTTCTGTAGAAGCTGCATATAAGGGTATGGATGGAGATTTCCATGAGAGCTAATGGTGAGCTATTGTCACTAACACTGTGACCTTTAGGTCTGCGGGGTGCACTTACAGAACAAGAAATTACGTGCATAATTCGGGAGAGTTTGACTGTAAATATCATTGTCTTACCTCTTTTTTGTGTCCGATTGCTTTAACGAAACGTAAACTGTAGGGCTTGGCATTCCTCCATTCCTGCAACAAGATGCATCGAGATATAAAATGTGGTAAGGGTTGTGGAGAAAAGTAGTCCACAGAAGTCTCAGACCGATGATGGCCGTTCTTTCTCTCTCATTCTGGCAGGCAACATACTGATGACTGAAAATGGTCAAATCAAAATCGGTGAGTAGGACATACGCCGTATAAGCCTTACCTTTTAATAATGCATTGTGACATGAATTGCAGCGGATTTTGGGGTATCAACGCAATTGACAAGGACATTTTCCAAGCGACATACTTTCATTGGCACACCATACTGGTAACGTTTTGTCTCTGAACACATTAATTCATATCATGTCTTCTCATCTGTATTGTATTCAGGATGGCCCCGGAGGTGATAACAGCAGAGCAACAAGGCACAGCATATGATTACAAGGTAAGCAAGCACTCTTCCAGATGAAGATACGATCGATACGATCCTTGTCTTCACCGTATATTTGACAGGCCGATGTATGGTCATTGGGAATCACCGCGATGGAAATGGCTGAATGCTCCCCACCAATGTTTGACATGCATCCGATGCGAGTACTATTCATGATTCCGAAACTGGATCCACCCAAGCTAAAAGACCAGACAAAATGGTGGGATCTTTTCCGCACGAACTAGATTGTGAGAACCTCATCATTAAACATTTATCCTAAATGGTGCCCAGGTCGCCGGCATTTCGAGATTTCCTGCACGTCTGCCTCGAGAAGGATCCAGACAAGCGGCCAACTGCCGACCAGCTTCTTCAGGTACACTTAATCCAAGTGCACGAGTATTTAGCAAGAAACTTAAGGGAGTTTCTAGTATCGCAAAGCTTATCTCTTTGCTACAGCATCCTTTCGTCAGACCTGAAGGTAACCCTGCAAACATTGTAACGAACCTCATTGAACGGACGCGTGAAGCGAAACGACTACGAGCCGTACAAGGAATAAAGAATCCTCTATTTCCGCAAGGGCAGGACGAGGACGAGGACGAAGATGACGATGAAGCCCGCGAAAAGGCCGAAACGGTCAAAAAGCGAGCGACGGCACAAAAGGTCGAAATCAACATGGATACCGCACTAGATCAAACATTACAGCAGGTTGGATGAGGATGTTTCTTGCGTCAAAAGCATGAGCTCATTCGGTTCAACATTCAGTTGAGTGTCAAAGACCCAAAGAGTGACACACTGAGGTCAATAGAAGAAAGTGAAGGACATGACGAAGACACACTGGGACCTTTGGACGAAAGGAACAAAACAGTAAAGAAGATACCGTCGCATGCTAAGGAGGAATCCGCAGCATTTGTAGAGCGCGTTGCTGTGCCCGACAAGCCGGAGCAAAGCAACGAGAAGGAGACAACACCACAGCGCAAACCAGTATGTACCTAGATCCCACAGAGCAGTATTTGCCGAGAGTTCTTACGCCTATCTTGGTCTAGACATTTAAAGCAAGCAGAATGTGCCGACTGGCAATTCAAGTGAACTGTGCAGAATTCTTGGGTATTGCGCGGATGTAGTTGGCGGCGACCGTACGTTCCAAAGTTTGTTGATGATCCCCGCTCCCGCATTTGGTAGGCGACACGCTATTGTTGGGAACGGATGACGGGCTGTTTGGATTGAAACGAAAGGTAATGTGGCCTTCCACCAAGCTACTTCGCTCCGCTCGTTCAGTTCTCGCCCCTCACATCTCCGGGCGCTTTTTTAGAAAAAGACCCGAAAATGATACCCTTGTCGACACGCCGATATGAGCAGATAAATGCTTTAGAGGACTTGAACATTATTATATCAAGATCCGGTACTGTCGCCCGGTTCAGAAAGATTCATTCCTCAAGTCTTACCAGACCCTCTAGGGAAATATGACATGGTTGCGACACATGACATGACTTCTACTACAAAATTCAAACGACGTCAAAAGTTTGAAACGGAGACCAAGTTGAAAAAGATGAAGGAGACAAAGGGGTGCCAATTTTATTCTCTGGGTCAGTTATAGTTTCTGCTTAGATTCGGGCACATACTTACACGTCAACTCTGACAGCTCGAATCGGACCATCAATATACCTGTGTGTTGCTACGCCTAAATCGTTGCTCGTACTTAAATGGGCACCACATCCATTCAATAAATTCATGAAGTTAAAGGTTTGTCATCCTCCGGCGTGCAAGTCATATTCAACTGCAAAGTATAATGTTGTCATTGAATTACAAAAAGGAAATAATGGTGGATTTTAAAGTCACAAGCCTAGATATAACAGAGTCTCCGACTGGGGAATTGCGACTGTATGCTGGAACGGCCACCCGCTTTAAGGTCGTGGACCTCCAAACTGTGACAGTCGAAGAAATTGTGGTACCTGGCGTCCCAGAGGACAAGTTGGGCCCACCAGTCCGAGGTGTCTTGTATTCGCAGCTGTTTGTATTATGCTATGAACGTAAGTCTGAATGTGTTGTTGGGTGATTTCAACTTACCGTTACGGTTGTTGCTCACTGTTTTAAACAATCTTGATTGTAGATATGGGAATAATGACAAAGCTACATCTCAACATGAAAGAGAATCGGACACTAACATGGCGAAACTCACTGACGTTCTCAGGTAAATCATCCTTGTTGCGATGCAAAGGAATAAGATTCATATCATTGACCCTACCTATAGGTAAACTGGGCGATGACTACCTCGTAGCGGGTTCCACAGCCGTTGTGGACGTAATTAACAGCGAAACAGGCAAAATTGTCCATGTTTTCGAAACAAAACGAGACAAGATACGATCTCTGAACCTTCTCGTATGTAAAGGGGAGAAACTATTCCTATTAGCAGAGGAAGAGAAGGATGGGATGAAGACGGCTTCGATTATATTGATTGAACTGAGTCAATGAAATGTGATACAATGAAAACTGTGCTTTGAACACGGGTGGAGTCGTGCTTGGGTGATTCAGAGGTTTCCGACGTCCGACAGCCTACGCATCGTGTCAGTGAGCAAATTTACATGCATTATGTATATCAGTAGATCGTATGAGTCCTCGCTTGCTACTAGCTCTCTAACTTGCTGATAGCTTCATCAATGTCTGCTATATGGGACTTCAATGTTGTCCAAGCAGCGGGAGAAATCGCAATTCCTGGAAGAGTCAATTGGAGAGCTAAGCAAGAACATCATCCATCATTTGGTCGATATAGCCTGAGGTACCTTTCTTTCCAGGTTTTTCTTTTCCATCATTTTTATCCGTATAAACTACGGTAGCCAACAGGCATATACAATTAGACTCTAAAGTTGCGCCTGTGGATTACACTTTATCACTCACATTCACGTATCCCAATCAGGGTAAGGTTCTTGAACTTGGATGCCGATGTGACTGGTAATTAGTAAACTTCGAAATAGGTAGGTACGTGGGAAGACTGCAAAACAGCACACCTTCTGGACAGTCAGTTTTTTCTTCCCATCCAAAGGAAGAACATATTCTCCATCCTTTCCAGTTTTCGAGTCGTTTTCGCCCTCTTTGGACTGTTTGGTGGGATCCTTAACCTTTGTTGCCCCCTGCTGTGCAGCAGCTTTCACCTTCTTCTTCGGAGCTACTTCTTCTGCAGAATCCCCGCCATCTAGGTCCTCATCATCGTATGCGTCGAAGACATCCTCCTCTGAGTCTTCAACGTATTTTGCTGACTTGGTTTTGCGCTTCATGATCTGATCTAAGAATGTGCGTTCCTGGGCGTATCGTGCACAAGAGCATGTCGTCACGTGTTTTAGTCCGACCTAACCGGACAGAAGTTTTACGTAACGTATCCCGCAGCTACAGTAGATCCCCGTCATATTATCTGCAAATCGTTTTGGTATGTCATACTGAGTCCCCTATAGCAAAGTCTTGATGCAGCAGTGACACGATGAGTTATGTCCTATGACACCACTGCAAGCCTCCTGTATGTAATCTGCCTGTCCAAAAGTTGCGGGATGTTCTGTGGAGTATATAAATCAGTCGGCAGGAGTTGTTACCCCCACCATCTTTTCCAGCCTCATCTTTCCACACTTTGGTTATTCGTAACGTCAACATGCCTGAACCCACCCACGGAGGCGAGATGGCCCGGAAATATATCAAGGAAGTCAGCGATGCCAATATGGACGATTGTATCAGGTCGGCCAGCTTCAACGCTGATGTTCAAGAGGTAGGTAGTAGGCATATTCACCGACCTATCCAGGTGCGTGATGTAGCATGTTGTTTTGACGATAACACTTCCAGGCCATTAGCAAGCATGTCAACCTGGAACTTAGAAGCTGGTACGCTTTTAAGAAGCTCGCCGCAGACAGTTCTCGCGCTGATGTTAACCTTCATGGGTTCGCCTTGTAAGTCTCCACCGTGTCGTATCTACATACTACGTCTTACATGATTCGCACGACTGTCTCTAGATTGTTTGAAAAATCGGCACTGGAGTGCTTAGCAGATGCCTGTTACCTTGAGAAGGTAAGAAAGGTACAGAACATATCATGGCAGAATCCAACGGTTTGTAACAGTCCATTTCATCCGTTTGGGTAGTATGCAATCCAGCGTGGAGGAAAAGCGCATCCCATGGTAAGGAGAAAATATTGTGTCCCTTTCATTGTCAACGATCTAACTAGGTGTGACAAAACGCAGGACATTCCGGCTCCCAAGATCGAGTACAGTACGCACCCGATCGATGGAATTCGCCCTATACAAGACGCGCTGCATATCCAAAAGGCGATTTTCGAAGACTGCCAGCGTCTCACGGAAGTCGCCGGCCAGAACAAAGATTATGCCTTGATGGATGTTGTCGAGTCTCGTTTCCTGTGCAAGGAGACCAAGCATGTCAAGGATTTAGGGGACCTCCTTAGGGAAGTTGCGAGGGTTTCAAAGAATCCTGGCCATGGTGAGTGGAACTGTTGCGCTTTCTTTCAGATTTCAACTCCCCAACACCCGTCTGCAGGACTCTTCCACCTTGATAAAGAGCTCCTTAAGAACAAAGGACGAATTCCGTGGACTTGTCACAATTTACCTGAGAGCGCCGATTTGGTTCTAAAGGAGATGGCTTGTAGCCTTGGCGAACCGAGTGCCATTTGACTGCTGTGGTACATTGAACTCTCGATGCGCTCTCTTGCTTTTCTTGTCATTGTAGATGTTATGCATGCCTTGCCCCGCTTGTATTTGATATGAAATTTCATGCAATAAAACTTGCCTTGAGGTCCCCCTACCACGTCACTAAATAACTGCTTTAAACTCTAACCTTTTCTAATCCCAAATTCTCTACAAAGAGTGCGTTCTACATAACTGCTAGGATACGAAAATGAATGCCTTACGCCTTCTGGTATCTCGGCAAGCCGTGACGATCGCTCCAGATCTATTAAACATTGTAGCATTGCAGCGAGCTGCTCGTCTTGGTGGAGGCCCGTACGTACCATGGCATCAATAAACAACAGACGTACTGCTCGTAAAGCGGATAATGAGTCTACCATTTGAGTGCACTCGTTCGAGGGAACTCTTGGGCTGTGAGCAGGACGGGTAAGATATCTCCAGGAGGTTTCGCCGAACACGTTTGCCATATCTATCTCAACAACAGGCGGGTTGTATTTTCCTCGTCGCCAAAGCTTAGCGACGTTGATTAAGTGACCCATGGTTGAGCTGTTTTTCATCTGATTCCAAGTTTGTGCGTCCATTGTGCGGCGCCATACATGAAGGCGATTTAGACAGTGTTCGGCTCTTTCCAGCGCTGCAGAGGTTGTTACATCTGTTACATGATACTTTCGATACTTCGGACCGAATTTGTGCCAAACGGAAGACCAAACATCGGATAAGATGGTCGCTATCCGGTACTGGATGAACGTGCGCATTGTCTCAAGCGGGATGTTTGTAGTGCTGGACTCACACCGGGCCTTCTTGGTGTCACCATAAAGATCGTTCAGCGATTGCTGCAAGATGTCCACCTCCGCCAGCGCCTGGTCCATTTTTGCTGCTAGTATCTTGTTATACTTGAAATAACGTGCAGGGATGCTTGAAACGACAAACAACAGAGCTTCAATTCCGACATCAAGGTCTGTGTTCGGTTCCTTTTTTTCCATTACAGCTGAAACATCGAACGTAGGTGTTGGAGCTTCAAGCTTCGGTCTGGGAAAGGTGTTTCCTCCTTGTTTGTCAGCAGTAGGCTTGCAGTCCTTTGCCATACCTTCCGCATCTATGGAGTCGTCCCAAACCACGTCGCTTTTGCTTGTTAGCTCGTACAACCCGGCAACCACGCTAGCATCCGGTTCCTGGGCGGAGTAGGCTTTAGTGGGATCCGAAATCCCGCGCAAACTTGGGCTTGCCCGAAAGGGAATCTTCAGGGCTGTACATATAAATCTTATAGTCGACGGACTGCGAATAGGACCATATGTAGTGGAACCATGAATGATTTTGATGGCCATATCCCATACACAAGTTGCTGGATGGCTGACAACATTATCTTGTTGTGCGCATCAATACGTTGATGGGGGCATCGTATCTGAGGGTCCACTGGTTTGCATTGTTTACGGGATCCACTGGCTTTCTCGGACTGCGTTGATGTCAATGAAGCTTGCGCTTGTTTTACATACTTCTAACACATGCATGTGGGAGGGCCTTGCTTGAGGTATTCCTTCCGAGCTACACAGATCCAGTAACAAGTGTTTATTTGTAGTGCGAAAACGGCGGAAATGTCACTGTATAATATACACATCCCTACACCCTTGAGCTATATCAGTTCTAACATATTTCTAGATTACCCAGTCTATCCCTCAATGTCCTTGTCCTAAAATGGAAATGTTAGGTTGCTGCACAAAGTTGAAGAAGTGAGGTCACCAAGCAGATACGGTGGTTCAGTAGAGGAACGCGATCAAGCCCGTAATTATAGTAGCAGCTTGCTTGTCAAATGGAGAGGGGTGAACATGGCCGTGACCTATCGCAACAGAACAAGGACAAATGCACTGTTAAACTTGGGAGTCTGTGGCAATAATCGACCTTGAGTGATGAAAGCAGAACAAGAATTGGGGGAAGGGAGAGAGCAGCCTTTAATGCCCACGAGGACAGATCACCATTCCAGCGTCAGGATAATTGATAGATATTCTTATTATTGATTTCTTTATTACATATCACCAACTCTTGGGCCCTTCTTTGTGTATGCTCATATAATGGTGAATCCGGTGTGGGTCGAGTTAACTTGGAAATATCGATGGAGCTAATTATGCTTAGGCAATCAGCCAAGGTTGAAAGCACCTGATGACTCACGCCTGGCCGTTGTCGTTGGGACCATTGAATTCCATACATCAGCAACATGAGCTCCCCTTCATCTTTCTCTCCCTATCAGCCACCCCCAGCAGAGCCTCGTATCGGAGCGGGAGGTTATCAACAGGGAGGGGTAGCACCATCAACATCCGTCCACCCACCATCTTCCTCATCCACTCCCCGCGGTTACGGCGCTCCCCCATACCAAGCATCACAGCAGCAAGATGCGGCAGAGCGCGTAAATAAGTATGAGACCAGTTTGGGTGCCAGGGTAGACATTGAGGCAGCGTTGTGTTATGTACTTGGTTGTGTCACAGGTGGGGTCTACTGTCACGTCCCTCAGATGTCAATAAAACGGGGCTGAACCGCAGCTGCTTTTAGGTGTTCTTTTCTTGATTCTTGAAACAAAAAATGATTATGTTCGGTCAGTAGCTGCACTCGGGCTCTAGCGCATATCGCTGCTATGCTACCTTCTGCTGCCGTCACTTTACGTTAGGCCTCGCACATCTAATTTATCGATACAATCGTAGATTTCACGCCTGGCAATCCGCTATCACCTTTGTTGGCATCCTGGTATGTACAGATTGCCTTCTGTTCTCTTTGAAATATGTGTACTAACGTAGTGCATGTGAAGGGTGTCCAATTTTTTTTCAGTTTGTTCTCCGCAACGACACTGGTGTGGTTAATTTTCCTGGTTGAAGTTGCATTAGCTGCTTGGCTGGCGTAAGTAGCGATCACTGAGATGTCTTTTGAAGGCTCCGTTCTAAACTGAACGAATGCTCGATAGTTATCAGGCGTATGTAAATGCAGATTCATTGGATCGATATCAGTTACCGTATATTGGAGAGGTCAGTCAGATTGGATGCGCAAGTTAAGGATATTTCTCACCATCCTCCATGTCAACCCCCAGATTGCATCACAGTGGGTGGATAGCGAGTAAGGGCTAGAACTTTGAGCTGGGATGTGATCATCGTAGTGTAGTTAGCTATGCTTTGAGAAGCAGTCATAATGCAAGTAGTATTCGCTTTTTGTAAATAACCCAGAACGTTTCCACAAGCACCAATGGAAGCCCATGATTCTCGCTGCCGTCTTTTGCTGGCAAAGTGGTGATCAGCCATGTTTGCCTTGACAAGAGATCGTGGGGAGGTAAAAATGAACAGCGTTATCGCCTTTGTTTATACACCTGCATGAGTCACGAACGTAACTGGTGAAGCATTGACGGCCATGCCTCTTCGCTTTCTCCCCATTTCCTTTCGTCGCACTTCCCACCTGGTGAGCTTGCATCTTCCTCGCGCTCTTTATCGTAGGCACGTCACAACAGCCATGACCTCAAAACACTTTCTTGCTGGTGGGTGTTACTGGCGGTGGTAAAGTGTGAACTCGTTTTTCATCTCCCATTCTACAGACACCGATGCTCCCATCTGCCGCCTCGAAGCCAAGCAGCACTTCGAATCGTTGACGGAAAAGGAACAACTGTATGCCCACTATGTTGGACGTGCATCCTGGGAGGGTGCTCGCATCCTGTCAACAACGATATCTCGCGAGGCTCCGTTGTTGTACAGTTTGTTCATTGAAATATTTACGGACAAAGATAACTCTGGAAACATCCCACGCATGAAAGACATATTGCCGCTCAAAGCCAAGGCGGAGGTGTCTGACGATGCGTGGAAGTATTTCTTAGAGTATGCAGCACAGGTAGTGGTGGACACGCCAGATGTTTGCCGAGACCTTCTTTAACCTCAGTATATCACGCTACAGGTCTTGAACAACCTGGGAAACTACAAGAGTTTTGGCGACACAAAGTTCTTGCCTCGCTTGTCTGTTAATGATTTCGAAAAGATTGTAAGAGCGTCCGGATCTGAAACAGCAGTCAAGCTATTTGAGCAAGTGCGGGACGCCGTATACGCGGCAGAACCAGATGCGCAATTGCTGATTGGATTTCCGGCTGAGGGACACGTATCTGGGTATTATTCGCCAAACATTTCAAAGCACGATGTTCAACTTGTGCAAGCGTTACTCGAACAAAAAAACATCTCTGCACTCAATACACGTCTCTTCAAACTGTCCGAGAACGAGTACGAGGTGAGGATCGCATCAGCCAAAGTAACAAAATCGCCCGAGACTTTCGAGATATCGGAGGGGAAAGTTGTCAAGGTTATATATGGCGACTTCGCAGACAACATGACCAAAATTGCAGACAACATTCGACTGGCCATTCCGTATGCTGCCAATGACCATCAGAAAAAAATGTTGGAAGCATACGCAGAATCCTTTAGCACTGGTTCTATTGACGCACACAAAGAAAGTCAAAGACACTGGATTCGCGATGTTGGGCCAAACGGTAGGTACCCTCCTCTCCAATTGATGCGAGTATTGACTCATACACTTTCATTGAAATAGTTGAGAGCAACATTGGGTTTATTGAGACTTACAGGGACCCGGCAGGTGTCAGGGCGGAATGGGAAGGTTTCGTGGCAGTAGTCAACAAGGAGATGACCCAAAAGTTTGAGAAACTAGTCGACAGTGCCGAAACTTACGTTGGGCGCCTTCCGTGGGCAAAAGAATTCGAGAAAGACAAATTCAACAAACCTGACTTTACTAGCCTTGAAGTGGTGACCTTTGCCACATCTGGTACGCCTCCAGCAGGCATCAACATTCCCAACGTAAGTCCGTAAATGACTGAAGCGAGAATTTGCTGTTAATAAGCTCCTGTTTGTCAGTACGATGATATTCGAATGACGGAAGGCTTTAAGAATGTATCGCTTGGAAACGTTCTAAGCGCAAAGGCACTAAACGAGAAGGTCACGTTCATTAAGTCTGATGATTTGGCCGTGTACGACAAGTACCGGGGTCCGGCGTTCGAGGTGCAAGTTGGTTTGCACGAGCTCTTGGGTAGATATCACCATTGCAGGCAGACATGATTCGGAGAGACTCCGCGATTAACCTAAACGCTTTCAGGCCACGGCAGTGGAAAGCTGCTTCAAGAAGAGGCACCCGGCAAATTTAACTTTGACCACACCAACCCTCCTATCTCTCCTCTAACTGGCAAACCAGTAACGACATGGTACAAACCAGGAGAAACCTGGGGATCTGTTTTCAAAGCCGCTGCGGCATCATACGAGGGTAAATCTACATCTACCTACAACGTCCTACTTGTTTTCTGAAAGCTAAAGGATTGCTTGCGATTAGAATGCCGTGCTGAATCCGTGGCCATGTACTTGTGTGTTGACAGAGAAATTCTGAACATTTTCGGACATGGTGAAGAGCAGGAGGCATCCGATATCATTTACGTCTGCTATCTTCAAATGGCGCGCGCCGGCCTCCTCGCGCTGGAGTTTTACGGTAAGTTCAGCATCGGGAGAATATGTTGCGCGTGCCGTTGATCATGTTTCTTTGTTATCAGATCCCAAATCGAAGAAATGGGGGCAGGCCCATATGCAAGCCCGCTATGCCATTCTACAAGTTTTCTTGCAAGCTGGCCTTGTGAGAATTGAGGAAACGGGTGCGGACGACCTGCTCATTCATCTTGATCGCAGTAAAATCGAAACCGTGGGGGTGAAAGCAGTCGGTGACTTCCTGGCTAAGCTCCAAATCTACAAGGCAACTGCAGATGCCGATAACGGACTTGCGTTTTACACTAAACAAACGACGGTATCCGATGACTGGATAAAGTACCGTGAAATCGTGTTGGCTCAAAAGCAACCGCGAAAAGTGTTCTTGCAAGGAAACACCTTTATTCAAGACGGAAAAGCAGTGTTCAAAGAATACCCTGTTACTCTAGAAGGATTCATCCAGTCTTTTGTAGAGAGAAACGTGTAGAATTTGGGTGCATTTTCAGAGTAGAATGGATTAGAAAGATCATTATCCCCCTCCCCGCCGCCAAATACAGCGCTCGAAATATTTAGTGACCGTTGGCACATATTGTCGACTGAACTATGTGAATCAAATAGCAAATTTATTACAATAATATGTATCACATGTAGCAGAGTATCAATGCTGTGAAGCGCCCGACGTTGCGGTCGTACGAATGACCTGCTGAACCATATTGGTTGAGGCTGTTTGGAGGTCGATAGTTCAACGTCTATCTCTTCGGGCTCCCGCACCAATGGAATCTCGAAAATTTGAAAAAGTCATGTCGTCATCGTCGTCCAGTACAACGGCTCGCTGTTGCGATGCCCCAAAATTCAGTTTACTTTGACGTGACTTGCCACTGGTAGTGGTCGTACGCTTGGCTAATGGGGCTGGGCTTGTCGTTGAAATAGACCTGCAAATTCTTTTAGCAAGAAGGAAATTAGAGCAAGGTCAGTCCAATTCTCACGTTGGTAATTTACGCTTCCGGGTGGATGTCGGTACAGGAGTAGATGATGTCTTTGCCGATGCCGGAATATCGTCGTCGATATCTTCAATCCCATCGTCGTCTTGGTCGTCCACCACCTGGAGGAATTATATCTTCAGCTTCAAGCAATCGTACTGAACACAATGGCAACCACGGACCTTTGCAGTCGTCAGTGGACTTCGAGTGCTTTTTGAACTTGAGCCAACCCGTCCTCGTCCTCGCCCCCTTCCTCGCCCTCTAGCCGTAGTAGCTTTGCTTTTAGCTGTTCTCTTCGTGTTGTTACTCGCTGCAGTTGCAGGCGCATCATCATCGTCATCTGAATCGATTACCACTGCACGGTCCACATCATCTTCCTCGTCATTGCTCCCTTTGTTCGACGTTGTGGATGTGCGCTTCGATGCTTTCTAGAGAAACCCTTTAAAGTTATTCAAAATTCCGAAAGCGGCCTCCGTGAATGTTACCCGTGCAACGTACATTTCGGGACGTCGAAATGAGTCCTCCGGTAGCCTTTCTTCTATCACTTTCAGCTGCAAACTCTTCAAATCTCTTTTTCTTTTCTTTTTCAATCTTCATATAGAACTTCTTGTAAGAATCAAGCTACGAAGACGCTATTTCGACTGATGATCCCAATACCTCTTCTTTTATCGCATCATCATTGTCCACAGCAGACGGGTGGCGAGCGCTCAATGTTACGCGTGTTCGTTTCAAAGATTCCACCACAAAACTTTTGCGAAAACCTTAGTCCGGAATGATCGCGAAGAGACAAAACTCCCTTTACAAAACTTACTCTTTGATGGCATCCTTATCGTCCTTTTCAACGAACATTCTGACCGCATCAGCGAGCTCATTCTCAGGCAGAATATCCAAATTCTGAGCATTCAGATACTCCGTTACTAAATCCTCTACCCTGAAATTTTCCAGTTTTTCGGGTAAGAATGCTTCAATATTAACGAGCTCCGACTTTTTCTTGGCTATAAGGATGAATGTCAACATAGTATTCATTTAATTTCCAGGCTTCCGATCGATGAGAGTGCTTCAGACTCTGCGCACCTGTTGCAATGGTGGAGGCTCTCTTCCGGTAAAACAGCAAGATATCCTTTGGATTTGCTACTCGATTCACGAACACTTGTCCGAATCGCTGGGGATTAAATGTAGTAAATCCGCCGCCGTACTCCACCTGCATAGCACGTCACATCGTCAAACTTAAACCATGCTTCTGCAACACAGATCATAGCGGTCATCTGATACCTTCAAGCGCACCAAAGGTTTGGGCCATTCAACTTCGGGTACGTCAGGGTTCAGCTCTTTCCACTCGTTCATCGCAATGGTAATAAGCTCCGCCACCTGGTGTGGTAAGATACTTAGGTGGTTGAACCTTCACCACAACGCAGTGCGCGGCGCACTGACCTTGTCTTGAAGGAATTCATTGACCATGTTTTGATCTGTCGGTCGAAGTCCCTCCACTTCCTTCAGAATCACCTCGTCCATCACAAACGGTCGTACTTTCTTTAGGCGGATTCGATCCAGTTTGAATTCCGAGCCGCTTATACTCAAGAGGCCTACATGCCTGCAACATCACATCTGCGTAAGCTTACGCCTTTTCCTCCAGAACCCGGAGCTTACTTAGGTACTGCTTCGCCTTCACAGAGAGATGTAGCAACAGAAGATCCAGGTTGGGTAATCCAGAAGTCTTGCACGGAATTACGAACCGGTTCTATTAGACACTCATGCTCGTGTCCCCAGAGGATCAGATTCAGGAATTCATCCAAAAAAGTCTCGGGTATAAAGTTGGTGGGGCCGTGCGCTATTCTTTTGGCGCAGAAAGATATTAGCTACGCACAATCACTGCGAAGTAATACCACCAACGATCGCAGGTTTTAAACTACCTGTTCTGATGTATTGCCATCAAATTAAACCATTCATTCGTATCCTCCTGTGGTCGGTACATCTTGACCTTTTTTTTCTGAAACGTTCGATGAAGTCGCTCGTCTCGCACATTTCCCAATCCATAAAGCGCCAGCTTGCTTGTCCCTTTTTGCAGTAGAATTGGCTTTATAGAGATATCATCCACCTCAACTTGTTTCCCAAAGTAGTTCACCAATCCTGCTACGCTAAGAAGGTCTAATGCGCAAAGACTACCATCCTGATGGCAAGACGTAAACAAAAGGCTATGGCAGAGCACGAGTTAATGCTATCGGCTTACCCCCGACGGATCATCGTGGTTTCCGTGGATAGAAAATACTGGCATACCAATATTGAAGTTGGGATCTTGATAATTAACAGTAGCGAACCTGCTCCATACAAAGCTATAAACCTGTGTAGTTGCACAGGCAATGATGGGGCCCTACCGATTTGGGAAGTTTTCGTTCTGATCGCTCAAGAATTCCATCTGACATGGACGTTCCCCTAGGCAGTATTGCCTCAACAGCGTCATGGTGGTATGTAGACACTTCCGCGAAGGTTTGTTGTCATGAAAGAGGTCTCCGCCAAGCAATACAAAGTCCACCTGTTTTATGTGATTTGAAAAACTACACGCAGTCAACATAAAAACATAGCTAATACCTCATTTTCCTGTGCTAGCTGCAGGATTTCCTCAAAGGCCTCAAACGAATCGTTTCCCCTTATAGGGTCCTTTTCCATATAGCCGACATGGTTATCGGTAGCAATGAGAATTTTAAACGTATTCGCGTTGGGATCTGCATTCCCATTGAGTTGCCCGATAGCAGCGTCCGGTTCAGTGTCCGCATCGGTTGAACGTGCACGACGAACTCGCACTTTACGTCCTTCCCCTCCTGTCATTCCCACCGAGGACGACGATATCTGAAGGTCCGCCCACCACTCTCGAATGAGTCATCTTTCATTAGGGTATCCATGGCAAATCTCATTGAAGATTTGTTAAAACGCATCTTTAGTGGTTGACCTTTAAGACGGACTCGATACCAAACATGTCAATATCCAGTATAACAGCATCGCTTGCAAAACTGTCAGTCGGTGCTGTTCCAAGAGCTCACTGCGGTGTTGGGACTGCAAGGACCTTCAGGTGAGTAATTTAACTTGCTCCGTCTGACCGCCATGGCAAGTATGAGTGCTAAATTGTGTTGGACTAGCACCCTTTTCACCACTGGCATCACACGTTGCGCACCTGCAGCACCTACTTCTAGTATTTCACCCGTCGCCAGGTGAGTTCTTCTACTACCACATCTACAATCTGCTCCAGAAGAGTTTGTAGTGAACTGATACCGGTCATTTTACCACCAGCAACCTGCCTCTCTGTCCCTCAGCCGTACCGTCACCTTCTCCCTTTTTTTTGTCGCTTCGGCCTCGTTACAGAACATTTGGAAATGAGTACCGTCCCAGTAATCTCAAACGAAAAAGGAGACATGGCTTCTTGAAGCGATTGCGCACGCTCAACGGCCGGAAAATGTTAAAGCGAAGAATGCTGAAAGGGCGGAAGTGGTTATCACACTAGAAATTGCATAGCCGCAGATGGCGAAGATTGATAAAGCGTTGGATCAAGGCTGACTGTACAGTGGAAAGCACCATTGTCACAATGGAACAAATATTATATATTAGATTGAAATCAACAAATTCTCCCGAAGCAGATGCACAAGATAGCACACCGCTACCACGGACATGCAGCCGGCAGTGTCGCGCGCATATCCGGGCTGTGCGATCTCGCCCGGCTCTCATGCTTCCTTGGTCCATATTCACGATCCCCTATGTCTGACTCATTGGTCTCACTCGATACAGATCCATCCCGCTTTCGCTTCTTGCTCTTCTTTTTGGACTTTTTCTTTTTGTGCTTGCTGCTCTCCCGATGCTTCTTTTTTGGTGAGGGAGAAATGTCCGTTGCATGCAACGCTTCCGCTTTAACTTGTTCGTCAGCCAGCTCCTCCAGCCTATTCACGTAGTGAACCAGGCTTTCATCGTCGTAGTTAGAAATATCCAGACCCGGATCGTAGCCCTCTTGGAAAAATTTGTCTAGCCGTGAGGATCCCACCCCTCCCCGGCCGCGTTTCACGCGGACAGGACCACTATCAGAGGTCTTCAGAGAGAAAACATCTTCATTGCCACCTGATTCTCCAGATATTGACGAGCAATCAATAGACGGCAATGGCCCCTGCGACCTTCGAGCACGATTCAGTTCATCCATAAGCTTTTTATCTTTTCTGACGATACCAGCAGTTTCAGCACTTTTCGACTTTCGCCGCTTATTTCGTCCTCCTTCTCCAGAAGAGGGTGGCGAACTGTCTCTTCGTCGTTCTCTCAGGGAAGATCGAGAGGGTGACCTAGAGCGTGAGCGGGACGCAACCATCGCACGCTGGGTGTATCTATGCTCTCGAGGTGACGGGGGTGAAGACCATACCGGCGAGGACGGTCGTCTAGAGTCTGGGGACTGTGATGATTTGTAAGCCCTACGTTGCCGGTCGATGCCTCTTCGCGATTCATCTGCCCATGTTCCCACCAGAACTGACGATGAGCTCTCCCCACGCGAACGTCGTCGATCTCGACTGTCTGGATGCAATTCTCTTCTCTGCCGCCTTTTGAAGTCCCGCAGTCGCAGTTCCGCCTCTTCCCGCTCCTTTCGCAACAATGCATCATTATGCGCGTCTGTACTTCGAATAACACTGGCTAGAAAGCGCTTATTGGCCTTTGGAAGACTGAAAGGTTAGATTCAGCATGGTCTCTCACCTGAGAGACACTTGCGCTAGCTGGCTGACCTGTTCTTTCCCAAAAAGGCACTGATGCCAACCTCGTTGTAGCGCTTGTTGGCTACCGCCGCTTCCCTCAAGATTGTATCAGCAATATAGCGGTCGAGGTCATCGTCTGGGATATCATTGGGGACCCCTCCTACAGCCTGCCTTTAGATAATTAGTTCGAAGTCAATCGTCTCAGACCCGTGAGTTTCCAGAGCACTTACGGCTCGCATTAGCTTGGAGACTACTGAATTCAACGCAGAAGGAGGTGTTGATGAGGAAGAGGAGCTAGTGGCTTGCGTTTGATGTTGTGCAGTGCGTTCCGGCTTGGAATTGGAAGTGTTATTGCTCATCGTTTAGGTAACCAGGACAGATGAACCGACGCTGACATTTGTCGGCGCTGTGCCACTCGGTCGTTGCCATATCAACTAATTGGTCCATGGCCAATCTTCTTTCCTGAATAGTTTCCAATAGTTCCGCCAACCATGTCCGCTCGCCGTCGCTTTCTCTCGCCACGTTCGCCATACCCCTACCTTGGACTCGCTGCCGTCGGTCTCGGATGGTGGGCGCAAACGGTCTACGGCGGCATTAACTCACAAAAAGCCCACTCGGGCATATTCAAGGCGGTTATGTTTCACCTTCGGCACGACGAAGCAGCTCAATCCCTTCTCGGAGATAATATCCACCATGACCCAAAAAAGCATCCAAGCGTCAAGGGCAACGTAAACATGCTAAAAGGAAAGGCGGACATAGAGTTTTTGGTGGAGGGGAGTAAGGGGACAGGAGTGGTGCGGTTTCGCGGAGTGCGCGGGGAGGATGATTGGACAAGTCAACTATTTACCTTGAAATCACCAGAAGGCAAAACCGTGGAATACCCATAAATATCACCGAGGAAACCTCACAGCCGTAGCTCTTGGTGGTATCATTCTTACCCGATCTAAGGTGGAAGGCCAGAATAAGTTCATATAATACCGGGGATGGAGGGGCAGGGCGTGCCAGATCCTTGGCAAGTCCCTTTACTGTTCCGAGAAAGGTGCAGAATATGGGATATTGAAATACGACATTTCCAGAGCAACAATCAACATGGTTTCCGGCTTTCTCTTGCGATATGTCAGAAACAGATAGCGTCGCAAGTGGAGTTTTCAGGTCGGGCAATTTCATAGATTTATAGATAGCGGAAAATGTGACTAGGAATCTTGTTGAGGCCTGAAACTCGGTGCATAGCAATATACGTTTTATTCATTTGTAGAGAAGAAGAACTTGTCACCTCGGCCAGCTCCACGGGGTTGGAAAGATCCCTTGATATAGGAAGGGCATTTCAATTAGTGGTCATGCAGCGGATATGCTGGAGTACATCGCCGACATTGAAACTCACCATCCACGCCCAGGAGCCCAGGAAGACTGCCGCCGGTAGAACCACTGTCAGCATCGCCCCAATTCCAACTGCTCTACGATTAAGCTTGTAGTACGCATGCGTGTTTTCCTTCATATGGTACCATTTTTCTGGAAACGCAGACATGAAGGTAAGCTTGAGGAGCGGGAGCGGGCGCCGTATTCACTGTTTGATGCGTCACTTACCAATTGCTGGGTCAATCTGTAGCGACAGAGAAAAGGTCACAAAATAGTAAGTACTCTCGTTCCAGCTATTGTCACTTGGGTGTATTTAGTTTCACGTACCAGCACGGGAGGGTATTTTCCACCACCAGCCATGTTGTTTGTCAAATCAAAAACGCTGGGAGGGATTTGTTGGCAACCGACACGGCATCCAATTTCCTGTTCATCCCATCCAACTGGCTGTGCCGCTAGTCGCGTGGCACAGCAAGATTTAGGTGCTGACTAGTTTGGTAGTGAGCATCAACAGCGGTTCGAGCAGTTGCAGAAAGCAGGACGATGTCGGCAAAGCGGACGAATGTTCCAGATGGCTTCGTTGCTGACGTACGACCCGATCGACTGGAAAGCTCGACTCCGAAGACTGGAGGGCTTTTGGTGAGACCTGGTAAAGCGGCAGAGGGTGAAAGGCACATGTTCAAAGCACCAGCGCCAAAAGCCTCGGCGCTGGGTTTAGATAGATTAGCGGCAGAGAAGCGGGCTGAAAAGGAGGCCCGAGAAGAAGACGGACCTTCGAAGCGTGCAAGAATAGACTCGGTAGATGGCTGGGAGGAGACCAATGGAGGTCGCTTTGTCAAGCGCACTGGAGGCCAACAATATCGCTCTCGCAGAATGGAAACTCCTTCTCATGGAGGTGGGGTCTCTGATGAGGCGTGGCAGCGTCTTGGCCAACACCGGAAGGAGAAGGAACGATACCGTGCTGGCGGTCTACATCTGTCATCGAGAAATGGTGCCGGCAACGGAAGATACTCGAGGGACGATCTCGCACAGAATTCGGAAAGCTTAGGAGTCACTCGAAGTGAATGGGATATGACCCCATCGCGGCAAGATGGCGGAATGACACCGAGGCGGGATGGCCGTGAAGCCAGCAAATCGGACTGGAATTTTACTACTCCACGAGTGGAATCAACCTCCTATGACGACGAAATGCGGAAACCCACGAATGCAGAATATGATCAATGGGAAGCTGAGCAGACACGGCTAGACCGGGAATGGTACAACTTGGAAGAGTCTGGAACGATGGACGAGACATACAATCAATACTCTGAATTTGACGAATACTATCGAAAGAAGGAGGAGGAACTGGCGAAGCAACAAGTAAAACGGCTGTCCGCGCGGCAGGCTCAATTCAACCGCGATAATGATCTTTGGGAAACAAATCGTATGCTGACAAGCGGGGTTGTCCAGCGAAAGGAGGTTGACACAGACTTTGACGACGACCAGGAGGGCCGCGTTCACGTTCTTGTGAGAGATTTGAAGCCGCCATTTTTGGATGGCAAGATCGTTTTTACAAAGCAATTGGAGCCTGTACAGTCTGTCCGTGACCCAACGTCTGACTTGGCGGTGGTCGCCAGAAAAGGGAGCAAGCTGGTACGAGAAAAGCGCGAACAGCAAGAGCGGGCTAAAGCTGCGAAATCGTTAGATTTAGCTGGAACCGCACTGGGTAATATCATGGGCATAAAAAAGACGACAGAAGACGCAGAAGGTGAGTGCCACTTTCTTTCCTTAGATGCCACATTCCGGTGCTGAGCGGCGCCATGGTAGAAGCGGCCGAAGCCGATGGTGAAGGTCACAAAGGAGAGTCTCAGTTCGCATCCCACATGAAAGACCAATCTGAAGCCGTAAGTGCATTTGCACGATCAAAGTCTCTTCGGGAGCAGCGCGAGTTTCTGCCGGTGTTCTCGGTCCGTGAAGAGTTGTTGCGAGTTGTTCGGGAAAATCAAAGTAGGTTCCGCTGTATGTCCTCTACCCGGGTGAAGACTTGCATAATAATGCTCTGCGTTTAGTTATTGTCATAGTAGGTGAAACTGGGTCAGGGAAAACGACGCAATTGACGCAGTACTTGCACGAAGACGGATATACGCGTCACGGTCGGATTGGATGTACCCAACCCCGTCGTGTAGCAGCTATGTCAGTCGCCAAGCGTGTTAGCGAAGAGATGGAGGTAGGTTGGATTAGATTGGTTATTATCGGAAATAGCTACTAACGGTCAAGTCAGTGTAAACTAGGGGATAAAGTTGGTTATGCTATTCGTTTTGAGGACTGCACTTCAGAAGAAACAGTGATAAAATGTACGCACTTGCGCATAATAATCTTCTTGTGTAAGTTCGGCGCCGATTGACCTTAATGTCCTTTCAGACATGACCGACGGTGTTCTCCTCAGAGAGTGTTTGAACACACCCGACTTGGACCAGTACAGTGCTATTGTGATGGACGAAGCACACGAGAGAGCACTTTACACTGATGTGCTGATGGGTCTAATCAAGAGAAGTGAGTATTTATTTACTCTAAAGCCACACGCTTGTCTTGTCATTAACAGTCCGTCGCAGTACTTGCCAGAAGAAGGGACATGAAATTGATCGTTACATCAGCTACGATGAACGCTGAAAAGGTTGGTATATTGAGGAAAGAAACTATGCAACGAAGATCGTGTGACTCATCCTATGTTTCCTTAGTTCTCTGACTTTTTTGGGAATGTTCCTATTTTCAACATTCCAGGACGAACGTTTCCTGTGGATATCATGTTCAGCAAAAATCCGGTCGAGGACTACGTAGATGCTGCGGTGAAACAAGTCCTCGCCATCCACCTGTCACATCCTCCCGGTGACATTCTTGTCTTCATGACTGGACAAGAAGACATTGAAGTCACTTGCCAAGTCGTTGCAGGTAAGGTCGCACGAACCGAGAGGAGTTTCGACAGCTTTTCTGCGTTTAGCTGATTGGTGATTAAACGGGTCTTTTCGACCGATTCAGAACGATTATCCCAAATCGATGAGGCTGCGCCACTAGCCATTCTACCAATCTACTCACAATTGCCAGCAGATCTGCAAGCCAAAATTTTTCAGCGATCATCAGACAATTCAAGAAAGGTCGTAGTCGCCACGAATATCGCCGAGACCTCCTTGACTGGTAAGGAACATCTGCAGCTGTCTTGAATATCTCACTTGTTAATTCGAGTGGGGAATAGTCGACGGTATTATGTATGTAGTCGATACCGGCTATTCCAAGTTGAAGGTGTACAATCCGAAAATCGGTATGGACGCACTTCAAGTTACCCCGATCAGTCAGGCAAATGCCAATCAGCGGTCAGGTCGTGCAGGTCGAACGGGAGCCGGGTATGTCGAGCATAACGAGCTCTGAATTGTTGTTATGATCGTCTATCATCTAACATGTGTTGTCTCGCTAGAACCTGCTATCGTCTCTATACAGAATCCGCATTTCGATCAGAGATGTTTCAGAATAACATACCCGAGATCCAAAGAACAAATCTTGCGAATGTGGTGCTTTTATTGAAGTCTCTGGGTGTCCAGAATACCTTGGAATTTGACTTCATGGATCCCCCCCCACAGGTGCGTACGGACATTCTCATCCGGTTGCGTCCGCTGTACTAAAGAAGACTTTGCATGCAGGATAATATTCTGAACTCTATGTATCAATTGTGGATTCTGGGGGCTTTGGATAACACCGGCGATTTAACTTCACTGGGAAGAACGATGGTGGAGTTCCCCCTTGACCCATCGCTATCGAAAATGCTAATCACGGCCGAACAACTTGGATGCACGGAAGAAGTCCTGGTGGGTAATGCGTGAATTCGCACTTGTCCGCAACCAAGTACTTACATTGATCTTTGGAAGACTATCGTGTCCATGCTTTCCGTGCCAACAATTTTCTATCGACCAAAGGAGCGGGCAGAAGAAAGTGACGCCGCCCGCGAGAAGTTCTTCGTCGGGGAAAGTGACCATCTTACACTTCTGCATGTGTACACGCAATGGAAGGTCAATGGGTACGTGCACCATTATCTTTTTAATACTGGAGTAACCCAGAAGGGATAGTAACAGAGCGCGGGCAGGTATCGAGATAGCTGGTGTACTGAACACTTTGTTCATCCCAAAGCCATGCGAAAGGCCCGGGAAGTGCGTACTCAGTTGATGGATATCATGAAAACTCAAAGAATGGAGATAATATCTTGTGGAAATGACTGGGATATCATCAGGTGATGATTATGATATCACGCCAACACCTACCGTCCAAATATTGACTGACATTGTGGGGCCATGGCAGGAAATGTATTTGTTCGGCGTATTTCCATCAGTCCGCTAGATCAAAGGGTATTGGTGAATACGTCAACATGAGAACCGGAATGCCATGCCACTTGCATCCGACCAGTGCGTTATATGGTCGTGGATTTACCCCTGATTACATCGTCTACCACGAGCTAGTAATGACGTCGAAGGAGTATATGCAATGTGTGACCGCCGTCGATGCACAATGGTTGGCCGAACTTGGACCCATGTTTTTTACGTTGAAGGAAAAAGGGTTCAGTCATACGGTATGTTGTGGTAGAGTGCGTAGCTCTGTGAGTCAAAGCTAATTTGTCATTGTCTAGGAAAAACGACGGCAGGACCGAAGGGATCTGATGAACATGGAGGAGGAGTTGCGTCTGGCTTCGGAAAAGCGAGTACAGGAAGGTCGGGCTGCCAGTGTTACTCCGACACCACGATCGCGCATTGCGACTCCTGGTGCACGAACTCCCGCCCTAACGAGGCGTGATAGTGGTACACCTTTGCATCGCCGTCGATTTGGGCTATGAACAGGATGGTTCACTTGTATATAGTAATTACGATGAAGAGAATGTGGGCAGAAGGGCTGTGTATGTGGTCAATATCCCGTTATTTATACAATGATCTGAACCGCAGTGTACATGACATATATCCGTGAGGTGGCAGTTATTATCTTCTATTGTCGCTGCTTTGCCAATGGTTGTTGAAGTGCCAAACTCTATTTCTTCAGCAAATGAATGGGAGCGTCGGCAGCTACAACAGCTTCCTTTCCCCCAACTGTACCCACGGAGCCTAGGGTATCAAGCTGAGTTAAACGGACGGTGCGACAGCGAAAGGTGCACGCTGGCTGCACCACTTACCGGTTGTTCCAAATGTCGTCCATGAAACAACGCCTGCACTCGGTTCGATGGTCGCCCAGCTGATGCCATTTGCTTTCTTCAACACAAGTTCAATTTTCGTCGACAGTACTTCATATTTGCTCGCAGCAGCATCAATCGGCTGCGACAGAGGAGTATGGAACTTGAAGACCTTCCCATCCATAAACTTCACGTCTACCTTCAACTGTAGGGAATGGAAAGTCAGGGAAGGTTCACCTTTTAATAATCGTCGCTCGTAACAGTACCTCATCAGTTGTAAACACGACGGATGTTTGTTCCTTGTTGACCTTCTTTGCAAAGATCGAGATTATCACGGATGATGGTGTCTGGTACCAATCATGTCTGCATTGAACTTCCTCCGGTACATCCGTCTGCACAATTCATCAATAATGATTGTCACAAACGTAGGGCAGGTACGGCGTTACCTTGACATCCGTAAATCGATGCTTCCCTGTCTTACAGCCCTTGATCTTCAGGAACTCATCAAATTCCAGTACTTTTCTTGAGCAGCAGGACCAACCCTAAAACATTTCGAAAAACAGTAAGGATCAATCATCTCTTTTCATTCAGAGTCACGGCTGTAGGGTAGTAACCCGACAAACCTTGCTGCCTTCGTGGAAGATGGCTTGACCAGGGTGGAAGATGCATTCCTCCGATCGGGACTCTTCGCCGACCCATTCCTTCCCACAGCCACGCCGCTTGCACTTTGCCCCCGCTGAGATCTTTGCGTCACAAGGATCGTTGAGATCTTCCTCCTTTACTACCGGACTTGGTTCTACGGATTTTGGAATGAACGCCTCCGTAGTCGCCGCAGGTGCACCAGATTTGGCAGTGGCTTTTCCGTACACTTCCACTCCATTACTGTCTATTGTGACCGGCGCTATTGCAGGGTTAGGAGTGGCCGCTTGCTTCTCAGGTTCAGCGACAACCGTGCTATGACGACCAACAGTACATCCAGGTATCTAGAAAGGTCATCAGTAAACAGCATGTAGCCAACTGGGCGATCGGTGCTTCTCGGCATCGTACCTTTAAGAAGTCGTCAAAGTCTGTGACCTTTTTGTTACAGCAGGACCACCCCTGGGATCGTATGTGTGAATAAAGATCTAGGTGAATGAAAGTACGCAAGAAGTGTACCATACCTTGAGACCTTCGTGGAATACCGGGTTTCCTGAGTGATATTCACAGGCTGTGTCTCTGTTCGAAGCCTCTTCAAATGCTTTACCGCAGCCTAACCCGAAAAAACTGTTTAGTATGATCGCTTAAGGAAGGGGCAAGTATAAGCATGACACGAGCATATAACTTGAAATAATTTACCTTTGTTTGTGCACACAGGCATCGTTGCGAGATCAACGCAGATCGGTGATGGAGACACAAAAGGAAGGTGAGGAAAGTGTGGGGAGAACCCCGTAGAAGGCTCCCGATAGCACAGCAGACGGAGTACAACTTCATATAGTGATGTATCCTGATCTTTACAACAAGCAGGATTGGCGAAATTGGTATACGCGTCAGACTTAAGTTCTGATGGTCGCAAGACCGTGTGGGTTCGACCCCCACATCCTGCAATATTGAAGCCCAAACAACGATATTTTTTTCGGTCAGACCAAATAGCTTTTAAGCTAGTCGAAAAACTTTGAGCATGTCTTGATCAATACTGAACTGCCTAATCGACTTTTCCTCCAGTGTTTTAGAATGTATTAACCATCAGCTTTGTTTTTCTGGGCGATCTATCCCTGTCCTGCCAAAGTTATCAGTTATCAAAGTGATCATACACCAATATCATCAGGCATCTCGTCAACGGTGTGAGTTGATATGAAATCCCACGATGAACTTCTCATGACCTCTCCTTGATGACGTCGTTTGATATGTGATCGGTCTCGATATGAAAAGGCCATAGATTGTAGAACTCAATGTTGTCAACAGTGTGCCTTGAAAGTATTTATGAAACTCACTTTGGGCAACGCAACGCACATCCGATGCTTGCAGCTCAAGGCAGAGTCACGGGGACGATGGACATGGCCTTGGACGCTTGGACGTGAGTGATCAAAGGACATCACCTTTGGTGCCTTAAACAGGCAGAAACGGTCATGCGTTACATTCCATACCAGTCCGAGCTCCAACTTCCAGCAATAACTTCCCTCATTGAAAACGATCTCTCCGAACCGTACTCCATATACACCTACCGATATTTTATCCATAACTGGCCACAGCTCTGTTTTTTGGCGGTAGATGGTGAAAAAGATGAGATTGTGGGGGTCGTCGTATGTAAGCTGGACAAGCATAAGGAGGACATGAGGGGCTACATTGGCATGCTAGCGGTTGCGAAGGGGTATAGAAAACGCCGTATCGGTAAGTCTCGCGGACGGGACATCTTCCAGATACTATAAGCATGTACACGAGCGGGTAGACTTCTGACGTTCGACGTTCTTAAACTAGGTTCCACGCTTGTTCAGATGGCCGTCGAGGAAATGAAGAAGGAAAATGCGGACGAAGTGGTACTGGAGACCGAGGAATCCAATCAAGGTGCCTTGGCTCTCTATCAAAACCTTGGGTTTGCCAGAGACAAGCGCTTATCTCGCTATTATCTCAATGGGGTGGATGCCTTCAGACTGAAGCTGAGATTAAGATGAAGAGAAACCACTGTTAGGTTTCTTGCTGCCGGATGGCCGATTGTTGTCGGTAGACCGCGTTCGTCATTTGGAGGAGACGCGAGGAGATCGTAGCTGTCTAAGTATAGCCGCAAACAGGACCGGTCGTCGTCCGAGGACGATACTATCGGTAATCCCTACAAGCGGAGGACTGAGAACAGTACATCGGTTGAACCAAGAAATCAGTTGTACACGACATGCATCGAATCTGCCAGCGAGAGCCAATATATCCGAGACAAGTCGCCATATATTAAACTCTTCTTTAAGCAATCATTTAGACGAAGATCAGTGTAGGGATATGCACTTTCGGAAAATACAAGAGCGGATGTGGTCCGCCGTGGCGAAATGAAAATGGGTGTGTGGATGTGAGGAAGCAATGTCAGATAGAATCAATGCATTTTTCCATCCCTCTCTGGGCCCTTCAGTCGTCGTTCTTCTTGACTGTCCAATGAGGACCTAGCCGGCCCCACATTTTGCTCTGCCCACTTCATCACGTCTTCATCTTCGTCCTCTTCATCGGAAATGTCCCTTAGCACCTCATCATCACTCCCGAACCCTTCTTCCTCATCCCGGGCAACAACTTTTCGCAGATTGAGATTTTGGCCAGCTGTATTCCCGTTGGTGACCCGAAAATCATCATCAAAGTCATCTTGAGCCAACTCATCCAGTCCGTAACGCTGATTATTCTCAGTCGGCCGCCATAGAATACAAATCCCCAAGAAAACGGCGAGATATAAAAGATTCAGCCAGCCGTCCAGCAAGAACCAACGGACCTGCCAGTGATCGGGCAGCCAGTTGGGAGAATCTCGATCCATGAAGAATACCTAAGGTGGAGAGTGCCCGTTAATGCTGAGAATTCCTCTACAGTCCGCGGACTCGCGCATAACCCACCGTATCCACGATAAACATCAAAATGATGACAGCCACAGAAGCCACCAATAGTCGCCAGAGCCCTGAAGATCAAGGACTGTTTTAGTATACTAGCGTGGACGAGACCTCTCACATTTAAAACCTTACGTCGGTACATTTGCAATTTGACTGCCTGTCTTCGATTTTCGAGATGAGCCATAGACTGCGTGATACCTATGATGAAGTGAACATGCTTCAGTACTGTGGACACTAAGATTGCAATTCTACGTATACCCACCATTCAAAATCCAAAAGTAGAAAATTGTCATTGTTATAGACAAAGGCATAACGCAAAATAAGAGAACCCAGATAGTAATGTCGATTACGAGTAATGAACTCGCAGCGTAGACAATGCCACACGCGAAATGCACGCAAGCGAGGTACACACACTTCTTCATCGTACGGCCCAATGTCGGTCTAACGACCCCATACCCCAGCGCGACGATGAGAAGCATGAAGAACGAGACACTGTTTCGGGCAGCATTGAGCACAACAACGAACACCAGGAGAGTACTTGCTGAGCAATAGGTTAGCACATGGAGGACAAAGTCAAAGAAGCATGATACATACAACTCCGTCCCCAGACATTATAATCCTCAAAATAGCCCTACATTGACCTGTCTTTAGAGGTGCATGTTTAACTGGACGATTCACAGCTGCGCTAACTTACATAATTGAAGGACATTTCTAATGTCAAAAAAATTGTGACCGCTGATATGTAGTGCTGGATCAGCAATAAGTCTCGCCAGTGCATGAATGATAGAACCATCCATCCAACCCCGATAATCAGGTACACTATGCTCAAAAAGCCGTAAAACTAGTGCAAGAAAAGGGAACGTTAATTTGGACGATGACCTACGAGAATAAAACCGTCATTACCGGTAATTTGGGATATTCTATTGCGGGAAGAAGTCCGTATGGATTTTCAACTTGCACCGGCATTGCATAGTCGTCAATTCGCCCGGCAACAGGCAATGCGACGATGCAGTAGAACCCCGTCTGAGTGACAGGATAGTTGACTCTCAACGTTGGATTAGCAGGCAGAGCGTCGACATCCACGATACGGTTCAAAATTGTGGATGTCGTTGTCCCATTCCGAACCACCCACTTTCCACGGTCCGCTTCTGTGCATTTGTTGTCAACTATGGTTCTTCCCTCCCCACATATCTGAAACAGGCCTCCGTTGTCGGCTAGCACCTCAATATCCTGGTAATTATAAATTAAAAGAGAGATATTCGTGGCAGGTGGAATTGACGAGAAAATCGGTCGGAGCGTCCCATCCTTGTTTGCGCCAGGTACAGAACCTGGACCGTACATTGGCCAACATCGCGGCTCGCCGTCTGTTCGCTACGAAAAACCCTTTTAAGATCCATCGTCGACTCTCCTCCTACTACATGCGTACCACTTACAATATTCTCAGTATACGCTAGAACACTAGATGCATGATACAAGAGCACAAGGAGCCCTACTGCAACGGCAGAGACCAGCGTTTGTCGTGAAATTGATGTTTGCAACATCGGGCAAGCTGAGAAGGGCTCGCGCTTTGCCTCTGCTGCGCGATGTGTCATGGCTCATACTAAGCCTCCAAGCCATTACCCAAGCATTTGAATTCTTTTTCGGTGTGGGGCACTTTTATCTCGTAGCCATTCAACTCACCTTTGACGCTCTAAGTTGCCATCGACCATGACGAGATATAGGAGAACAAAGACACATAGAGGGTGTGTATTACTCTCTACTGGATAAGATTCCTTTCTATTTGGGTTGGGACTAAGTGCGGCATTTACAGTATCCGCGATATAAAGCGGGCAAAGAGAACCCGAGCACGTACAAAGGATTTGGACCAAATTCATGAAGACATGAAAACACCGGAGAAGTTTGAGCAACAGGCTGTGGATGCTGATTTGCCCGGGTTAGGACAGCACTATTGCATACAGGTGAGACCTGCGGCAAATGGTGGTTAATGGTCAAAGGTGTATCTGGATGTGGTACTGATACCCTCTCCAGTGTAGCCGCTATTTCACTGATGCAGGTGCACTGTCAGACCATTATAAGACAAAGCTGCATAAAAAGAGGCTGAAGGTTTTAAAAGAATCCCCCTATACCCAAAAAGAGGCCGAGGCAGCAGCTGGTCTCTTTACGGACAACGGCAAAGGTAGGGTCTCGGGTGTGGACGATGCAACTGCCACTGGCCTTATGGACACCTGAGACCCACCCTGAGACATTCTCAGTAGGACTTCAGTTTAGTTAATTCTTTTTGCGTAGTATCCCCGTTTTACTCTTGTAAATATTGATGTTGGCATCCACATATTTATGACATACAAATGAAAAAGCAAAAACCTGGGTAAAATCCTCTTCTGTGATATTATGTTGCATATGGCGACGAGAGCAAATTAACGACATGTGAGGGTCTCAACACTTCGGGCCAATCGGTTGACTGATACAGGCAGAAAGTTGATGAAAATGAACGGGTGATGGGTCTCCTATTACATCGTTGATGAATCGGTATACCTTCCCTGGCCGTTATTAATAATTTACAGAATTGCGGATGGGTGATTTGATATTCAATCGAAGGCCAGCTAAGTTGCCCTGCCGGTGGTATCGTATACTTTCCGTTTCTTGGCTGTATGTTTTTTTGCAGTCAGCGTTAATACATCAGAGGCAGAATGGAATCCGTGCACTTACGGTCTCTCAAAACGGTATACGCTTCGACAAGCTTTTGAAATTGTTCCTTTGCTCGGTTCTTCTCCGCGGGATCTGTCACCCTGTCAGGGTGATGTTTCATAGCCAAACCCCGGAACGCTGCTTGAATTTCCTCTTTGGTCGCGTTCGGCTTGATGCCCAACGTCGCATAAAGTCCCAGTGGGTCGTTGGAAGCATGGGTTCGTGTGCGACCCTCTTCCCGCCGCTCGCCATACTGATATTGCTGCTGTCGACGCTGTTGCTGGCGCGTCTGTCCTCCTGCAGTGTCACCTTGCTTGGCGGCTTCTTCCGCACGCCGCCGCAATTCTTCCCACCATGACCCAAAAGTTCGAGCACCTGATTGTTCGTTGGTTGATTTATATGCTCCTTGATCCTGTCTCCTTTGATTCGTCCGTTGCGCATCTGCCTCTGGGTCCCAGCCAGCGGCGCCGCCCATCCAGTTTTCCCGCTGTTCGTCAACGCGTCTCCTAGTCTCATAGATTGTTGACAAAAGTATAGGCCAGTAGCGAGCCCCAAGCATGCCCACCAGCGCAGGAAAAACGAACCACCACCAAATTCCGGAAGCACTCCAGAAAGCTCCAGTAATGAGAGCAACTAGGGTTGCACCTGCACCGGCTATCAGGCCAATTCGCATTGGATCGGGGAGTTTCTGCCCTCCAGTTTCGCCCGTAGCTCCATTGACAAACGTCCTCAGAATAGTACCATGGTAGTCTGCAGAAAAGACGTAACACGATAAAAATATCGGCACGGCTTCTGGACCTCCACCTCTGCCCTCAAAAGGTTCCAGTCCAAATTCTAGACGAACCCCGCGAACCTCATCAGCTCCTGTAGATTTTTTCAAGAATTCTTCAGCGAGTAATTCTTCCTCTCTCCTGATGCTGTCACGTACTCTCTCAACCGCGGTCGCTGGCCGCATTTGGAAAGCATCCAATCCGACATCTGGTGGCGCGCGATATTGACGGAAAGGGATCGCATCTCGCCAGAGCGATGGACTGCGAACGCCGTCGACGTATTCACGACGAAAGCGATAAGATGCGTACACTTGTGCTACCGGTTCAGTTCCCGACAGAGTTCGAGTATGCAGGTTGGTGTAGTCAAAGCTTCGCGGCTCCCAACGTACTTTGCGCACCCGATTGTACCGCTTATGATAGTGGTCGTATTCAGTCGTCCAGTAATGAAATCCCAAATGAGCGGTGACGAGATACACTCTAATTGTATCTACAGCGTTAAGACTGCTTCTAGATTTTAGTGACAGGTGTCTCCAAGAACTTCACCTCAACCGCATCCTCACGACCCAAAATGGTAGCAGTAGCCGCTCCACTTTGAGATCCCGCAACCTCTTGGGTGTAGTAAGCCAGCCTTCATGATACTTTCGGAAAGCTTCCTCGGCCTCAGCTGCTGTAAGTCTGAACGGTACCACTTTCAGATTCTCTTGTGAAGGACCTGCGTCCGAGAAAAAGTGTGCGTGACTTGGACGGGCACGCCAAACAGTAGGTAACGCATTCCTCAAATGCCCAGTCTCACAATAGCGTAAATGACAAGCCCGCAGCGGAAACCACAGTAGTCGCATCTTTAGCAAATCTACTCGTTCCTGCTTGAGAATGAATCATCTGGATTGCCCACGTCATGAAAGGCAACTACGTATTTCGCGTTTTGCGGTGTCATTGCTCATTCCAAGCAGCATAAATTCATACACCAATGCGATACCATTCATGTCGGTTAACAGCAGAAGGAGCTGCCCGTGCTACCAGTGGCCATGCTATTGTTAGCTGGACAATACCGCTTTGCGCACGATACCCCAAAGCTAATATCGAAGTGTAGTCTCAAGCTAAATTACTGTCTCCCGTATTTTTCTTTGTTCCAGCCAAGATTTGTATGCAAAGATTGCTTCAGCACCAATATGCCTGACGATTTGAAAACATATCTTCATTGATAACATGGCGCTAAATACCAGTACCCGAAACAGCTGAACAAAATGACGTAAAGTCAAAACCCGACAATGAGCTGGGTGGACACCCATCTGAACCAATCCCAAACTCCGCCGTTACCCTGGTTGACAGACGTCTACTACACGATGCATCCTTCTCGCTATCATCAGAGCGGAATGCTCTTCTTCTGATCTTACCAACTGCTGGTTGTCATTGAGCTCTACTTCGCCTCAGATCGACCATTGAGTAAGCACCGTGTCATGTGATAGCCTTGCCTCCGCATTCATATCGACAGCCGATGGGTATTGGCACTAGTACAGTGATTCCAACCAATTGAATCATAATTTTACTCGATTTAGACTCATGAACTATGATTTGATAATGGTTCGATGCCCAAACGATGCTCCACCATTGAAAAACGGGTCCAATATGTGCGGCAATGAACGGATTGAATATTCTGCAGTTGCTCCACCATTGAAAAACGGGTCCAATGCGCAGTTGTCATATCTCTATATAAACCTGCCTTCTCTGCCCATTTCCCAGGTTTTCATCATTCTCTGCCGATAGGTTTTCATCATTCTCTGCCCATTTTCCAGGCTTTCATCCATTTTTCTATTCCAATCATCATGCCGCCAAAGAAAAAGCAAAAGCTTGAAAAACTCGACAAACCCACCTTACATACCTGCAACAAGACTTCCTTTGCAAAAGCTTTCCTGCCAAACTATCGCCAACAGCTTCTAGATTACATCGCCATCATCCATCAACTCGCCAACCACGCTTCCCATGCTCTCAAATTCTACATCCTATCTGCACCAACCTTCACCATGAACGAGGAGACCATCGAAGCGATTCTCTATCTTCTCAACAAGGGGGAGGCTTGGCATCCAAGAAAGGAAGCAAAGAAGGCATGGCGGGATTGTTTGCTGCCATATGTTCAACGGTACTGCCAAATCGTCAGCTTCGTTCACCCAAATCTACGAGGCGAGCAGCAATCAGTCAATTACCTGACAGCGAGTATGATGACGAACCTGAAAGTCAACGTTCAAGAGCATTTCATGCAGATGCTCCTTCGGTACATTAATCTGCGGCTCGACGTGAAGGGACAGAAGCAGCGACTGCCACCAAAAAGCAATGCGCGAAAGGCTTTCTTTACTCGGCTACGCTACTTGAAGTCAGTTTTCCTTTTTGATGTGGTGCCCGAGTTGGAGTTCCTGGATGACTTGACACCATTGGAGAGCGAGGTTCTTGAAGAGATTTGGTCATTGGATCTCCCATTCCTTCCTAACGATCCCCTTGCCTACACCATTGTTGCTGATCCAATGTCATTTTTTCCCGCGTACTGCAAACTCTCTGGGCTGTATGAACAATATGGCTTCTGACGGTTCAGTGCGATACCTCTGCGCCACTCACTCATTCAAAGTCACGTGTGAATCGACACCATCATCCTGTACCAGCATATCCTTTGCATCATGTGGCGAGATGCAGAAACTGTCGAAAAGGATGATCTGTGGATGCACGTCTGCAATCTATGTACCAAGGCTTTTCGGTCTCGCTGTGGTATGCATTTTGAAGGCTCGATCACCACGGACGGAGCCTCGGTGTCTGTATACCTAAAGCACCCAGAAGCAGACAAGTATGGAAAGCGCAGAGCGAGAAAGTCAGCAAACACGGTGGCTGCAGAGGTTAAAGCGCTTTATGTGGAGAACAACTTACTACAAAGTGAGGCACTGTGGGACAATTTCATCAAAAATATTCCCAGGGAAAAAGTGCCACAGGATAAAACCAATGGTAAAAATTGGAAGCTTATGGAAAGTAAAAAATTATGTAGAGACATGTAGGGATGAGAAATGTCCCCATTTTCCTAGCAAGATTGCAAAAAGAATAGAAATATCCACATGTTTAAATGGCAACATTGGTTTCCTTGTTTACACAAAAATCCACAGAAGATGTAGGCAACTCAGGCGTCAGAACTCATCCCATCTCAACATTACCTTCGAGGCATACCAGCCGGGATTGGCCGCTCCGTGCCCGGCATGCCTTCCGGCATATGGCTCTGCACCAGGATCCTCATGTCCGTTCTTCAAACGGACTACATCTGCGCCGGCATCTTCCGCCGCTTTTGATGCTACTTTTTTACATGTAGCCCTGGGATTTCGTTTTCTTTCTTCATGCATGCCGGCACGGCGAGCGGCAAAAGTGGTAGATATGTACTGTTGACAATCATGATGAACGATAGCATGATTTCGACCATGCAAATAGTTTTTTAGTTTATCCAAACATTCATAGCAGGAATACACAGCGCATTTCAGACATATGCAGAGTTGATATTCTCTAAAGCCTGTACAAGTATCGCAACGCATCGAAACGCGCATTTTTATTATAATGAGTGGAAGATTATTCAGCGTGCATTTTAAGTACCTTTTGTAACGACGAGGACGTCTTCGAGAGATCGCGAGTAAGCCCAAATCGGACACGGGAAGCACGAATCGCGTGACCAACTCCACCGATTGGGTTACCGCGACCGAAAAAACCGGTTCGGAGAATGGCAATTGGCGCATTAGATTTCAGCGTGCCTCGTACAACCTGTGGAGGCCCGAGCCAGTGCGGAAAAGGAAGAGATCAGTACCGCCACCAATAAATCAGTTGCGGTGCAGCGACACCCATTAGTTTAGTTTAGTTTAACAGTTTATCCAAGAATCTTGTATAAAAAGGATGTATTCAATAAAATAAGTCGGGGGCAGAAGCCGTAGCGACACAAAATCCCCATAACTCGCTTCTCAACTCCAATCTTAGGTTAACAGGAACCTAACAGAGCGCTTCAACGGCCTGATCACCCGTACCGAAGCCTCTAAATCCTGCTCGGTTCACAACTAACCGACTCTCCTTGCCTCTCGCCCCCAAGTCGCTACCGACGCCCAAAGAAAGGATTCGGAGACTATGATTCCTAGTACGGCCACCCACATAACCTGCTAGGAGACCCAAGTCGTCTTTACCGTAGTCTACCAACAAAAAATCCGCTACATGGTGGAGAAGCGCGACGAACCGCCTTCCCCTCTCAAATTCAGCTGAAAACCTTATTCGGTCATACCGAAACTCTTGCGCAAACCGAGATCCGCTCAGGTAGCTACTCGGAAACCTTTTCTCTCATTTCGGAGACAGAACTTCACAAAACCAAGAATGATGCCGGTGGAACGCTCACCAACGCGAGGCCGCTCACCTGTGATCCAGACTCGTAGTCAGGGTCCTGCGGAGGACGTCGAAGTCCCTCCCGCAACACGCCCAAGGCGTTCAGGGACCACTTCCATCGAACCGGAAGCCCCTAACTTGGCCACGATGGCCTCTGAAGTGGCAGCATTAAAAGAAGACATTGCCCGCTCGACTGCTGCAATGCAGTTGGCAACTCAAAACCTTACGGAACAGCTTCATAGGCTTTCCGAATGTCAGACAGCGGCGGATGAGCGCCTCGCACGAGCCTTAGAAGCCCTAGCGCATCGCCCGCTGCCTGAACAACCTCCCATAGCACGAGCTACAAGAGAACGGTCCGCAACCCCGTGGGAAACGGCGGACACACCAAGGGAGCGTACCGAACCAAGTTTTTCAGGTGCGGTGCCTCCAATCCAAGTGCCAGCGGCCCCGTGGGCCAGCGACACCAAGGTCGATTCCTTGAAAGCAAAGGACGTACCCGAGTTTACGGGCAGAAGAAACCAAGATGTTGAAGAATGGCTTAACAAAGTCCAACTTCTTCAAAACGTTAGCGCAACTTCGGATGCCAGGATGGTACAGCTCCTACCAGCCATGATAGCCGAGAAAACCCCTGCTGACGCTTGGTTTTACACTCTGGAAGCCCAGGAAACTCGCTCATGGACCTGGAAAAGGTGGAAAGAGGAACTGCTTCGAGAGTTCCGAGATCCGCTAACCGAGTCCAAGCGCAAAACCGAATATGTGCGCTGCCATGCGAACCCCAAAGAATTTCGCAGCTTTCTCGCGTTCATCGACCACAAAACTCATCTCCGGCGCCTCGCTTATGGCGACCGGGCAAACATAGAATGTCCCGCTGACCAGCATTTCGACCTAATAGTCGAACAATTGCCCAGCGACATCCAAATCATGGTCAAATCCTGTAACGTCACGAACCTGACCAAATTAAAAGACTTCCTGCGCCTTTATTTCGGCTCTGATGACACCAGAAAACGAGACCCTTGCTACAGCGGTGCTGCAGAAGCTCAGAAGAAGTCACAAAAGACCGGAACTGACAAAGGCCCTAAGCAGACGGCTCCGCATAAAACCGGAAACCCCGAAAAGGGTCGCGATGGTCCTCAGAAGATGGTTCCGGACCCCAACAAGGAACCACCGGCACCCTGCAAATTCTGTCAGAAAAAGCATTGGAATGTTTTCTGCTGGCAGAACGCGAACCGAAAAGATCCTGAAGATGGAAAGAAAGGACCATATGGAGCACCCATGCCCTCAGGTTGGAAACCCAAACAGGAATCGAAGAAGGCATACATAGTGGAGCTGGACTCGACGTCCGCTACCACCGAGACTCTTTTTTCAGCTTCGGAACTGGAAAGAACGGAAGCCACTAATCAAGGATTCCACACCATCGGGTTCTTTCATTCACCCAAGCACTCGGAATCAACAATTTTGATGACCGCACCTCTTTCCAAGGTCACGGTGACCAAGGAAGAGGACCCCCGCACGCCCACGCAGGGCTGGGACCAAGTCTGGGACAACATAGCCATCATCTGGGGCACCCCGCAAGTGGCTCTGATGATGGGCAACAACCCCCGCGTGCTCAGCTTCTTCGCCAAAGAACTGAAGCGAGGCGCCGGGCACCTCGGGAACGACCCCTACGCAGTCGTGTGGAGTTCCCACCACCTCTACATCGCTGCCGCAGCCGAAGCTGACAAGGATCGAATCCTGCGAAAGGTCCGAGAAGACGGTACCCCTCGTTTGATTCTCCTTGCCTGGATAAAGCTCGACGAGCGCGAGAAATTCTTGATGTGGAGCTCTGAAGATCCTGTTATCTTTGATGCGTACGCCAACCTGCAACTGGTGGCATTTCTCCTGACAGGCAATATCGTTCGCTCAGACTATTATTATCGTCGTGGAAACCCCAAATTTCGGCATGTTAAAGACCATCCACGTCTCCAAAGACACGAAGAGAGCGAACGGACGCGTATAGTCATGCTGGCTATCGAACAAGTTGCTCGCCAGAATAAAACAACAAAACCACAAAATGACAAAACTAGAGAACACTTTGAGAGTGTGATCAAGGCTACGGAAGCAACAATTAATGACATCGCGCCCCATTTCGAGATCGCAGTGCCTTCTATCAACGCCTTCTACTCAGTAGATTTAGGCGATGTACTCAAAAGCCAGACTAAGACCCAAACGCAGCCTTGCTGGACGCTAGCCGTCATCGCGCAGCTCTGGGCACCTGTGGTACTAGACACAGGGGCCTGCGAGTCTCTGATTTCCGACACGTACCAAGGCCTTCTGTTCTCCGAAACCGATTTGCAGGATGCGGAAACGATGGCTTTCAACGGCATTGGTGGACATATCTCATCTACCAAGACAGTATGCCTCAAAACTTCCCTCAGAGGCCGCGGCGGAGAATACCTGACTTTCCGCGCCTACTTTCGGGTCATCGCATACGGGAAACCTCTCATCATCCTAGCCAACGACGTTTTGGGACATTTGAAACTCCAAACCTTGGTTCAGGAACCCCCGTTACCCAGTTTCGCGGTGACACTCAAGAATCCAGACATCCTTATCCCCTGCTCCATAACGGATGAGCTGGATACCGATCACATGCGCGGCACGCCATACAAAACCAAGCAGGGTGAATTCATGAAGGATGTGTCAATGCCACGGCTGACCAAAGCCAAAGCTCAGAAGTCTAGATTAACCATGTTAATCACGGGACAGATGCGCGTGGCAGCCCAAACTTTCCTCATCGAAAACCCTCTTGATGCCACCGCAGCTAGCACAACGGCCCCGTTAGGCCTCAAACTGTCCACCGCGACCCATAATTCGGTCGCGGACCCCGAAGAGAACATTTCCGAAGAAGAATGGCAGACACTTCGGAACAAATGGAACCTCAACTCTACAGAGAAGGCTCCAGGGGCCTTCGAAGCCCAATTAAAAGACGCGGAACATTTCCACGTCGATCTCAAACGACCCAAACCTGTGGTCTGGGCCCTAATCAACATTCTACGACACTTCCATCAAGCCTTCAGCTATGAGGGTCATCTCATAGGGAACTACACCAAGATTCCTTATGCGCCTCGATTTATCTTGGCTCCGCCACCCCTTTCGAGGCCACGGTCGTACTCTCCGTTGGAGCGGACAGCCCTCGAGACGGAGTGAGACACCATGA